CAGCATGAGCATCAATCTGCGCAATTGGGAACCAATGACATGTGTCAACCAAGCCAGCGAGCCTGACCACCTGATCCCGTTAGTCGCCTCTTGCGACAAGCATGGGTTACTAAAGGCTCATTCTTACCCGAACCTTCACAGGTCAGACAGTAACACAGGAAATAATAGTGATTACTGGTCGATGGCCAGGAAGGATATAATGATGGAGGCTTGTAGTCTGACAACTGCTTAATCTTCCTGCTAGAAAATGTCCCCATGATGCTTAGGCAGGTCTACTGTCAAATGCAGAATTGACGAGAACCAGTAATTTTTTGATCAAGGTAATCAGACTACTGGCAAACATGAATGCCACTTTGTCAGGTTCATACTTTCAATGGGGGCGGTGTTAACTTAGTGGTTAAAGCATTCGCTCGTCACGCCGAAAACCTGGGTTCGATTCCCCATGTGGGTACAATGTGTGAAGCCCCTGCCATGATATTGCTGGAATATTGCTAAAAGCGGCTTAAATCTAAACTCACTCACTCACTCATATTTTTTATTTTGACAACAATTGTTGTGGTCTGTAGAACCATGCTGATGCTTTGTTGCCCTCTGTGAACAAAAACAAAGATTATAATTTAGTTGTTGAGATGAGATCATTGATCTTCTTTTTGTAATGGTATCTATTCTATCTAGATTCAAAGGAGGACGATTTTGCCTCATAGCGAAGATGGAAGTGATTGTGTTTAGTTTTGTTCCACCTTTTTCAACATTCCAGCAATATCATGGCAGCTGATCCTGTAATGGTCATTCTAGCAATAATGGGAATCAAACCTGGATCTTGTGCCAACACTTCAATCACCAAGCTACAAGTCCTCAGTGATAACTGAGGCTGGTTCTGTACACGCCACTTGGGGCAGTGGGGTAGCCTAGTGGTTAAAGTGTTGGCTCGTCACGCCGAAGACCCGGGTTCGAATCCCTACATGGGTACAATGTGTGAAGCCCATTTCTGGTGTTCCCCCGCTGTGATGTTGCTGGAATATTGCTAAAAGTGGTGTGAAACCAAACTCAGTCAGTCAGTGTACAATTGCCACTTACACTGTTAATGTATGGATCGATGTAGGACAGACCATTCTCAGAGGTAATAAAGCATACGACTTTATGGATAACAACTTCTTGTTTATTGCATACAGCAACATTTTGGTGTAGTGTCTTCCACTTTTAGCTTGATAATCATGTAAGAATCTACGCCAAAATGTTGCCCTTTGCAATAAACAAGTTATCCATAATGTCGTATATTTGTTATTGACTCACCAACATTAGAATGCTGATAAAACATTCTCTGAGGTGACACTGCTAATTGGTCTTGTACGTGAATTGTGAGTTGATCAGCCAAGCTGTTCACTAAATGCAGAGTCTGGTACATGGAGTTGTGTCTGTGCTGTCATGCATGTAATTATGATTAGAATGCAGCAGTCGACTTCAAGGTTGTGCCCCGTATAGTGTTCACGTCGCTAGGGGATTACTCTGAATTTCAGTGAACTCAGTAGCAGAATAGACCGTCCTGAAACACTTGCAGTCTGTCGCAGACTTTCTTCAGTCTCTTTTCAGTCCACTTGCTAGAACTTGAGCTTACCGGTTTTTTTCCAGTAGACTTTGTTTTGTAGGTTTAACAAATACTACTTTGAGATAATCACATGAAACAGTTTACTATACATAGCTAATTTTGGCTGATATCCCATTGTATGTCTTACTCACTTCAATTGTATCATGTGAGCAACACTGTGTTGGTACTTATAAGTCTGAATATATGAACATCGTCAGACAACCACCTGTACCATCTGAGGTCATGTGATAGGCTACGTATCGTGATCCCTGACCACGTCATACCAAAAGACGTTAAAATATGGTACTTGTTGGTCCCTGTCTGGCGCGCTTGGCATTAATGGGGTACAATAAGGACTGGTCGGCTCGGAGTCAGTATAATGTGTCTGAGTGGGGTATTCATGCTTCACTGCGGCATGGTATCTCAGTGGGCTAGCACTATAAAACCAGCTTAAGTCTGGGCTAGTACAAGCAGCCACACATACACATACACACGCATGCACGTCGTCATATGAGCGAAATATTCTCAAGCACGACGTAAAACCCAATTTCACCTCACCTCACCTCACGTATCGTGATACAGACCGACAACACCACTGGTGCCACAATTCACCACAACAAAGAGTAAGAAATCATTGACATGTAATTGCCTTGTGGCAGTTGCTGACATGTTTTCATGTTCCCGCTGCGGTTCATAATTGTAGAGCCAGGATGCTTGGAACCATGTTTCTATTTGAGGAATTTTCCTGCTTAAAATTTGAAATAAAGACATCAACACATCAACTGTTACCACCACATCGTCCTCTTCTGCCAACAGGTGGCACTGTTCAGCTTCTACCGTTACGGGTGCAGTCCTTGAAGACAATTAGGATTCCTAATGGATGCCTAATCACAATTTGAAATGGAATGAATTGTAAAGTGAATCATCACATACGAATCCTAAAGTTTAGTTACAACATGAGTGGTGCATGCATCAATCAGCTTCGGGCTGGTCCTCAATGTTATGGCTGATGACGGATGGACTGTCCTGAAGCTTAATCCTTACAAGTGAGCATAGCCCATGGACTATTGCTCTACGCAACATACACAACATTTCTCATCAGTTTGACAGTGACTACATGAGTCTGAGGGATGTAACTATTAGTAGTTACAATTATAGTTGTTGCAATATATCAAAGTGCTGTGTAACTGGAGTCATGTCATGCTTTGACGAATTATTGGTGACGATTGTAGTACAGAACACCTGGCTGGTCCTTCTTTGAAGTGGAATGTAACTTATCCTGATCCAGCCCAACTCACTTAATCAGTCATTATTGGCCTCTCTCAGTTGTTATTGATACAGCTGGAGTGATCAACAACATAACAAAAATTGATTTAGTGAATTTGATTTTGAAAAGCTACAGAATTGGTAATTTTGAAGAAGTACGTCTGTGGTAGGATTTCGATATAGTCCTTCCACTTTTAGCAATAAACATGCAGTAGCAGTTGAAGGGACACCATAAGTGGGCTGTACACTTTGTACCATGTGAAAATTAGGACTCGGCCTTATACTGATAAGCAAGCACCATAACCACGAGACTACCCCGCTGCCTCCTAAAACAAGTCAGGAGCTTTAGAGATAAACATGGTCAGTCCAGTGATTTTGACACACTGTATATCTGTCAATGACTAGGATCCCAAAAATGTACAAACTCAAATAATGAAAATACAAAATTCTGTTTGGAAAACCTTGCATCAATTCATTGTGGCAAAATTTACCTTCAATTTGTTGCATCAGTCTTGTACACAAGAGAAGTTACAAGTCACAGTTTCTGAATTGTGCAAGGAAGAAATGTCAGGTATATTCCGCTCTCACAAAGGGACTTTGTTTCAGTGAATTGATGCTGTATGAAGTACTGTGTACTTTGTAGTTATGACATTTTTTAAACACTTGATTCCTTGCGTACAGTTCCCTTTTTCAAAGTCTAATTACTTCAACAATCCATCTGTCAAATTGAAAGTTTCTTGTCTAGGACCAGTGCTTGATGACTATCTGAAACTTTGCAGTTAGTGAGTTTTTTTTGTATTTTAAAAAAAAAAATTCTATTCATTTCAATGAAGCATATACAAAATTGTATATGTGTAGCACAATGGAGTGGATCTGCTGGTATAATATACAATATAGTATGGCATAATAAATACAATGGAGTGGATCTGCTGGCATAATAAACAATATAGTATGGCATAATAAATACAATGGAGTGGATCTGCTGGCATAATATACAATATAGTATGGCATAATAAATACAATGGAGTGGATCTGCTGGCATAATATACAATATAGTATGGCATAATAAATACAATGGAGTGGATCTGCTGGCATAATATACAATATAGTATGGCATAATAAATACAATGGAGTGGATCTGCTGGTATAATATACAATGTAGTATGGCATAATAAATACAATGGAGTGGATCTGCTGGTATAATATACAATGTATGTAGTATGGCATAATAAATACAATGGAGTGGATCTGCTGGTATAATATACAATGTAGCATGGCATAATAAATACAATGGAGTGGATCTGCTGGTATAATAGACAATGTAGTATGGCATAATAAATACAATCAGTAGTCCATAGTACACCCGTAAGGGCAGGCATGGAGGCTATAAATTCAATTCTTTGGGCCATTTCTTCTGGAGCTTTGCCATGTTATTTTTCCTGGCTATGTATCTTTCGATTGATATAAGATCTCTTAGCCCATTTAGGAAATTGTCTAGAGTCGGTTTTCTGTAATTTATACTAGATAGGTTTATATACCGTTTTCCAGCTAGAATGATATTGTTTATAAAAGGATAGCCAGTGTTGATTCCCAACAATATTAGAAAGTCTGTGAATGAAATCGTTCCAGAATGTCTGAATAATTTCACATGAAGTATACACATGTACGATATTTTCTGATTTTTTTTACAGAATGTACAGAGGTCATTGTCAACTATTTTCATCTTTGCAAATTCTTTTCTAGTGTAGATAGCTTTGTGAATAAATCTGTACAGAAAGTCTAAGAGTTTAATGTCTTTTGTACACTTTCTGTAATTTAAGAAAATAGCAAGGCAGAGTAATATTTGTCAGAAATTCCCACTTTCTGCAAACTTCAGTTAGTGAGTTAGTCTGAGACTAGTCAAACTCTGGTAGGGAGGGAGGTCTAGTTTTTGCCTGAAATGTGTTGTGGACTGAATAACTACCGTATATGACCATAGATTAGCCGATCTCATATTCGAGGTCCTCACATGACCACTAACATCAGTATCAAACTGTTATGTCTGGTACCTAAGCCGAACAATGATGTTTATACTAATTGTGGCAAAAAAGTTCCCAGCAATTGTTATGTCTGTGCGTGTAACTCAATATTACTGATACTCTGGTTCCAGGAGTTGGAGCAGATTGAAGAGAACTGGCAAAGTGAAGTGAAAAAACTATTATGGGATATCAGTCAGCTGCAGGACGAGAACCGGCGTCTCCGGGACAACCTCCAGGACCAGAAACAGGCCATCGTGGACAAGGTGGTCCTAGAACACCAACGTGAGTAGAAACATAGAAACAGGCCATTGGGGACAAGGTGGTTCTAGAACACAAACGTGAATAGAAACATGCCATTGTGGACAAGGTGGTCCTAGAACACAATCGTGAATAGAAACAGTCCATCGTGGACAAGGTGGTCCTAGAACACAAACGTGAGTAGAAACAGGCCATCATGGACAAGGTGGTCCTAGAACACAAACGTGAGTAGTAACAGGCCATTGTGGACAAGGTGGTCCTAGAACACAAACGTGAGTAGAAACATAGAAACAGGCCATCATGGACAAGGTGGTCCTAGAACACAAACGTGAGAAGAAACATAGGAACAGGCTATCGTGGACAAGGTGGTCCTAGAACACAAACGTGAATAGAAACAGGCCATCGTGGACAAGGTGGTCCTGGAACACAAACGTGAGTAGAAACATGCCATTGTGAACAAGGTGGTCCTAGAACACAATCGTGAATAGAAACAGTCCATCGTGGACAAGGTGGTCCTAGAACACAAACATGAGTAGAAACATAGAAACAGGCCATCATGGACAAGGTAGTCCTAGAACACAAACTTGAGTAGAAACATAGAAACAGGCCGTCGTGGACAAGGTGGTCCTAGAACACAAAGGTGAGTAGAAACATAGAAACAGGCCATCGTGGACAAGGTGATCCTAGAACACAAACGTGAGTAGAAACATAGAAACAGGCCATCATGGACAAGGTGGTCCTAGAACACAAACGTGAGTAGAAACATAGAAACAGGCCATTATGGACAAGGTGGTCCTAGAACACAAACGTGAGTAGAAACATAGAAACAGGCCATCATGGACAAGGTGGTCCTGGTCGTGAGTAGAAACAGAAAAGGCCATGGTGGACAAGGTGGTCCTAGAACACAAACGTGAGTAGAAACATAGAAACAGGCCATCATGGACAAGGTGGTCCTAGAACACAAAGGTGAGTAGAAACATAGCAACAGGCCATCATGGACAAGGTGGTCCTAGAACACAAACATGAGTAGAAACATAGAAACAGGCCATCGTGGACAAGGTGGTCCTAGAACACAAACGTGAGTAGAAACATAGAAACAGGCCATCGTGGACAAGGTGGTCCTAGAACACAAACGTGAGTAGAAACATAGCAACAGGCCATCATGGACAAGGTGGTCTTAGAACACAAAAATGAGTAGAAACATAGAAACAGGCCATCGTGGACAAGGTGGTCCTAGAACACAAACGTGAGTAGAAACAGCAACAGGCCATCACGGACAAGGTGGTCCTAGAACACAAACGTGAGTAGAAACATAGGAACAGGCCATCGTGGACAAGGTGGTCCTAGAACACAAATGTGAGTAGAAACAGGCCATTGTGGACAAGGTGGTCCTGGAACACAAACGTGAGTAGAAACATAGAAACAGGCCATTATGGACAAGGTGGTCCTAGAACACAAACGTGAGTAGAAACATAGAAACAGGCCATCATGGACAAGGTGGTCCTAGAACACAAACATGAGTAGAAACATAGAAACAGGCCATCGTGGACAAGGTGGTCCTAGAACACAAACGTGAACATAGAAACATAGCCAACATTGGGCAAGGTGGTCCTTAGAAACAGGCCATTGTGGACAAGGTGGTCCTGGAACACAAACGTGAGTAGAAACATAGAAACAGGCCATCATGGACAAGGTGGTCCTAGAACACAAACATGAGTAGAAACATAGAAACAGGCCATCATGGACAAGGTGGTCCTAGAACACAAACGTGAGTAGAAACAGGCCATCGTGGACAAGGTGTTCCTGGAACACAAACATGAGTAGAAACATAGAAACAGGCCATTATGGACAAGGAGATCCTAGAACACAAACGTGAGTAGAAACATAGAAACAGGCCATCATGGACAAGGAGATCCTAGAACACAAACGTGATTAGAAACATAGAAACAGGCCATCATGGACAAGGTGGTCCTAGAACACAAATGTGAGTAGAAACAGGCCATTATCAACAATGTTGTCCGTGAACACACGAGTTGAACCTGCCCACTTATTGACTAGTTATTCTTAAATTTTACGCCGAAGACCCGGGTTCGACTTACCTGGGTACAATGTGAAGCCCAATTTGTGTGTCTGGAATATTTCTCTGTCAGTCAATGTCTGACAGTGTCTTTTTCTCTGTCCAATGTCTGACAGTGTCTGTTTCTCTGTCCAATGTCTGACAGTGTCTTTGTGTCTTTTTCTCTGTCTAATGTCTGACAGTGTCTGTTTCTCTGTCCAATGTCTGACAGTGTCTGTGTGTCTATTTCTCTGTCTGATAGTGTCTGTTTCTCTGTCCAATGTCTGACAGCGTCTGTGTGTCTATTTCTCAGTCTGATGCCTGACAGTGTCTGTTTCTCTGTTTCTCTGTCCAATGTCTGACAGCGTCTGTGTGTCTATTTCTCTGTCTGATGTCTGACAGTGTCTGTTTCTCTGTCCAATGTCTGACAGTGTCTGTGTGTCTGTCCAATGTCTGACAGTGTCTGTGTGTCTGTCCAATGTCTGACAGTGTCTGTTTCTCTGTCCAATGTCTGACAGTGTCTGTGTGTCTGTCCAATGTCTGACAGTGTCTGTTTCTCTGTACAATATCTGACAGCGTCTGTGTGTCTGTCCAATGTCTGACAGTGTCTGTGTGTCTGTCCAATGTCTGACAGTGTCTGTTTCTCTGTCTGATGTCTGACAGCGTTTGTGTGTCTGTCCAATGTCTGACAGTGTCTGTGTGTCTGTCCAATGTCTGACAGTGTCTGTTTCTCTGTCTGATGTCTGACAGCGTCTGTGTGTCTGTCCAATGTGTGACAGTGTCTGTGTGTCTGTCCAATGTCTGACAGTGTCTGTTTCTCTGTCTGATGTCTGACAGCGTTTGTGTGTCTGTCAACAGAGACAGAGGAGCAGGAGATAAAAGTGCTGACAAAATTGAAAGAGACGGTAGACAAACAACGTGAGGAGCTCCGCACACTGCGACGTGAGATGGAGCAGAGGGGAGTCGATTGTGAGGCGGTAAGTATCAGTTATACTCGTGTGGCATAGTGGTAATTTCTTGATATAAATTTATGAATATTGATACCAAATTAGTAATTCAATGTCAAAGAAATGTCTAAATTTATTTTGATTGCCAAAGATGAGATTGATAAGGCCAAATAAAAAAAATGTTGTTGTTCCAATGACAGCTCTTTAAAATTTAGGGTAGGTAGGTCGGAATTATTTTTTTTTCATTTTTTTAGAAGTAAAATACAAACTAATAATACATTTATCAACGTGTAATTATTTATTTAATCAAGCTTGCAGCCATCATGTCGACTTTCAGAATGACCGATGTCCATCGGTGTTGGGAAAAAACCAATGGTATCTGAACTAGTGGTGGTCCGATTAATTGAAATAATCGAAGATTGGTCGTAGTGACTAAACGACAAAGCAATCGATCATAATTTCTCATAATCGAACACAACCAATTTTGGAACACTTGTTTTAATTAACAATATTTTACACATGGTTGGTTGTCTGTTACATGTTGTAAGCACTACAAGCTCGTTTCAAGTCATGGTTGAATTTATCTTAAAGGCTCCAAGAAATTTATGTTCCTAACATACTAGTCATCCTTAAAGATGTGAAATTTTGCCAAAAAGCCCAAAAAGAACTACATGTTTTTTTCCTTATTTTTATGTGCATTAACAAATTTCATAAATGACGCTAACCAATTATTTTCGATGATTGATCGGTTGTAATGAACCAATCATCAATTATGAGATTTTAACCAATTCCCAACACTAATCTGAACGCATATTTTATTCATACCGCTTAAAACAAATAGCACCAGAATTCAAGGGTCAGTCCAGAAATCGGGACCACAACATTTTTTTTTAGGCCTAATGAAATGGCAAAAAATTAGAATTTAAACATTCAATGGATCAGCGTAGTTCATCTTTAATATTAAGTTGATAAAGTTGTAAAGTTATGGATCAGGTAGTCAGAATCGGTGATTAAATATGTGGCATTATACTTTGATGGTGTTGATCGCTGGTTGGTCCAAGACATGTTTATTTACCATCCTCCGGCATATTGCTGGAATATTGCTGAATACAGCATTAGACAACAAACCAAAATAATAAGTATTTTTTATTCAGCTGGGAGCCCAGTTAGAGAGAGTAGCAAAGATGAATTCAGACCTGCGTCGGAAGAACCAGACGCACAAGAAGCAGACGGCAGTATTGCTGGACGAGCGGGCGGACATCGAGGTGCAGCTGAAGGGGAAGGAGGAGGAGGTGGAGAAGATCAAGGAGATCCTCAAGGAGCAGGAGAACATGGACCAGCTGAAACTGGCCCGTGACGTGCGCAGGAAGAGGAATGGTATCCATGGCGATGAAGACGACGATGATGAGGGCGCATCTGAGGTGAGACGGAAGTTCATGTAACCTGTGATCACCTGGAATGGGAAGACTCCCATTTGTACCCAGTAACCCATGCCTGCCTGGTGTAGTTTCATCAGGTGATTGATCAGATGGTCAGACTCCATTACTTGATGGCTCAGCAATAAGTCTTGATGGGTTAGATTGCTGTTCCTCATATCACACCACAGAGCATGGGAAAATTTAAAACAATATTTAGGAGATAACTGTACTGTGTTTGATGAATTGGGGATGTATACATAATAAACGTGTGTAGTTTGAAAAGGGAACTACTTTTTCTGGCGATGGTGTAAGTTCAAGGAGTGATATGATTAACCTTTGACCTAGAGGAACTTTGACCTGGTTTAAATAATGAATTTCTTTCACGAAAAAAACAGCATAAAACGTGTACACGTCGCCAATATAACTAAATTTGCGGCTATATAACCACCGGTATACTTCCCCAATTCGTCAAACACAGTACAGTTATCCCCATTCTAACTCAACTCGTTTTACGCTGTTTTTTCGTGAAAGAAATTCATTATTTAAACAAGGTCAAAGTTCCTCAAAGGTTAATCATATCACTCCTTGAAATTACACCATTGCCAGAAAAAGTAGTTCCCTTTTCAAACAACACACGTTTATTATGTGCACACAGACTAAATCTGACAATGATGAATAAATCATATTATAGATAAAATGGACGGAATTATGATGAAACCGCCCTCTAGTTACAGAAATGAACGGCCCGCTGATTCCTCAACTACGGGTCATTATCAGTTCTGTTGTTAAATGACATCACAGCAGGTGACGTCACGCTCCATAATGACGTCATAAATCTTGTTTCATGATCTAACAGTGTTGGGTCAACAGCCTGTTGCGAGTAAGTTGTTTGAACTTAGAATTAAATTTATGATACTGTTTTGTCATTTTTAACACAAATTCCACCCATTTTAGCTGGATAGGGGAGTTAATTGACTAATGGCTTCTGCAAATGACAATGTCCTGCAAACCAGCGTTACCCCAATAGTGTAGGGATACATTCAAAGGTTTTGGTGAATCGGTTTTCAAATTGCGACCGTATATGCTGATTATACGATCGGAAATTTATGGCATTGACCAATCAGAACTCGTGTTACATACTTAGTTGAATGAGAATATAATTTATACTTAATACAAAAAAGTTAACTTTTACTTTGATTTTGGAAAAAGTGTTCAAAATGAGTTTGGAGAAGTGGCCGAACTCCTATCCTGCAGTGTTCATGAATGGTGTTTCAAAATAACAGGACATTGGGTCCTGTAAGTTTCAGATGTCTGTCTGACCCATTGAAAATTCACAGGACCCATAGAATAAATTTAAACGCACATTTCAGATCTAACATTTCTTATAATTGGCATTGAAATTATTAACGAACGTAAGATTTATAAACTGCAACCAAGTGTGACATGTCCCATATAACAACTTCAGTCAAAGTCATTGTGAAATATACAGTCAGACACTGGGGCCGGCGGGCTGTAGACTTCTATCGGACTGTTGGCAAATCTGCTGGATTTGTCAGAGGGTCAGACGCTATTCGTGAACACTGATGAATCCTGTACCTGTAAACCACCCCCACAAGCGATCTCTGGGCTTCACCTTCCAGGCATTAAACTTTGGGAGTTATGACAGTTGTAGATGCTGCCTTGTGATGGAACCCCAAATACTGAAAGGTTAATCCTTTATGTGGACAGTGTGTACTTTACCTTCCACTGCCATTTGAGAGCTGCATTTTTCATTCAATACCTCAGCATTTTTATTTTCCAATATTAAATACTTGGCTGAACAGATATACAACTTTGGTTCAGGAAACGATGGAGGATATAGCGAGTCGTCTCAACCACCAGGGTAAGATGATCATCGACCTGACAGACCCCAACAGACCACGCTTCACCATGCAAGAACTCAGACAGGTGCTGATGGAACGCAATGAGCTCAAGACAAAACTCATTGAGGTGGAAGAGGAGTTGTCTGTATACAAGCCAAAGTAAGTGTGAAGGTGTTCTGTCTCAATCTGATCATTCACTACCTGGACAGATGTTGAAGATTCCCCAGTGCAAATATCAGGTCAGAGGAGGCCTAGTCTTGGTTTCTCTGGTTAGAGTGAGAAATGGGTGTTGAGATCGTGTGATAGTGTGTCATGGGCCATAGTTTATACTGTAGACCACTGGTTTGCTTTGCATAGATCCATGTTTAGGTCCTGCCGTCACGTAGCTGGAAAATAGCTGACTGTGGTTTAAAACAGGATTTGCTCATTATTGGTCTTGTAACCAAAACTGACTCGAAAAGATCCGGGTTAGAACGAACCTTCAGTAACCCATGCTTGTCGTAAGAAGCTACTAACGGGATCGGGTGGTCAGGCTCGCTGGCTTGGTTGACACATGTCATCGGTTCCCAATTGCGCAGATCGATGCTCATGCTGTTGATCACTGGATTGTCTGGTCCAGACTTTTGATGATTTACAGATAGACTAAACTAAAAAAAACCTCACTCACTCACTCACTGTAACCCAGAGCTACTTGATCTACAACTATGACATTGACAGCTGTACATCAGACTGTATCGGCTACCACTGTGACTAGAATAGCTACATCTGCTGCTGTGACGACAACAGTACAACAGTTATCGCCAATACATCAGTATCACACGTGTGCAGTTCCGGTCAATTACAATTTCGGTATTTTTTCCCCACAGTATTTGACAACAATAAAGGACAGCAAAAGCAAATTCTTCACGGCAAGTAACATATAAGAGAAAAATTAAAGATAAAGATATGAATATTATACAAATATTTTAACTTAGTCTGGGGGATGTTCCACGACCTATGTAACAGCAAGTTCAAGTTCACAAGTTATTAATTGTTTCATTCCCTATCAGTCAACTGTAAAAGAAACAGTCAAATAGTCCCACAATCAATTATTTGAGGTTACTGTATGATATAAATATATATCATTTCACGGATGGCACGAGAAATTCTGAATGGCGATAACTGTTACAGTTAGTTCTAAGAAAACATCTATTTATACTGCCATGATGCTTTCCGCCGCGTTATATAAAAACATAATCAGCGGCAGTGAACGGGCTGGACACATCTGTGAATGGCTAATTAAGTATCATAATTAATTCATTAATTTCACGAACGGCGGAGTAATGGTGTAAATACCGCTAAAATATGGCGATAACTGTTCGCTAGCCAGTACAAAACCAGTAGGACAACAGTACATCTCCTACTACCATGACATTGACACTCTCCACTGGCAGCATCTGCTTCTACTGTGACCATGACGGCACAACAACCACAACAGCATCGACTATGGCTATTGACTGATGTTGTGGTTGCTAAACTAGTGATTGATCATACCACCAGTGTTGTAGTCCTAGACTGACACTACTATTACCACTGGTTCTACTACTTCTACGCCTATTATTACTGCTGCTACTAGTTCCACGTCTATTGTTACTGCTCCTACTAGTTCCACGTCTTTTGTTACTGCTGCTACTACTTCTACGTCTATTATTACTGCTGCTACTATTTCCACGTCTATTATTACTGCTGCTAATACTTCCACGTCTATTATTACTGCTGCTACTACTTCTGTGTCTATTATTACTGCTGCTAATACTTCTACGTCTATTATTACTGCTGCTTCTACTTCAATATATATTATTACTGCTGCTAATACTTCTGCTGCTGCTGCTGCTACTGCTACTACTACTGCTACTACTACTACTACTACTACTACTACTACTACTACTACTACTACTACTACTACTACTACTGTCATACTTCCTATTGACCAGTATCTTTTCATTACCCCACTGTGAGTGTCTTCATTGCTGTGTGTGTGAATGTGTGTTCTCATCTCTCTCTGTTCTGCTACAAGGACTTTCAATGATGTCATGTAAGTATGGTGCCACGCCATTGTCACACATCTGTAGTATCACACCCTGCCACGCCCCTGTGGTATTCCAACCTTAGTGTCCCAGTCTGTATAGTGCTGTAACTATTAGCTGTGGTGCATGTAACTGTATCGTGATGAGCTGAGCTGAGCCGTATTGACACTAAATCAGTATAGCTGCCACGTCCCTAATGTATTACAACCTTAGTGTCCCAGTCTGTATAGTGCTGTAACTATCAGCTGTTGAGCATGTAACTGTTTCGTGATGAGCTGAGCCGTATTGACACCAAATTATAATAGCTGTCACGCCCCTGCCACACCCCTAATGTATTCCAACCTTAGTGTCCCAGTCTGTATAGTGCTGTAACTATCAGCTGTTGAGCATGTAACTGTTTCGTGATGAGCTGAGCCGATATTGACGCAAATTATAATAGCTGTCACCCTCGCCACACCCCTAATGTATTCCAACCTTAGTGTCCCAGTCTGTATAGTGCTGTAACTATCAGCTGTTGAGCATGTAACTGTTTCGTGATGAGCTGAGCCGTATTGACACCAAATTATAATAGCTGTCACGCCCCTGCCACACCCCTAATGTATTCCAACCTTAGTGTCCCAGTCTGTATAGTGCTGTAACTATCAGCTGTTGAGCATGTAACTGTTTCGTGATGAGCTGAGCCGTATTGACACCAAATTATAATAGCTGTCACTCCGCCACACACCCCTAATGTATTCCAACCTTAGTGTCCCAATCTGTATAGTGCTGTAACTATCAGCTGTTGAGCATGTAACTGTTTCGTGATGAGCTGAGCCGTATTGACACCAAATTATAATAGCTGTCACGCGCCTGCCACACCCCTAATGTATTCCAACCTTAGTGTCCCAGTCTGTACAGTGCTGTAACTATCAGCTGTTGAGCATGTAACTGTTTCGTGATGAGCTGAGCCGTATTGACACCAAATTATAATAGCTGTCACGCCCCTGCCACACCCCTAATGTATTACAACCTTAGTGTCCCAATCTGTACAGTGCTGTAATTATCAGCTGTTGAGCATGTAACTGTATCGTGATGAGCTGAGCTGTATTGACACCAAGTTATAATAGCTGTCACATATGGTCCCTTACTACAGAGTAGACAGTTGTGATCCTTATCCTGCACTCACAAGCCTACAATGAGGTACACATGTCATGACGGAACAACGCCTGTGTATTCGCTGTGTACTACCTCATGCTTCTATACAGCTCACAAAATGTTGAGGATCACCTGATTCCTTCGTATTACCATGATAAATCTGTTATGACATGGCGTGTTAACCGTACCACCAGAAAGAATCGGGTTGTTCTTAAGTTTTTGTGAGTAGTGTATGTTCAGAATCACGCTGTCTTTCCAATCTCATTAAAATCAGATCTTTTACTTTGATAGGGTCATTAAAACATCTCTGTGTGGAAATTTTGTATAAACATACAAAAAGTAGTACGCAAATACTTGTTACTTGTTTTGGGGCACAGATGCTGTGATTCTCCGGTACAAATCAAATATCTGCTATAATATAAAGCTTCTGCTAATTATCTACATTCATAACAGGTGGTTTGAAGTTCAGAAAATTCAACTGACAAAAGCTCCTATGGAAATGTTTTTAGATATTCACACAGAGGTATCATATTGGATTAAAAGATGTGATTTTCTGAGATAGGCTGTGTATCTGTAATTCTCAACATGGTTATGCATCCATTTCAACTACTTTGTGTACAGTCTATGTCTGCTATTTGAGTGCATATAATGAAAATAATAAAGAAAAAATAAATCTTTTTGTGGGGGACCAGTTGTAAGGATACTTTGGCTGAAGGGGTCGTTGTCGGCACAGGTACTACAGATATGTACCCCAGGTACGTTTCTGTATACAGATATGTACCCTAAACAAGATCAAAATACAGAAACGTACCCGGCACCTTACACGGACGATGAGTCCATATTTCGCAACCTAAAATCGAAACCGTATGTAGTAGTTCCCGTTCAACTGATTGCAAATGGTATTGTGCTCTGCGAAATATTCATGACCGCGCATGGTCGTTTCTTATAGAACGTAATCAAATGCATCTAATACCACTGTATGACAGTTCCAATCAAGAAAACAACACACTGCGGAATGGAATCATCCAAGGGTACGTTTAGGGTACATTTCTGTATACAGAAACGTACCTTGGGTACACATCTGTAGTACCCGTGCCGACAACGACCCCTTCAGCGATACTTTGCTTCCTATTTTCATATTGTTCTTGTAAATGAAGACATCTTTAATTGACTTAGTGAAAAGTGAAAGGGAGTTCTCAAAATTTAAAATTTTATCTGAAATTTTAATCAGTTGATAATTAAAACAATTCTTTGAAAATACAACACAAATGACCCATTGATAGTTTCTTTTGTTTTAGATTTTGTCAAAGCTCTTTTGAAAGGATACTCATGTTTATTGAATGCTTGCGCCATACCCTTGCATGTGGGTTAATTCTGTGAACCATGTTGAGAATTGTGCATGTTTTATTGTCTGTGCTGTTCGCATGTTGCATGTGACTGGTATTAACTTTTTTATCTCTTTCCCTAAAGAGAGGAGAGCGGTGGTAGAGGAGATGCGTGAGTAACCTCCCTTTTCTGTTCCACAGAGCTGTGTTAGAACTATACAAGTCTATTCAGTGTCTTCATAGTATTCGTAACTGTACAAGGCAGATGTTTTGAAGGGTCACTCACATAATGATAAAAATATGTTTACTGTACTTGTGATAAATTATGTCATAAGAATGAAAACATACAAACTTTACAACTGATTACAGGTTTCTTTGACAGGCATTTGAGAAGTTATAAAGATGAAGGAGAACCAAGTTGGATAGTCAACTCCTGTAATACAGATGTTGACTATCCCATAGAACTTGGTTTTCCTTGATTACTGGTTCATATATATTTCACAAATATCATTTGTTCTTCGTGACCCTTCAAGACATGTAGGTTTTGTGACTGTTAATCTCTTTCATGAGAAACTGCTTTGTTTAAATGTCGCAGATTTGATGTGACAGACAAACACATGTAACTAAAATTTCAAACCCAAGTTTTTTTCTCTTAGGAAATTATTTGTGTTGCTATGGTAATTCTGTTAGTTCTGATTCAGCTCGTTTGTGTGTGCTTACTATATATGATAATAATGATAAAACCTTTAATATGGCGCCAAATTGATTTAATTCACCCCTCCCCTAACCCTGTATCTGAATTCTGGTCCACACTGTTTACAGGCATGTTAATGGCAAACTTGTCATATATGTGTCAACCTTCAATCTCTGCTGAATACTCGTGATATATTCTGTCTGCTTTATGAACTGCTTTGAACTGATACATTAACATTTTGAAAGTGATCTGTCTGAACACTGAACAAACCTTAACATTCCTGAGATCTAGGACTGATTGTTTCTTCCATTGTTCTGATTCTTCCTGGCAGAGTTTCACTTTCTGTTTTATTGTTTAAATGTGTCGTGTACGGACGTAGCAGGACAGGGTATAACGTGGGTTTATTATGATCATAGTGCCTGCCACTTTTCATTTTTATGACCTCCAAATATCAGTAGTATACTGCAAGACCCATGGTCACCCACTCCTCTAGACCCTCCTAAAGTCTAGTCCAACTTCCAGTGTCTTCTGTATTGTTATCACCTCAGAACCCTCATCCCACTAAGGCAACTTTGTCATATCCTCAGTTTGTACTATATTGCCATGCACTCCCTTCCAGACCCTCCTAATTTGATTTGTATAATATTGATATCTCCACCTTGTGCTGCAGCACCCTGCCCTGTAGACCCCCCTTGGTGTCCTCTGTATATGCTGCCTGCACCCCTTATAACAAACTTATCACCTCAGTACAACTTTTTATTCTTGTGACAAAAATTATGCAATTTTTGTCTAGAGTTGGTCAGTTGTTTTTATTGCAGTTATTTATTTTTTTATGTCTATTTGTTTTGTGTTAGCAATTCATCGATATCATTTTGTTGCAATACTCACAGGTGCATGTCTGTTTAAGGTATGTCTGGGTGGGGGTGGGGGTTGGGGCAGTCATTGAGGGCACCACAAATCACTGTGTGGAGAGCCTTGAGTTCGAATCCAAGTTGCAGTGATTGTATTCAGCACCATGGGATTCATCATGCATCACTCCAGGCTTTCCTCCCATGTTAAACAGACCACTGTGATGTATCAGATGTATAATGTTCTAAATTCACCAGGGCGGTGGGGTAGTCTAATCTAATATTGGCACCAAGACCCTCAATAAGCTGGTGGTTTGTCCGAAGCAGCATACAACACAATAAGAGGCGGTATTCTGTATCAAGAGCATGGACTTCTATTGTTTGTCAAGCTATTAATGACTGTAAGCTATGCCATAGCTGAAACATTAAATGCCAGGCCTCGTATGAAGTGCATGGTTCTAAGCTTTGTTCAAAGAATGATCCCCAGAGTGTTTATTAGAGTAAATATGGAAAAAGGAATGCTGTTTGAAGCAGTGTTAAACTCAGTAATTCCCCACTGGTACACGATTCTTGTTGCTGCTTACAGGACATCCTCCTATCGGGGGGAGGAGGTGCTCGTGTACGGACCAATCAACCGAGAGCCGGACGAGAAGGTGCCAGGAGCCAAGCGGGAAGGAGGCATTCGCAAATTGTAAGTTGAATATCTCAATAAAAGTTCTACCATTTAAAACAGGTGTTGTTGAATCGGACGTATGAATTTTGAGCAGTTAATTTTGTTCTTTCTTCATTATCTCCTCTTTGCATGACATGTTTGCAGTCTCTTTTTTTGTGCCTTGCACTAACTTATATTTAGATGAGATATGAGGATTGTTTCTCCTTTCCAACACAGTCACATGACTATTATACACACTGCTGGATGAGGCGGGGAAGTGCAGGGTGATCACCTCCCTCCTTTTCTTTTCTTACCTAGGCCAGACCTTTTTTTAGTTCTTGTTTTATAGATCTATCAAAATGATTTCTGTCTGCTTTCCAATATATATTAAAAATGGAAAATGACATTTTGGTTTTCATTATTATGCCAGCAACACGAAAATATAGGCCGAATTCTCAATGAAAGAGTTGTTGTGTAAATACATTTCACTGGACAACTACTGCGTTTCTGAAAGAAAAATAGTATCTCTGCCCTTGACATGCAAAAGATGAAAAACAACATGACCAAAATGATTTAAACAAGACTACCAAATACAAATTGTTTCTTGAATTATTTTTTTACATCTGGCATATTTTTGTGCCAAGTGGACGTCCTTCTTTCCGAAACCAGCAACTATGCCAGAACATTATCCTCTCTGTTCATCTGTCCTGTGTAAACTGTTGTCATGACTACACATGCATGAGCACTTATGAGAAACGTGCATGAGTTTTGTCTACAAGGTCCAAGAAAACAACATCTAAGTTCTCTGAAACCATTATTATTGAAAACTGTTAAAAACTTCTGCAGCATTCACATAGATAGGCATGTCCGATAAATATGTTTTATGAAATATAAGTACATCCACTTGAATTCATCAAAAGTATGAATGGCATTATTCCATCAAATAAAATTCCATGTAGCTCTGTGGGCAAGCACCAAATAACAACCATTGCACTAATTTGTCATGAGTAGTACATGTACAATAATCGTGAACACAATGATAAACTCACAGTACCCCACCCCAGGCGTTACAGCTGTTTATCACGCTATCATTTGATGTACATCCAGCACATGTTGACAGTTCCATGAATCATCTCCATCTGTTAACACCCAATATTATTGCGGAGGGACCTTCAGAAAGTGGCCTTCATTGTGTTGCAGAACACAATAATGCTGATCTGTCTGACTCATGGTAACAATAACAGAACCAACAATATTTGTTTTATGAAAACGGTTACCATAACTAACACTCAATAGCTCATTATGATACATGATGAAATACCAGTTTTTTAAGGGGTTGATGTTTCTATTTACGTTACTGTTTTATAGTAATGTAAACAAAGCCTCAATATCAGTTTTGATGATTGGAAACATTCTTTTAGCATATTTTTTTGTTAAAAGAAGGAAACAGTCAGATGCCCAAGAAATTAGTCATAAACCAAATTTGAGTGTCTTTTGACTTTTTTATATAGTTTAATTAACTTAAATAGATATTTGATAGTTGTTAATAAGTACATGGCTACAGATAAGGGGCGTACAGGCGTAATGTATGCCTCAAATCAATTAAGTACGACATAATATAAGATTTCAAGCGTATCGTGTACGCACATAAATATCTTTGTACGTCTAACATTTAATTTACGTGCGTATCGTGCAAATGGAAATCTATTTCGGATAAATACTTGTCAAGTTTCTTTTGCGAAACACGATTTGACACATGAGGAAACCCCGACAGTAGGAATCCCTTGCGTTGCCATGCAGCGATATGCGTCACTATTTTTCGATTGGCTAAAAACTACACTGTTCCTATTTATATCCAGTCGGACCAGACATTTCGCGCATAACACGGTCGCTCAGTTATTTCTCACGTGTCTTCAAATACAAATACATGGTTGGAAATAGTGATCGATGAAACGTCCAGACAAACCACATCACCAACTCGCTTACACAAAAACATGTCAGTACTCCTTCAAAATTCTCAGTACACCTCCACTTGCAATATGATGTGTAAGTACACTCACACCCCCAAAAGTTATCTGGAGCCCTGTAAGTAGATATTTGCTACTAAGTAGTTTTCACAATTGTACTCTAACATTGGTTAACTGTTGTTGCTAATAAGATTCATATTCAAATGTTTTGTTCAAACTGTGTGTAGTAACAGTGTTTATGCAAGTAGTATTAAAGAAATATTTACTGGCCCTATTAATATGATAAATGCATTATGCCTGCCAGTGTAAACTTGTAATTATATGAAAGGAATCACTGTCAGAGATTGTGAAAGTATGGTGTTCACTGACTGCTAATAAGATCCTCCGTGAATGGTTTGCTGTAGAAAGTTTGAATTTGTGCACCTTTCATTTCTTGTCTTGAGTTTACAGTCCAAACAGCCAGACACTGAATATTCCTCATTTTACACTGATACCCTCATGTAATCTCATTACAATCATTATATGCACATGTATCCATTCTTATGTATCTACTGTGGGAATCATTGCATGCTGAATAGGAGATGAACTGCCTCCATTGCCAGTTTCAGTTATTTTCTTGTGGTAATCTGTATACAATCTATATGAGTTGTCTCCCTTCCCACAAGTTTCGTCTTCTGGTCTATCAGTGCTAATTAAGCCCTAGTGTTCTGTTTATGTACAGTTTCACTTTGGTCTGTGTGTGTCGTGCATTTTGCAGTTGTATAGTAATAACCATCACATAACCTTTGTAATGTTTGATACTTGGATAGTGTTGTAATTGTGTGTTTTATAACCTGTTTGTTGATGAAGTATGGTTTGGATAGTGATGAGGGTCGTAGACGATTACATCATCCATGTTAGAGATAAATGATGGTGGCTGACCTCACATATCTCTGTGTCTATCTTTAGATATGCTACTCAAATAAGTTGAAGAATACCTCATTTTTCCATGTGACTTTAGTCAATCCGTCATACCATGTAACAATTGGCGTTCTTTCACTTCTTTGAATAGTATATATATATATAAAACAGGCATCACAGGTCAGTCTTAGAGTCTTAGAGTCGATTGTATATATATCTAATAGGCACAAAATGACAGATAAGGTAATGGCGCAAGATGTGATATATACTACTCAACTTCTGACAAGGATATTCTGCTATCCGAATGTTGGGAGACAAGTGTGTACATTTTTACTGATGCCTTTCTTACTTTAATTCACAACATGCATCAACTATCCTTCCAACATGACACTTAGAATACCCAGGGCTCGATTTAAGAGATACCCTATTTGCACCAGGTGCAACCTAAGATAAAAACCTAGTTGCACCAGCCAAATTCCAGTTGCAACGTTGTGTGTTAAAATGTCAGAGGTTTCTGTGCACATAAACATTTTCCCATGATGTAGTACACATGAAACCATAGCAACACGGAGACACAGCTGTCATTGCTGAGACGTGTCTATAAATAGCAATGTTTTGGTGCCATAGCTATTCAAAGTTTAGAAGAAAAATGAGCTGACATATTTATGTTTATAATGTTAGATTTATTGTTGATTTATTTCTCAAAAATTAACGTGTACCTGGTGCAAGTAAGACTAATAACTAGGTTGCACTTTGTAATATTGGGTTGCACCAGTGCAAGTAACAAAGCACTAAATCGAGCCCTGATACCCCTGTTATATGTTGAGTAGTATATGTAGGAACAAGCTCTAACCAGTTATGTAAGTACAAAGAAAAACTTCCTTAACTTTTTTGTAGCAGTATGATCAGATACATTGACAGCTTGTTGTCTCCTCTTAGCTTTCAGAATTTATTGGATAACTTGAGCCTTCCACAACTGGATTTGTAATGTATGTATTGGTTATACACGTCGGTTACTGTCCAGTTCTTGTCTTGTACTGCTTCATTTGCTTTCAAACATAGTTATCTCCCCTGAATATTTGTCATTGTGGCCATAAATGATTGTCAGTGAATATGGGTGGTTTTACGCGCTTTTAGCAATATTCCAGTAATATCATGGTAGGGGACACCAGAAATGATCTTAATACATTGTATTTATGTGGTTAATTGAACCAAGGTCTTCGATAGACTGAGCAAGCTCTTTAACCTTTAGGCTGCACCACAAGCCCTAATTAATCATTTAGAGATGTTGACTTTGATAGATTTTCTGATAAAGCGTGATGGCAACTTGAATTCAAGGAAAGTGATAAATCACCACAAACATTTATAAAATATGATTTTAACAAGAGCCAGTACATCTCCAGGTCCTGATACTTCGATTCAGTTACCAGTGGCTAAATGATCAGAGACACTGCTCCAATGAGATATTGTGTTATCTGGTTGTGTAAGTTTCAAGGTAAAAATACTTTATTTACTACAAGAGAGTCTGTTCCAATACCCAGCATGAAAGCACTTCAGTCTTCTTTAGATTTTGCATTTTCAAATTCAGTATTATAAAGGAACACATCTGGTACCTTCCTGTGTGAATGAATGTGAATGTCGGACCTGTCACTTACTGTATTGTGGCTGTGAACTTGACTCTGGGTAGTAATTTGTGTTGGGAATTGGTTAAAATGTCATAATTGATGATTGGTTCATTACAACCGATCAATCATCGAAAATAATTGGTTAGCGGCATTTATCAAATTTTCCTGGTTATGTTTGTTAATGGACAAAAATACAGAAAAAACACATAGTTCTTTCGAGTTTTGTTCAAATTGCACAAAATGCATTTGTAAGTTTTACATCTTTAAAGGAAGACTAGTATGTTAGGAACCGTAAGTTCCTGGAGTCTTTAAGATAAATTCAATCTTGACTTGGAACCAGCTGGTAGGGTTTATGAAATGTAACAGACAAAACCAACCTTGTGAAAAATATTGTTAAAGCAAATAAGTGTTCCAAAATTGATAATGTTCAATTATGAGAAAACATGATCGATTGCTTGGTCATTTAGTCATTGTGACCAATCTTTGATTATTTCAATTAATCGGACCACCACTAGTAGTAATGGCTGCCTGCTGTGTCTAAAGGGAATCATGCACCAAAGACATCCTCATTTATCTAGGGAATATTACCTCAGTTTTATCATGAATAGTGATCAATACCACTATATTACTGAAGATGAAGGATTGTTTGAGTCCTAATAGTGTGTATTTTTATGTGCCCTAACATGATATCTGGAATATTAATAAGAGCAGCCCCTACTGTATGTAATACTGTATTATAGATAGCACTTTGATGTTCTTATTAGCACAGGGGCAGTCAGATAGCTTAGTAGTTAAAGCCTTCATTCATCACACCACAGACCCGGTTCCATTCTCCATATCAGGGCTGGAAATAACTTTAAAATTGCTTGTGTACTCCGGTACAGTGACACAAGTAAAATCACTTGCCCTGATAATTTTTCCACTATACTGGCCGATTTTCTTGTTGATTTTTTAAATAAACAACATAATTAACATTGGAAAGTCAACTGGACACTGGTACAGTGTGATATACAAATATGCTTGCCCGACCGAAAAAAACACTGGACTCGGGGTCGGGCAATGGGTTATTTCCACCCCTGCATATGGGTACATTGTATGAAGTCCTGAAGTGTATGCTGGTGTTTCCTGACAGGATAAAACCATACTCACTCTCTGTTACTGGCAGCCAATCATCTCATACTGTATGTTTGTAGTATGTCATTTGCCAGAACTCAGTGATACCAGAATCGAATCCCAGTTTGATGTTTCTAGTACTGTCAGCACCTTACCTGTACATGTAGGTTTTCACCAAGGTGGGAAATGTCTTTAACTTTGGGCTCCCACATCAAGCTGACATTGTTATTGGCAAAGTTGCGCCCAACCCATTAATTGAATCTGTTAATGGTGGGTACCCGGTAGTATGATGCTTGTTGTTGGTGTCCATTCTGCACATGTCTGTAAAATCAACTCACATTGATTAATTGTACATTTGCTATCTGGCAGTGGAGGCAAGATTCATATTCAGGGGAGATCACTCTAACATTTAGTGTTGATGTACTAAACCATAAGCACATGTTTTCATGTTAGATGTTGACGCTTAGCATGGCAGTCACCACTCAAGGATGACGACAGTTGTTTCATGGCTATACATGGAATCTGCATGGCACACATTCTGTCTCATTAAGAGCATGTCTTTTCACTAGAGTGCAACATCCCTCTGGATGAAGATCTAAAGAAGGTCACACAAACTCTCCATGGCCTTTGACCACCAAATCGAAATGAACCAATCAAATGTCAACTTACTAAATTAATTGGCTATATTATTTTAACACCTTGATTCATAAGTTTTGATTTTCTCTAAAAAAATATGTTTGGTGGCACTACCATTTTGTGTAGACAGTACGCTGGGAAATGAAAGATTGTTTTACATGTCCACAGCAATATCATGTGGTGCAGCCTTTGTTGTTTACATTCGGGAACTGACTGAAGTTCATTTTCAAACAGGAATCTGATCTGGTGGCCTAAATAGTTTGCTCATTTGTAACAAGAATTTTGAAGCTTTGATGATGAACCCAATATGATCATCTATGAAGGTGTCATGAGATCTTCATGGATCTTCATTTCTGTAAAAGATCTGATTTGAATGAGATTGGGCAAATAGTCGTGTTTCGATAAGAAAGGTTTTAACAGTTCTTCATTATTTAACTCTCATTTGATTCTCTACAGAAAGCTTCATTGTTCATTGTGTTTCAGCTGCCATGTAATGCCCACAGTTGTACATATGGAGGCCATACCAAGTTGACTATCTGTTTCTCCGAATCTTTGCCTCTCTTTGTAAATCAGTGGGTTGGGTTTTCCCTGCATTTGCAGTAATATTACAAGCAACACCAATGTTTTATCTGTCATTTACACCTTCCATAATCTTGTACTTAAAATGCAGCTATGCTGTATATTTCATGTGTTAAGAGCGTGAGGTGGTTAAAGCATTGTCGTATCTCACCAAGGCCTTGGTTCGATTCCCCAGATGTGTACACTACCCATTTCTGATGTTCCCTGTTGTGCTAAAAGCAGTGAAAAACCCACTCATTCACTATGTATTCCATTAATCGTTTTGGAGTGAGTGAGTATGGTTTTACGCCGCTTTTAGCAATATTCCAGCAATATCACGGCGGGGGACACCAGAAATAGGCTTCACACATTGTGCCCATGTGGGGATTCGAACCCGGGTCTTCGGCGTGACGAGCGGATGCTTTAACCACTAGGCTACCCCACCGCCCCAATCGTTTTGGAGTAAATCGAACAAAAGATTTAAAGAAATGTCCCCAATATCATCCTTTTGGAGAAGTAGGTCCAAAGAGCAAGTAATTAACTTGTTGTGGCCTGTATTGAGTTGTAAGGCTGAGTACCTCGCTACTAAAAGTTCTCACTTAGGAGTTGATTGCCGGATGCAAAAATGGTGCTTCCCTTTGTTCAGTTGTCAGTGTTGTGTGTTTCTTTTCAGATGTTATCATTATTATTGATTATTGGAACAGCTGTTAAATAGCAGTCAAACAAAAGCACTGTTCGCTTTCACAGATAATGTGTCCTATGTCTGCCTTGATAACTTTCCTTAGTGGTTGTGTGATTACTTTACCGTTGGGTAAATCAGCGATGCCAGATTTAAATATTTAACTTCACAACAACATTAAAGAGGAAGATTTATTTCTTTTGTTTTATTCTAACAGTAAGTATAATTTTCATTGGAAACAGTATCTATTATCAGATTTCCTGACTGAAATATTTTTCTCCAGTTTTTATTGTGCTAATTCTTTTCGTGGAACTTTTAAATTTCAGTTTTGGGTATATTTTTGGGGATGGACCATCACCACGACCAAGGGAACGTCGCCAGCGCAGTGCAACATTCGCGAAATGACCTCTGTGGGACCTCAGTACAAGCGACCTCTGTGATGACCAGTCAGATTCAGACGATGAACAGGAGCTCCTACAAAACTTCCTGTCTCCTGTTGCATTCTGGGAAAGCAACTTGCAGCTTTCCCTTGTATGGAGTAGGGACCATAGCTAGCTTAATACTCGTCCATGTTCGAATACACATTTTATCTAGCCCAGGGAATGGAAATATAGAAGTGTGTAATTAATAACATATGTTTAATGACTACAATCATACAGATGGACATTTTATATGATGTGTTTATGTTTTATTTTTATACTGTGTATATATATTATGTATATGTTGCCAATTGTACATTACGACATGATTACCGAACTACCGATGTCACTCAAGTGCTTGATTGTCCAGTCTTCTCTGTACATTAATCTTATAGAACATAATACTGAAATAAACAGTAGTCTAATTCCACATAATTATCCATAAAAGTATCATTATTCTTCTAATTCCAAAGTTTATCTATAATTATTGCAGTCTTAATTCAATGAGAATCAGTATACAGTGGAAATTTACATGTCATTACAGTGTGCAAAGCTCTATTCAAAATAAATTTAATGATCAGGATAAAAATGTACAGTTATTCCATCAACGACGGCAAAGTTTCTCAGCTCCCTGGGGAACATGCCATTCCTGACACAAATAGCCTGAATACAATAAAATTTAAAATTCAATTTGAGTAAGAAAAGTGACTGGGTGTCTGCAAAAATTCACTTTCTATTTCAATCTGGAGCTTGGAGACATCATTTTAGATGATTAGTTTTAATTAATCGGAATCCCGACATCATTTTTCAACTAGACTGATTGAGATGCGGCAAGTGTTGGGGCAAGGAAGAGCTACTTACAAACTTTATGAAGTAATAATCGGCATCATTTAAATTAATTATAAATAGCTCAATTAGTTTTCTGATTGTGATATGGAAAAACATTCCGTACTGATCTCGCCAAAGATGTGTGTCTTACACAATGCAAAGTCTACACATATCTTGGCATGTTAAAATTTTGTTATACATCAACTTCATGATGAACAAGGCCATGCATTTTTAAATCGAGCTCATAGATAATTATATAATCAGTATTAAATAATCAAGTAAGTTTTGCTGTTGCTTGTATTGGATCGAATATTCCATTAGTATAATGTGTATTTTGTAGTCGTATGATTCTACTTATTTAATGATATTATAACTGCAATATGACCATGTTATTATTATGGTTTGGTTTGCCAACTCTCGCATCTTGCCTGTCAAATGATTATTGTTTCAATAATATTTTGCAATAATAATAACAAATCAAACATTCCACTGATTTTTTTGACACAATACAATAAGAAATGTAGGTACCAATAATGTACCAGAATCAACCCATCCTGAAACTTGTATTTGCTCCTGGACGTTTTGTTTCAAGAACAAAAGAATACCGCTTGTATTGAGGAAAGTAGCATCCCAGTTGTTGTCATGGTGATGTCTGTCCCCTACAGAACTATACAGAGAGAAACAAAGATGGAAGCAGTGTTGTGGGAAGTATTATATCAAAGATGCTGTATTAATGGTATATAGTGATGAATGTATGGATGACACTAAAAGTAGGATTCATCAGGTGAAATAGTGGCACGAAGGAAAACGGTTGATCCAGAGGTTAGTGCTTGAACCGCAGATGTAGTGTGTCATATATATATACATATGGTTGGGCTTCCTCAGCCTAGTTAAAGGGGCTCTGTGAGTGTCAACACGTCCAGTGTTCCAGAATATTGTACCTCAATCCCTGTTGTCTAAAGCTGTTGCCAGGGGCAGGTAACTCCTGGGTACAGTTCAGGAGCCTCAGCGATTATTACCTCCTATGTATGTATATCGGTGATGTTGCATTAAGAGCTCGCTGTACCTATATATTCTATATACTACTCAATTGTTGTTTGGAACATTCCAGTTCCAAAGGGGACGTCAGTGGTCTTAATTACTTAATAAAGATGTACAATCAATATTTAATATTACCGCAAATGTTCAGATGTTTCAGATCATAAGAAACACTTGTCCATTAGTTGTTACCCAAATAGTCTTGTAGCTCTGTGAAATATACTAGTATCCCTATTACAGTTGAGTGATGTAGTATTCACACTCAGAGAGCTCCTCTGTAAGATTGCAAGCGGAATTAGACAAGCGTGAAGAAACAAAAGCCAGCTACAAAGTACTTGGTGCTATTGACCATCATGTCATGCTCCATGTCAACACCAGAGAGGGTGTCAAATCTGAATATCCCCTGCATTGTTGTGTGTTGTGGTGTAGCCATTTGTGATTTATAGTTACCATGGTTACTGGAATTAATTATTTTAGGAGATTGTTAAAAAACAGATTTCTAAAAGTTCCACATGATTTTAAGTTCCGCGATTACAAAAAGATTTTCCGTAAACAGAAGTCAGTGTGTTATTTTCTGAACAACAAACCACATTAAAGTGTACAGGTAATTTTGTTGTCCTTTGGCTGAAGATTGTCATCCATATATGTATCAGAGCCAAGTCTGACGATTATGTTGGCACTATATATGAGAGTGTGATAGTACATGTCTCTTTGTTACCATGGAAACAGTTATGGCCTTAAATTTATATTACATTGTATATGAACCAAACAAGTAAACATCTCTTGTTCAAATTTTTTTTGGAAACTTTCAGTCTTGAATTCTTAGTAATAAAAAGTGATTGCAAAGTGATTCTTCTATGATTATGTTTTTAGGTTAACTCAGAGAAGAGAGATTAAAAAATTAAGATTTGTCCATCCTAGGATGGTTAACATTAAAGATGGGTTTGATGGATGTCATAGCTTCATTTTCATTCCTATGTTCTCTTGTGTGAAATGAGTTGTGAAAATCTGATGGTTGACAGACCCACCTGGGTACAACCCTGTGGGAGACACCTGAATGCTGTTATCAGTTGCAGCCCACTAAAAATTATTGTTTTGAATTACAAACTGAATTGTCATTTGTATATTAGGGACATTTTGTAGGGGCTGATAACATACATGTAGCTGAATTAAACAAAAATAACACGTTAAATAAGAATATTCGTTAGGTTTTGGAACAGGTGTGAATGTCATATTGGATGTGTTGTCATTTGAAAAAAGTTAGATATTTTTGTGGGCCAACATTTTCACGAAATGGAGCAAATACGTATCCATATGTAAAGTTAAGGAGTACAGTCAAGTCTCGTTTGTCCAACATCCTCCGTTGCACAGAAAAATGTTGGATTAACAGGATGTTGGATTATCGAATTTTGAGTACAGATTACATTCATGGTCAAAAACAGGACAATCATGATTTATATTAAGACAAGACATGCAGCCACATACTGAAGTCCACAGCTTGATTATTTCAGAGTCAATAATGCCAATAAGACGTGTTTAAGAGTTAACCCGGAACTGAGTTCAGCCTTGGCATCATTACATTTGGCATACCCAGGAAACTTCTATTAATTCCATGACATTGCGATATGGTATATTTACAGCAATCTTGTTTTTCCCAAGAGAACATAAATTCATAAGAATAACAATATCAACCATATTTTTGGGGAAAAAATGATTTTATACATATTTTTATTGATACTTTTTAATTTCACAATTGCTTTCTTCAAAATTAGTGTCCTAGGCTTTGATATCTGCTTACCACGTGGGTCAGAGGTTGTATTTTCATGACCTTGTAGACAGGTGGACATTCCACAAACACTTTTAAATGAGATCTTTCACTCTAAGATGATACCTTGATCTGGCAACATTTAAATAGGTATAGATATACAAAATTGGATAGGAAGGCTAGATTTTTGGCATTTGGTCATATGATATATCTGAATGTTTTGTTGACCCATACAAAGTATTTATAAGCCTTGATTCTGATTGGCTGTTTAGAAAGTTGGAATTTTGAAGTCTTGATGCTGATTGGCTGATTGGACATTTCTTATGACTTCAAATGAAGTAGGAATAGCATCTGAGTAAAAGATCAAATTTTCTTGAAAATGGATGCTCCCCTGGTCTCACATGCAGTTTGTTGTATTTACCAGGGATCCAGCATGTTAAGTATTTCTTAATTTGTCAGATTTTATCACAAATTGTTTTAAAGTTACAGAACATCTCACAGTACAAATATGTGTAAATAAGGGATCTGTTCACGAAGACCAAATTTCAGTTTCCATGGAGATGACAAATTATTACCTAGTTTGTTTTTATGTAATATACCTGAGTCAAGAACCCCTGTCATGTTGGATAAAAGCCAGTTTGTGATAGGTGTGATTAAACTTGTGTTGTTAAAACGTTACTTGTTTGTAAATAGCTATGTTTGTTTTGTTAGTGTGGCTTCACAAATGCAAGAGGTTGTGTGATAATACTTGTTGCTCTTCTTGCATAATTACGATGGTTGAAAATATTTAGGTCTGCTTTTATGGTCTGAGTGAAATGCATTCATGAGATGGAGATACGTGACTGATTTCCCTGAACATGTGTTGGTAGATGTTTTAACATGATCAAGGGTGTATTTCTTCTCTGTGTTGACAGCTTGCTGTGAATCAGGTTCTGGATATATGAAATGTATACTTTTTGTTAAATTCTGAACCTCTGTATACTTCAGAACTCAGTCAATTTCAGGGGCATAATCGTTAAAGCGTCTGCTCATCACACTTAAGACCTGGGTTTGAATTCCCACATGGGTACACTATGAGGAGCCCATTTCTGGTGTCCCCCGCCGTGATGTTGCTGGAATATTGCTAAAAGAGGCATAAAACTATACTCACTCACGACAATTTCAAGTGGTTCCACAGTCTGGGCTGTTCTTGTCTTAATGCTGAGTCTGCCATAGAAGCTTTCAAATATTTATAAATGAGGTCTCTAATTGAAAATAAGAATATTTTGAAGATTAACTTTTAAAATTTAGTGTGGCAGTTCAGCGATAAGAAAGTGTTCACTAGTCAAGCCAAGATCCATGTGTCTGTTTCTTTGTGGTTACAGTGTGTGAAGCACATGTATGGCAACCCTTTCATGCGAACTGAAATATTGCCAAAATTGAGATTATTTCCACTTACTTTGAAACTTATTTTATTTTTAAACATTTTGTTTGATGCTTAACCCTGACATAGTTTGTGTATATTTAGAGTTTACCTCCTGACCAGCAAATTTGTAAAACATTGACAAATTGGTCTTTCCCAAATTTACTGAAAATACTGTTTGAAAGGCAGACTGGAATATTTTAAACAGCCAGCTTTCTGGGTCTTCTGGTTTTGTTTTGGGGGTAAACAAGCCACCTTCTGCTATGGCACCTTTCATGTAAGTATTGTATGCCTATAGTCCTCCGGTCTACATGGTGTTGGCTGTATGCCTGGGAGGGTGGACGTCAGCAGGTGCTTGTATGGTGCTGGATAGATCTCTGATTTTGGTAAATCTACACGGACTCAAGGAGTCATTTCCATGGTTCTCACAATCTCAAATAACCTAATATTGTATAAGTGAAAAGCTCTGGTCAGCTATTCCATACTATTATTTCCATGCTACTATTGAAGTGGTACTTTGGGCTAAATTTGTGATAGGATTATATGTGGATGAGTCTTTAACGATTCATTGAAGTGACAGTACTCTGTAATACTTTAGTTAAAATGGGACGTTGGGTAGCTGGAGTGGTTAGAGTGTTCACTTGTAAGGCCCAGGTTTGATTCCCCACAAGGGTACAATGTGTGAAGCCCATTTCTGGTGTCCCTGCCTTGATATTGCTAGAAGCGGTGATAAAATCCAACTCACTCACTGAAGGTAAAAATGTCAAGTGAGAAATCAAACATACAAATATTTTCCCTTTTATTATGAGACTCACCAGTTTTCTTTCCACCATACAAGCACCTGCTTCTATTCATTCTCAACTTGTGTAAGAAGTTGTGTACATGTGCCTCAATTATTATGCAAATATCTTCCTAACTTACATGCTGTATGCAACTTCAAGTCTCACCGAGGTTGTCTTCTCATTTTTGCAGTGTTCATAGTTAGACATCAGTGCTTCTGAATTCAACAATCCTGGCAGTCTTGAGCAAGAACTGTTATTTGTTATTAGGGCTAGTAATTTTTTCATTTATGACAAGGCCTATTGAAGGTTCTGTTAATGGCTTTCATTAAGTAATCAGCTTAGATCTGCATCGCCTGAGCTTCAAACGAACATTATACTGGCATGCCATGGTGTAACTTATACCCTGTTTGAAGTGGAAAAACAGCAATTGACAAATATTTCTAAGGAATCGTTTTGGAGAAACATTTCTTGAAGTAGGACATCAGCATTAATGAGAAGACCACCTCCCCATGGAAATTGTGCTGTTTGCATTCTAACTCGATACACGACTGTTGTATGGTTGTACGTTGTGTGAACTATTTTGTAACTTAACCCTTGCTGTTCTCAGCTCTCATCTTGACATTAACCCTAGCATTAGGTCAAGGTTGGTGTGGATATTGATTGAAACACAATACTATTAAAAGTGGTAAATTGTGTATACTCCCCAGGGAGTTGAGAACAGTCAGGGCTGAGATTTGTGCAGATGCTGGGAGCCTCCAGTGAACCATGTGTGCTAGTACTTGTCTCATTCTACTGCCATAAGCTCATCACTCAATAAAATGTCTTCAAAATCAAACAGATTTGCTCTTTCTATTATAGCTTGGAGCAGAATGAAGAATAATGATAATTTTATGGATGTACAACTCCTTTATTGTGAAAGGCGACGTTTCAACATAGAAACGTTGCCTTTCACAAAAAGAAATTGTATATCCATAAATTATCAGAGCAGGAAATTGTGTGAAGTCAGTCAGTCAGTGAGCCCCCAAACATGAAATGATTGTCAATATTTCTCAAAAACAGTTCAAGAACACCCTCGACTGGAAGGCCGTGTTGCAGGTCACACCAGCAATGACATTAACTGTGGTCTTTTGAAAATCAGGTGTCCTTAAACTTCTTTTGAGTAGAATATTTAATCAGAATAAATCTCACTAGAAATCAGAGGAGTGCTTTCAGGATAAGTAGAACAATATGGAATTTCGTTCCATAAGGGTTATCTGAACAAGGCTGCTGAAAATATGGGCAAGGTAGTGCAATCTGTAGGGCAGTAAAAATAACCCACTATTTTGCTGCCCTATTGATAGGAAAAGTTCTGAAATTTTGAAAAACATTGTTGAAAATATCTCAGCTAAACAAAATTCAAACCTAAAGGCCTGCATTTTTACACAGCCTCTAAGAGCAACTACACAAACCTTGTGTATAGTGCAGAATTCGTATATTTCTTGTGAACAATTCACTTTTATTTTACAAAAGCAAAAGTTTTTAAAGATGCCTTAAACACAAAAGTGATGAAGATGAATGTGGGCCAGTGGCATAAGATACAGACTACATGGTAACCATTGTTACCCCCGTAACAAAATACATACTATATGCTATTGTTGATGTGTTTATTACAAACATATTTCAGGACATATTCAACAGAACAACTTTAAAGGAACACTATCAATTTTATCAGTTTGAGAAAAGGCAAATACTTGGAAGTACTTAAGGCAGATTAACATTTCTCACATCTCTTGACTGCCAGAAACATCAAATCAGTTTTACTCACATTGTAAACATGAAATACAAATCACGCACTGAAAACTTACATTTTTATAAATTAGCATATGACATGACATAAATGAACATGGACAAAATGTTTTTGTTTGCTACTGAAGTGACAAGCGCTGAGATTACTGGCCAGGTGGTCTGTATCAATAGTGTCCCTTTAACCAGTGGTCAACTCCAGACATCTAACTGTACATTCATCGCTCCAGCCTTCAGTCACGCTCCCTCCTCCTTCGTCAGCGCAGTCAGGGAACACTACACTTCACAACCTTCCACAGTCACTATCATACGGATCTATATCTAATCTATCTATCTGATGAGTACAACCTATCAGTCACTATGTAATCCTGTCTTATGAAATGAATTATTAAAGGCACAATGTCACACATTTTTGACAATATATCGGTCTATATTATATATATTGGGGCATGTGCACTCACTTTAGCTTCCTATTGATGCAGTTAAAGACTGATTATCCCTTACGACTTGCCTGAAATCGTTAATTGAAACTTTGAGGCGAACAGCTTTCAGAGAACACTTGCCATATATGGAATGTTAACAATTGTGGGGTTCGCTTGAAATAATGTTCAACCGGTACAGGGCGCGAGAATCGATTTAATGCAACATTGCATTAATTAATTCGAACTTTTTAATTATCATTGTAATCTAATTACGTATTTTGGGGGGATAAATTATATGGTAGCTTCCATGATGGCTGATAGTATTATTGAGAGAAATGCATTATTTATTTTTAGAGAAGTGTGGTGGGATATAGTGCCTTTAATGAGACTATAACCTTGCTTATCAATTCTTGTCTATATCTAAATTGATGAGAAAACATCTATCAGTCACTATCCAATCCTATCTGCAATGAAATGAGTGATTAATGAGAGTACAACCTAGCACTATCTATTCGTATCTATGTTTAAATACGTTGACAAAGTACAACCCATGAGCCACTATCTGATCCTATCTCCAATGAACTGGGATTACTTATGAGAGGGACAACATGGCAGTCACTATCCAATTTTATCTGTAATAAAATAATGGGATGGCCTATACACAAAACAAGTTAGTATCACTTACTTATCATGCTTATGTAGTATATATGTCAATATACAAATTAATACCATAAATTTAAGTTCTTAAATAATGGGATTAAAATACCCCAAAAAGTATCTAACATTAAAACTCTTGAAACTGATAAAATACATTTCAGAAAGTATTAACTTCAGTATAAACTGAGACAGAAAACAATTTTTCTCAGATCAGTAAGCCTCTAATTGGTCCTTTTAACCAAATCATTAAACGTGACACACCGATACGTTTTGACAGCTCAATCAGCATTGGTTTCTGGAGACTTATTCTAACATGGGATTAATGGAGGTAAAATGTTTTCAAAATGCCAATGGATCCAGAGAACAAGGCATAAATGAGGCCTTTCTCGTCAGAATATCCATAATGGTAGGATATCCACAACACGAAAAACAATTTAAATTCTTTCTGTGATCCAGGACCACAGCATGGTGTTATACACCTGTCATTTGTTTGCTTGCAAATAACTTAGTCTGGATCAGACTACCTAGTGACGGATATGAGCAAACAATTCACTGTCACTGTCAACTTCAAGTGGGGTCTATTTAGTTTCATAACTTGTCCCTTCAGATTTTCACAAGTCTTGGAGTAATGGAATAGTGTCTGGGACTAAAGCAACAGTAAGTACCAGGGGCTGTCTGTTGTAGGCTTGTTTAGAAATAGTGAGTGGGGTTTTACGCCACTTTCAGCAATATCACGACAGGCGACACAGGTAATGGGCTTCACACATTGTACCTATGTGGGGAGTCGAACCCGGATATTTGGCGTGACTAGCCACTGCTTTAACCACTACACTAACCCACCACCCCTGTTGGATTAATTGACTGGGCTGGGACAGAAGCAACAGTAAGCACCAGAGGCTACCTGGTGTACGCCAGGATAGAAATAGACCCAAGCACAAATCAAGTACATTTTCTTCAGGGTTAAAAGAGGCTCGACATAATAGACCTACCACAAGATCCTGATACCTCATTAGCTAGTAGAGTTTTAGGGGGTACTAACTCATCAAATTCAAATCTCCAGACTTGCACATATTTCTTATATATTTAGAATTCAATAAGAAGCATCTCAGCAAGATATCAGATGGATATTTTTATCACTTCATAAAAGATGTATCACGATTTGAAAATGATTTAAACTTAAATGTTATCTATTGAACAATTAAGAAATCATGTTATTAACAATCTGTTCGCAGAACCAGATATACCATGCACATACAGACATTCATTAGAACAACTCTTAGAATGAGATTTTCTTCAACCTACTTTCTAAGACTTGACATAATAACCATTTGTCTTTCAGTCGATAGGATCTGTGTATCAGTGTGTAATGTTCCCTTCTTGCAGCTGAGAAATTATGTCCATCAATAAACTGAAATTGCAAAAAAATATAAACAATATCCGTGACAATATCTGAATACAAACTGATTAAAAAGAAACCGCTTTCAACATGTAACAATTAAATAAATGCCTAACAGTGGAATTCATGTCATAATCTTGCTTCATTTTCCAGGAACCAAACACAAAAACCACTTTACTACATCTGTTAATTGTAGGCTGGAAAGTAGTTTCATATATCTCATGAACCAAATATAGAAACTGCTATAACATATTTATCAATTTTGGCAGGAAAGTAGTTTCTTATGCTTCCATCTGATGAACCAAAGACAGAAACCGCTTTAAAATATCCATTATTTGTTTGCTGGGAATTAATATCTTACATCAGATAGTATATGTATTATATTAAGCCTATGTGTGGACAACATAAATTACATGACAATTTTTAACAAAATCTTGACATAGTACAGAATCTTTCATTTCTGCTTAATCCTTATGTTCACTGTTAACTCATTAATTTAAAGTTTGACAAGTACCCACCAAGGTGAGAGTAATTATAAGCAGGTTGAGTTGGACATCATCATCATCATCATCACCCTCTCTACACTATCACACAGATCTGTCATACAGACATAAGTGGTAACATTACAACAACACAAAGCCAAATAAATAAGTCTCTGGTAACATTGATTGGGTACTGAACACGAGTTGAAAGCACCTTTTGTTAAATTGAAATGAACAACTGTACAAACCGTTATGGACAGACCAATGATACAGAGATCGCTATTGAGAATATGGTGAGTGAAGCTTGCATCAACTTGGTAGCAACAGATACATCCTGAGATACAGAGAGGGGTATCCATTGTATTCTGGTACAAACTCTTACATGGCTCACGCAGACCAGTACAAAAAATAGTTCTTTTTGCACATGACAATTGTTTGATCAGAAATCACAGAGTTCTATTTACATTGGCAAAACATCTGACTTGGAATATAATCGATTCATCATCATCCATACCAGGTTTGTCATGAGCATGATCAATCTCAAGCTAGCTATGGCAGAATCTGCCTGTAGGAATTGTTTCACTGGAAAACTCGAGTTAATATATACACACTGAAATATATCACAAATTCACGTGACGTCTCTACACAGCACGTTGCATGTATCTTGAATGGCAAATGCACTTATAAAAACTTATCAAGTTTGACTGGAAGAGGCTATATTTACACATCATGCATGAAGTTCTGTATTGTTGGAAATAAACCTATCATTGGAAAGTGTAAGAGGCTGCAACTATGATATAGATGAAACCACACGTGTCAGATAAATACCGTGGCAATATTCTGAATGTAGTATTGACACTCCAAGATTGTATCGATGGACTTTTCAATGTATTTCGAATAAGCAGTCTTGATTGCATAACTGACAGGCAAATATACAAGGCACGTGTGAGGGTTCTTCAATATGGTCATCCACTTTCACAAAATATACTGAAACTCGCATCCACTTTCACACAGCAACACAAGAATTCTGGCAGTCGCGGGTTCTCAACTGCTTAATTTGCACAATTCCCTGTAAATCCATGAATTCTGATCCTCACATCAGAAACAATGATTGGAGTCTTATGTAGTGTTCCTTGAATCTACAGCTTCAGAGTACTGTACGTCTAGGCAATGATCTAGACTACTGGCGCTGTAGCGTTCCTTGAATCTACAGCTTCAGAGTACTGTACGTCTAGGCAATGATCTAGACTACTGGCGCTGTAGCGTTGTCACGGCTGTAGGAATGTAGCAATGGCCATATTGTATGAAAGACTGAGGGTACAATCTAGTCTCGCCCTATCTCTTGCCAGCCTGTCCGGGTAGCTAACACAAAACACCAATTACAACCTGCACACAACAGCACTGACTTCAGTAGGATCACGCCCTCTGTTGAAGCATGGGTCTGTAGTCATGACAAAAATACTGCTACAGGTTGATCAATATATATTTGGTTCATAGATTCCACACTGCATCTTGTTTAGTACCACTAAGATGCTAAGATATATAATTCTCCAGTTTTATAATAGGTGTTGACGTGAGCAAATGCTGGATTGCTGAAATGGTCCTATACTGCACTGCATGGGATGTAAAGAGATGGGTCCACTTCCTAAGGTGACTTGGTTTTGGGCCCTTTCGTTTGCTGCAGTGAACCTTGCTTTATAGTGTCTTCATGGTCGATGAATGGAATAGAGTTTGATGGCTTATCTGCCTTACAAAGCAAATGTGCTCTGCTATGTATCCGTTGCTCGATGATGTCAGCTTGAATGTTTCATCATTTGATGCTGACCTGACCTGAGTTGAACCACTACAGTAATGTTTTCCCAGATTTCCAATGTGTGGTCTGTGCTGCACATTACATCTGAGATGCCAGAATGGACAATTCACAACAGCTTCACAATGTCAAGACTTGACGCAGATAATATCAGAATCACCAAGACTGGATAGCTTTGTTACTTGACAACGTCCAGATTACACAGCTGAAAACATCCGATTCACCAAAACTGGGGAAGGAGTCCTGTGGCTCCGGTTCCCAATGTCCAATCATGGCTGATAAGTTCAGTTGTTCACCAAGACAGCGGAGACTGACAAGGTGATGAAAGCACATTCTGGAGACTTAGTGTGAGTATTGCAAATACACAAGTAACAGTATGTCCTCAGAAAAACACAGGCATGCTGAGATTGGCCTCGTCTTCCCTGGGGGTGGATGTTTCTCCGAGTACATCTTAGCCGAGTCTTGAGACAGGATGTTGGTCAGAGGATTCACACAGTTGCCTGGGATCAGGCTCCCTGGAAGAGATGAAGGAACACAGGTAAGATGAACGTCCAACATAAACACAACAAAATAATTTGTTGTTTTGTTTTTGTTGAATAATGCTATGTGCAGCAATATTCCAGGTATATAGACAGCATAAAAGTATTCAGACCTTGCCCAGACAATCCAGTGGTGTGTATGTTGGTATGATAGCATATGCTAGGGTAGGGGGGTGATCGTGGTGTATGCTTGGGTGGGAGTGGGGGGTGATGGGGGTGGGGTGATGGAGGTGTGTGCTAGGTGGGGTGTGGGGTGGTGGGGTGATGGTGGTGTATGCTGGAGGTGTATGCTAGGGTGGGGGGTGATGGAAGTGTATGCTAGGTGGGGGCATTCTCTTCCCACAGAGGTTACTTGTCATATCTTCCTGGGGGTGAACCTCTGTTCTAATGGATGTGATATATTGGCCATATTTCCGTTCTCGTAAAATGTAGTGGTGTTGGGGAGGAAGAATGGAGTGTCTAGCGGACAAAAGATCGCAACGCGAATTATCTCCCTTCTTTCTATCCAATCAGAACACGTGTTACATCGACTTAGATTCAACTTGACTAACACAAGCAAATTGATCTTGGTTCAATAAACTTCAGGGGATTTACACCGAATCATGACTTACCCACAATCCTTTTGCCATCATCAGTGCGGAGCCGTATGATCTGCATCTTGGAGCTGGCTCCGCCTGGCATGGAGGCTAAGACTCCTTCCACCTTGCTCCACACACTAAGTACGGAGCCACTCAACACATGGTACGTCCGAGTTCGCAGACCAATCTCACACTGGAGTCCAAGGGCCATCTTCTTACAGTTACCCCGCCTGGCGAATTAAGGAAACTCCAACTTAATCATTTTTATCAATTTCAATCTGCCAACTTTTGCATGAAATCTTACCTGAAGAAAACAAAAGCAAAAATATCATTACAGGGTCACATATTTGCAGAGATGTTACGTAACACAGAAAGACACACTTTGCTAAATTTCAGCTCTTTATATACAACATATGATAAGGTGTACACACTTAAAAAGATGACCTTTTTGTGTCATCAACAAATAATTTCTGTCCTCAACAAAAGTATATTAGTTAGAATGCTGAGTCAACCTTTTACATTTCATGAATTTCAGACTAAATTTCTACACTTTCAAATGTGATTGCTGGAAGGAAAGGAGTTAGTACTAAGTTGCCCTGTTTTTTTTAACCCCAATCCTCTCCCGGGTGAATTATTACTGACCAGTAAGCATGACTGCAACACTTGGCTGAAGCATAATACTGGTCATCCCACCAGTTCTGAGCCTCGTCTGGCAGCACCTGGAACAAAAGGCCATCAGCTTCACACACAAAGTCACAGTAGCAGCTACCATCAACAGCATCATCTCAGAGTCTGTTGGCACTTGGGGACAGTAAAACAGTGTGAGGGACATGGCTAAAAGTGAGTGAGTGAGTTGGGTTGGGTTTTACGCCGCTTTTAGCAATATTCCAGCAATATCATGGGACACCAGAAATAGGCTTAACACAATGTACCCATGTGGGGAATCAATCACAGGCCTTCGGTGTGATGAGCGAACGCTTTAACCACTAGGCTACCCCACCGCCCTGGATATGGTTAAAGGCAGATGGGGATGAACATCTGGTTATTGATCTATTGTGGTCTTAAGCATAACCTTTAACTGTTCCCTGGGATATGACACTCAAAAAAGGTTTTGGACCACCAATACTATTAACAATATACTTCAGATTAATCTAATTATTGTTTTGAGACGTATATTTTCTCCACTTAAGTTTATGACTGACTGACTGAGTTTGGTTTTACGCCGCTTTTAGCAATATTCCAGCAACATCACGGCCGGGGACACCAGAAATGGGCTTCACGCATTGTGCCCATTTGGGGATTCGAACCCGGGTCTTCGCCGTGACGAGCCAACGCTTTAACCATTAGGCTACCCCACCGCCCCCTTAAGTTTATGAACATTTCTGACCTTCTTGTACTTCTTGCGTATCTCCTCTAGCGTCTCGCAGCGAAGTTGGAGGCCAGTGTTGGGGCGGTACACGTTGTACAGACGCTCCTTCTTCTTGTTCTTTCCCTGATGCACAATCAAGATGGACGTCCGCTTCATGTTCCGTTCCTAAAACATAAGTTTTCACCTGAACAAATTGTACTCTGTTGAGCATCAAAATGTTTATCATATAACACTTTATGTCTTAGGTCAGCTGTGAAGATCCTTGTTTGAATTTGTGTTCAGCAACCATGCCTTGTCCTATGATGAGACTAACAGGATTGTGTCACTCAGTCGATGTATGTCCTTGTGTCTCATTTGCACAGATCAATGTTTATGATCATCAATCACTGGATTGTCTGGTCCTGATTTGATTATTTACAGAGAGCCGTCACATAGCTGGATTATTGTTTTAGATTAATATATTGACGACATAAATATTACTCCTGCTGTAGATTAGTCAATCAGCAGCCTGTGTTAAAATGCTTTGACAAGATAACAAGAAGACAAAGTCATCAATATCCCCCGCAATGGCAAAATACTCTTCATGATTATGTCTACGAGTTATGATTATGTCAAATATTTAGGTGTGTATATAGAAAAGTGGAAGGAGAGTATTGAAAGGTTTTTAAAGTTCTGCTCCGGAAAATAGCACTATCACCAATTTTAGTCAAAGTGAAACTTGTTGCCATGGAAACGCCAAAATATTTTATTCAGAATTCCAAAACTACCAAAAGGCACCAGTACACCACCAGATATATGTATGTGCCAAGTTTGGTGAAGAAACATTGAACGGTTTTAGAGTTCTGCTCCAGAAAAGAGCACTACCACCAATTTCAGTCTAAGTCGAAATTGTTGCCATGGAAATGCCAAAAATATTTTATTCAGAATTCCAAAACTACCAAAAGGCACCAGTACAATACCAGATCTATCTATGTGCCAAGTTTGGTGAAGAAATAGTGAACGGTTTTAGAGTTCTGCTCCGGAAAAGACAAAAGTGCACGGATGGACGGACGCACGCACGGACGGAGTCCATTTTAACACCCCCCGCAAAACACGTTGAGGGGGATAAAAATACAGAAAACATTGTCATTAGCACAGGTATTAGTTTGCTAGTTCAAATTAGCCCCAATAGGTATATTGTCAGAGACTTGTTTGTGTTAATCTCAAGTTGAACACAGGTGGCAAATATTTCATACTGATACGGTTTCAGAATCACAGCATTGTTCTTAGACAAATTTACACACCTAGATCAAGTTTACACAAGAAGACAAAGTCATCAATATCCCCCCCAATGGCAATATACTCTTCATGATTATGTCTACGAGTTATGATTATATCAAATACTTAGGTGTGTATATAGAAAAGTGGAAGGAGAGTATTGAAAGGTTTTTAAAGTTCTGCTCCAGAAAGGAGCACTATCACCAATTTCAGTCTAAGTCAAACTTGTTGCCATGGAAATGCCAAAAATATTTTATTCACAATTCCAAAACTACCAAAAGGCACCAGTACACCACCAGATCTATCTATGTGCCAAGTTTGGTGAAGAAATGTTGAACAGTTTTAGAGTTCTGCTCCGGAAAAGACAAATGTGCATGGACGGAGTCCATTTTAAGTACCATTAATAAATTTCAATGGAGTGTCTATGGGTGGTGCAGCAAATCCTGAATGTGGCTAAGAAAGTATTTTGCCAATACACTGTATTAGTTTCAACTGTTTGAGGACACATTCATGCGAGAAAAACCTTACTAGACTAATTGGGCTACATCACAAGATGCTCCACTGTTATTGTACTACACTTTACTACACTACTGGCTACTGGCTTACATTGAATTGAAGACTAAATTAGTACAGCCATGCCTCTGACTACCATAAATCACAAACTTATTTCCTGTAAGAATCTGTATTGAAACATTGTATCATCCGAATAAAGAAGCTGTTCATCCATAAAGTTTGTCCTTATCTAGGAGTCTCGTACTGCAATTTTCTGCTTTAACAACTCCGATCTCCTTTGGTTCTGTTACTTCTAACACAGGACCTATGACAAGGCACTTTGACGCTGAACACTGAACACTGATCAGTTGGATAACCTACCTGATAGGCCAGGTAGAATCCCTCTTCAGATCCAACACACTTTCTCCACAGCTCAATTGCCTGGTTCCAAGCCATGCCTCTCTCCACACTCACCTGTAGACACAGTCATAAGTTCAGGTAAATTGTATTTATTGCACATGTAGATATCTGAGGTGAGGTGAGGTGAGGTGAAATTGGGTTTAACGTCGTGCTTGAGAATATTTCGCTCATATGACGACGTGCATGCATGTGTATGTGCGGCTGCTTCAATGCTTGTACTAGCCCAGACTGAAGCTGGTTTTATAGCGCTAGCCCACTGAGATACCATGCTGCAGTGAAGCATGAATACCACACTCAGACACATTATACTGACTCCGAGCCGACCAGTCCTTGTTGTACCCATTAATGCCGAGCGCCAGGCAGGGACCAACAAGTACCATATTTTAACGATCTTTTGGTATGGACGAGGTTGGGGATCAAACCGCGAACCTTCCGCCTCGGTTCTGTTACGGACGGCTAACCACTACACCACTACAGTTGGGCGGTATGTAGATATCTGAACATGTGTTGGCTTAATAGCATATTATGTGTATGTCATTGAAAAAAATTCCTTTTATAGTACAGGGCATTAAATGCTTATGTAAGTTTAGATAAATTACTTTTCTGGGTTCCGATCCACAGAGCGTTCATAACGTTACAACCTGTCGTAACTCAGTTGTTTATCATTGGATGCACGTTTAGTGGATAGGGACCCTGATCATTAATAATTGACAAATGTCCCATTTCATGGTACTATGTGTTACAACAAGCATTGTCACTAAGGCGACATAATCCCCCAACGCAAATTATCAAATCAAACTTATAAAGTAATGAAAGTTTAAGTTAAAAATGTCACCAAAATCGACTGGGCCCTGCGCCTTCCCTAGATAAAGCTTTGCATTGAATATGAAGAAAATCCTGTGAACGGTTCTTGAGATAGCTTAACATGCAGGTAAAACGTTAAAGTCCCCTTGTGACCTTGAAATTAGGGTCAAAGTCAAGAAACCTGACTTTGTCCTTTCTTATACTGTGATGAACCTAGGTACCAATTATGAAAAGAATCTAGTGAACGGTTCTTAAGATATTCCAATTCGTACGGACGGACAGACGGACTGAGCCTAATACTATAGCCCCGCTCCGCGCTAAACACGCGGCAGGGGATAATTAATGATTAGTTTCAGTTAAAAACCTGATTCCCATGCCCCTTATACAGGTATGGAACCAGGTGGCATGTGTTCCCATATACAACACACCAGTTTGAGGATCATTACTCACTGTAGTCAGTTCTGTCTTGGCTGTGTTTGTGGCTGTGTTGCCCAGGAATGTCAGTGTCTCCACCTTGTGGACCTTCTCACCTCCGGAACCCAGATCTGCATTGGGAAGAGTGAGTGAGTTTAGGTTTACGCCGCTTTTAGCAATATTACAGCAATATCAAGGCAGGGGATGCCAGAAATGGGCTTCACATTGTACCCATGTCGGGGATCGAACCCGTGTCTTTGGCATGACGAGCGAACGCTGTAACTACTGGGCTACCCCACCCCTACACCCTCATTACTTAAAAACACTTCGAGATCAAATTGAACATATCACAATGTTAGTGTGAGATGCAGACTTACCCAGAATGCCCATGTCCCAGCGGCCATTCCGCTTGGCCTCGAGGATGATGGCAGTGAGAGTATCTGTGAAATACTTGAAGAGCGAGTTCTGGAGCTCAACCTCCATACCCAGGATTCGGTTCAAGTACTTGCTGATGTTGTTGTAGTCTACAAGAAAAACGTCAGTTTATCCATCACCTTATTAATGACCTTACTTGTTCTTATATTTTCAATGTCAACTCTGATGACAGTGGGACAACCAACTTGATTATAACATGTCATTGATAACAGTATAACATACCTTTTTCCAGACTTGGGAAGCCTGATCGCTCATCTATGCCGATCATACCAACTCCAACAAGGCCTCTCTTCACATCTGAAAGTATAATAGCAGTTCATGTACATCAGCATTATGAATATGTGTTTAACAAACAGGGGCTCCTTTCACAAAGCAACCTTTACTAAGGTTAACTTTAACTCCTATTCTTTAACATTGCACTAAGGTTACCTTCATGACTAACGATCACCTTAGTGCTTTGTGAAAGGGGGCCCTTGACTGTTTCTTTATGTCCCAATCCCTCTTCTACACCTCACCTCCCTATCCCCCGCAAAGGTACCAAGAATGTGGTTCCAGTTTTCAGTTAAGCTAACTGATAAAGGAGCTACTATTTAGGAAAGAAAACAAAATCTCCTATAATCTCCAGACAATCCCATGTGAGCAACGACTGGCACTGTCAAAGACATGCTGTCAACCAACTGACCATGACTAGCCATCTGATCTATTTAGCTGCCTCTTACAGCAAACAGAGAATGTGGGACTGACTGACTGACTGAGTTTAGTTTTACGCCGGTTTTAACAATATTCCAGCAATATCACGGCGGGGGACACTAGAAATGGGCTTCACACATTGTGCCCATGTGGGGAATTGAACCCGGGTCTTCGGCGTGACGAGCCAACGCTTTAACCACTAGGCTACCCCACCGCCCAGAGAATGTGGGAACCCAGACTAATAAAGATTACCACAGAAATGTTTGATTGAAACTTGTTTCCCAATCACTTCTTGCCCTATTTCTGCAGATCCAACTCAAGAAAGATGAATGTAAACATCACAATACAGAGTCTGATGAGGACTACCGGCAGTGATCGTAAACTGAACTGCAAGGGCAATGGGAGTAGGGTGTTCATGGAAGCAGATGCATAACTGCCGGTGTTGTGTAAGCTATAATTCTCACTCAGATGAGTGTTGAAAAGAAACCCTTGGGATACACATTACACCTGGCTGTGGGTACTGCCTACCAGAGATGATCGAGTTTCAGCAATATTCCAGCAATATCACGGCAGGGACACCAGAAATGGGTTTCACATATTGTACCCATGTAGGGAATCGAACGAGGGTCTTCAGCATGATGAGCGAACACTTACCAGGGAAGAAGTCTCCCTTGTATGTCTGTGGGGGTGCCACAAGTGGTGTGTCCGCAGTCAAGTTGAGCACACACTTCATCACAGCTTCCAAAGCAGCACGACCATACTAGAACATACACAACAGTACATGTACTCAATCAGCTAAACAACAGCAACTTTTTAGTATCTGGACACATCAGAAAGCTTAAAGATAGGCACTGATTGACACATGAAGGCTACCATTCAGTCTGATTTTTTATTACAGTCGTCTTAAAATTCAGATGGATGGCTGACACTGATAGATTTTTTTCCACAAGAAATCAGCTTTGTTTGTTTTTTGTGATAGCAATTGTGTTATTATTTACCTATTATGTATGTGGGTCCTTAATATTCATTATAACATGTCTTACTTGTTACAAGACTTATTGCAACCTTATATGCAAACGTAAGTATGAGACAAGTTCTCACCTTGTTATCAATGTTGAACCTGCTGAGATCTCTGGACTCGGTTGCACGTCGGTCACCATGAGTCAGCGCTCCCTACAAACAGAGACACCATGTGATCTCACTCAGTGTTGGCACATGAATCAAAGTATAACATCTAAACAAAACAGCCCACTCAAAATGAAATGAGACCTCTGTTATGAAGTTTATATTTCAGCTGATGCCAAACAAGAGTCATCATAAGATGACATATGCCCCATTATAAGATGACATATCCCCCCGGCCCCCACATATTTGAAAGAGCAAATATTCTGACAGTTACGTAAAGTCCAGCTTGATGTCTTTTTAGACTAAGTCCAAATCTTTTCCATGGAAATCATGAAAAATATAAATGCCAAAAATCTGTAAATAGCAAAAGGCACCACTTCAGGATCTGTCTCATATATCTGCCAAGTTTTGCTGAGAGATATTAAGAAGTTTTCGAGATGTGCTCCGGAAACGAAGCCCACCCCTCCCTTTTGGGGCTAAGTCCGAATCATTTCCATGGAAACCGGGGAAAATAAAAATGCCCAAAACCTGCAATAGCAAAAGGCCCCACTTAAGGTTCTGTTTGATATATCTACCAAGTTTTGTTGAAAAATATTGAAGGGTTCTTGAATTATGCTCCAGAAACGAAGCCCACCCCTCACTTTTGGGACTAAGTCCAAATCATTTCCATGAAAAACGGGAAAAATAAAAAGGCCAAAAATCTGTAAATAGCAAAAGGCACCACCTTAGGTTCTGTTTGATATATCTACCAAGTTTTGTTGAAAAATATTGAACGTGTTTTGAGACTAAGTCTAAATCATTTCCATGGAAACCGGGAAAAGTAAAAATGCCAAAAATCTGCAAACAGCAAAAGGCACCACTTTAGCTTATGTGTGATATATCTACCAAGTCTTGAAGAAAGATATTGAACGGTTTTCGAGTTGCGCTCTGGAAACGAAGGTCACCCTCATTTTGAGACTAAGTTCAAATCGTTTTCCATGGAAACCAAGAAAAATAAAAATGACAAAAATCTGTAAATAGCTAAAGGCACCACTTTAGGTTCTGTTTGATATATCTACCAATTTTGTTGAAAAATATTGAACTATAGTTTTTGGGAAAAGGGAGTTTACCAACTCTTTGGAAACAAAATGATGTGAATCCCTCTCAACTTTCAAGGACTCACCGTTTCAAAGTGATGATTGACTTTTACTCAATTCTTTTCGATTATATGGACATTTGGCGCTTTATAAGTGACATTATTATCATTATTATTATTACATGGGGAGGAGGAAAGGAGGGAAGGAAAAAGTTTTTCTTGTTTTGCCTGGACATGGCTCGATGTTGTCATCATCAATGGAACAAGCAGTAGGTACTGTAAACCTATTCAGCCAGACAGGGTAGACAAGTAAACTCACCAGACTCTCCAACCTCTTGGCTACAGTAGAAGCGAACCTTCTCTCTCCAGCCAGCTCAGAGATCATGAAGACATACTCTGGTGCTGTCACCTGGTTGGACCGGTGAGTTCGACCTGCACAAGAACACGTTTACATGAAATTGGGATGTTGTGGGTATTGTCTTCTGAGCTAGCTGTTCTCAAACATTGAAGATTCAAGTGTATTCCTTAACTAAATATTGTTGCAGTGAGTGAGTGAGTTTGGTTTTATGCCACTTTTAGCAATATTCCAGCAATATCATGGCAGGGTACACCAAAAATGGGTTTCACACATTGTACCCATGTGGGGAATCGAACCAGGGTCTTCAGCGTGATGAGCGAACACTTTAACCACTAGGCTACTTCACTGCCCCAAATAAATATTGTTGTAGAACATCTTATAAGGGAATGAATGAGTTTGGATCACTGCCAGCAGTATTTCAGTTTATGATAGCATGTAAGCTTGATAGATTTAAATTCAAAGAGGTGAAGGATGAAGGTCTTGATGTTTTGCCTCAGTTAAACTTACGATCAGAGATAAGATAGTGACGAGTGAGTGTGTTTAGTTTTATGCCACTTTTAGCAATATTCCAGAAATATCACAGCAGGGGACACCAGAAATGGGCTTCACACACTCTACCCATGTGGGGAATCGAACCAAGGTCTTTGGCGTGAAGAGGGAATGCTTTAAGCACTAGCTATCCCACCGCTCAGGTAGTGATGAAGATTGAACACGATCAAGTCATGATCACTTGATCCTGGGATGCCCGACACAATAATTGTGACGTACCAGACACCTGGATCAACCAAACCCCTCAAAGTGTTACAAGTTTACAGTGCGTGTAGTCACTCACCAAACTGCTGTATAGCCCTGTCGGCGCTCCAGGGCAGCTCTAGCGTGATGTGTACCCTCCGCCGCTGGTTGTTGACACGCCGGTCAGCTTGTAGTGAGATACCCGAACTGGCTGCTTCTGATATGATAGCTATAAACTGTAGAGGAAGAAACCAATAAGTCACGTTTATCCCCACTTGATCAGTATATTTACTCATGTATATTATCATGTTTGGACCAGTGATTGACAATATTTAAACGATCTTTGCCATCAGGGTACAATGATATGCAAACAACCAGATCAGGAGGTTGACAACCTGGGCCAACAGTGATCACAGCGCTACGACAGTCATAAGTCTATGTTAAAGTATGGGAGTTACAATCATCTTAGCGCTACGATCACTTTGAGGAACAGGCCGTGATTCACTTCCTGTGACGAGCTGGAGACAACTTCTAAACTAGAATCCTGTCAGTCACTGGTCAGTATTTCAGTAATATCCCAGCCTGTTAGCTCATTGTGTGAGGAAAGCTAAAAGTTTCACACGTTTACCATTCCGGCTTCAGGCTAAAGGGTGAAGCAAAGCCACATATTGTCAACAAGGAGTGGTATTTTATTCATAATGATACACTCTGGCTGCTCACCTTTTCTCCATCCATGAACCTCTGCTTCTCTGTGAGGTTGAGGACCTCCAGTGGGACATCGACCTCACTTCGAGACTCGTAACTCACACCACCGTCATCGTTGCTCACAACTCTTCCTTTCCTTCCTGTCATCTACAGAACAATAATGAACACTTTGTGCAGATCACATAATTACAAAGTATGGAAAGAACAATGTGCCATTACATAGCACTGTCTTCTCTAAAAGGTTCCAATCTTGGCAATCAGATCAGTGGTAAAAATGGTCAGTACGGTTATGCCAGAAGGGTACAATGGTTCATCATGCCAGATAACAGTGGCGAACTGCTCATCCATAAAATGCATATATGATTTATATACTTAAAAGCAAGCGCTGGTTATTGCTCACAATATGCAGATTGATCTTTTGAGTCTCCCATGCTCATCGGTAATCGCTGATGCAAGAGAGATCGATCAACTGAACGAATATACAATCAATTGCTCCAGTTTTAATACTTCACATACATACAACCCTCACCATCATTTCAGTTCAATGCTTCATCCAGCAATATTCCCGTTTGTCTCAGTGAGTGAATGAGAGAGAGAAGAGAGAGAGAGAGAGAGAGTGAGTGAGTGACTGAGTGAGTGAGTGAGTGAGTGAGTGAGTGAGTGAGTGAGTGAGTGAGTGAGTGAGTGTTTGGTTTTACGCCGCTTTTAGCAATATTCCAGCAATATAATGGCAGGGAACATAAGAAATGGGCTTCACACATTTTGTCCATGTGGGGAATCGAACCAGGTCTTCAGTGTGAGGAGCGAACGCTTTAAACACTGCGCTACTCCACCGCCTCTCCAGCTTGTCTTGACCAGTGATTGATAATGTAAGGAGTAATCTATCATTCTACCATCAGTGTACCCAAGTCATTAAGCCAGAAGACTAGATCCAAACATTCACTTCTTATGCAAAACATATGTCAATTCTAAACCAGAACCAGTGACTGATATTGTGGATAAAGACCTGAGTCATTAATTCAAACAGCATGAAAGGCATTGTCAGTGTGTACCAGTTGCAACCTAGACTGACTGACCGAGTTTGGTTTTACGCCGCTTTTAGCAATATTCCAGCAACATCACAGCGGGGAACACCAGAAATGGGATTCACACATTGTACCCATGTGGGGATTCGAACCTGGGTCTTCGGCGTGACGAGACAACGCTTTAACCACTAGGCTACCCCACCGCCCAGTTGTAACCTAGAAGCCTTGCAGGTTGCATGGAGTATTGAGGGCCTGTCTACTGTCATAACAGGATCTTTAACTTTGAATCTCCTTGCTAAAACTTAGCTTAACATTATGTTCAGTACATTTTAGTGTTACACATACTATTCAACATCTAACCGAAGATGACCACATATGTCCTTAGTAAATGTCAAGTAATGTTATAAACAAGTGAGTGAGTTAAGGTTTTAGCAGTATTCCCAAAAATATCACGACAGGGGCCAACAGAAATGGGCTTCACACATTGTACCTAAGGGGGACGTCGAACCCGGGTTTTCGGAATGACGAGCAAACGCATTAACCACTGGGCTACCCCACCACCCCTCGATAAATGTCCTGAGTAAATGTCTAATAAGGTTATAAACTTAAGTTACTTGACCAACAGAAGTGTACTAGACAAGTGGCTGAGGTTGCCACTTCATTCTTGTATTCCCCCTCCCCCCACCTCCCCCAGGAGGGCTACTGACTGACAGATTCTTGTATCTTACCTCTGCTACACTCTCTGGTCCACCAAGCTCATCAATAAGGTAATCCAGAGTGTTTGGAGGAAGTTCATCTCCCAGCTTCTCAATCTTTGCCAGTAGGTCTGACTTCATTGACATTGCCTTATCCCAGCCATCTTCATCTGGATCAAAACAACATATCCCTTTATGTTATCAACTGTGTATTAAACAACATATCCCTTTTTGTCGTCAACTGTCTATTAAACAATGTATCCCTTTATGTAATGAGTATGTGAGATAGTTTTACGCCGCTTTTAGAAATATTCCAGCAACATCATGGCAGCGGACACCAGAAATGGGCTTCACATTGTACACTTTCACCACTAGGCTACCCCACCGCCCCACCCAGTAATGAAATCCCTACAACAATCATTGGTTGCTGGAGACCAGATCTAACCCTGAATTAGCACAGGGCAAACATCTTATGACAAACCAGTCATATATGCAAAACACTTATACCTATAACTCCCGCCTTTCTATTCAGTAATTTAGCATGAAAATATTCATTTATATGAATTGATCACAAAAGACATAAAACCACAAGACTTGGACATTTAACTGGCAACTGCTCCACTCACTGTGGTTTCGTCCCAAAAAGCTAATAAGCATCATACTTACTGCTAAATAAATTACTGCGTAGACTAGAGGACCCATTGTGGTTGTTGGACGTCGTTCCCCAGCTGCTGTTTTTCGACAGAAGGCCTGCAGCTCCCAACATCTTGTCAAACTCCTCATCTTCATTGCGGTCCTTTTTCTTCTTCTTTTCCTTCTTCTTCTTTTTCTTCTTCTCTTTCTTCACCTTTTTACTCCCTGACTTCTTCTTGGTCCCCCCGTTTCAACCACGGGTCTGTGGACAAGAGACAAAGCATTAAGAACTGCTGACTAAACAGTTCCAAGATAAAAATCTTCTACAGTACAATACAGCTAATAGATTCTGAAACTCAGTTAATTTTATCATAAAGTTTCTATTTCCACTAGAGCAACCTCTGGTTACACAAGTTGTGTGTCATGAATAGATTCATACCAGTCAATACACAAGATGAGGTACAAGTAGCTGACAGTGTCAGACTTGATTGGGACTATCTTACTGGTGTCTATGAAAGTACATCCTTGTGATTTTATTCTCTTTGATTGGCATATTATTCATATAAATGAAGGAACAAATAACTTTTTTTATTTTAGCAACAGGTTTGTAAAGTCCAACTTGATTTTTTTAAGCAGTTACCTTGATTTTTTAAGCCCACCCTCCCCGAGGAACTCGAGGCTTAAACCTCCCTTTTGAGACTAAGTCCAGATTGTTTTCCATGGAAACTCCATGGTGGGATCTGATCCTCACATATCTGCCAAGTTTTGCTGAAAGATATTAAGAAGTTTTCGAAGTTGTGTCTCATGAAAACTAAGTCCAATCCTCCCTTTTTAGACTAAGTCTGAATCGTTTCCATGGAAACCAAGAAAACAATAAAACACGAAAGTCTGTAAATAGCAAAGGCAAAGGTTCTGTTTGATATATCTATCAATTTTGTTGAAAAAATATTAAACGCTTTTTAGAGTTATGCTCGAAACAAAATGATTATGGACGGACCACTTTGTGCTGCTATATCCTGTGTGTGTGTGTGTGTGTTGTGTGTTTGTTTTTTTAAAAATATGGCTAAGAGCTTTGACTGACAGATGAGTTCTCTAATTCATATAGTTTTAACAAAAGTTGTTGCGTTGTAGAGGTAACTTGTACACCACCAAATACAGGATTATTAGTAGTGAGTGAGTGTAGTTTTACGCCGCTTTTAGCAATATTCCAGCAACATCACAACAGGGGACACCACATTGTACCTATGTGGGGAATCAAACTTGGGTCGTCAGCATGACGAGTGAATGCTTTAACCACTAGGCTACCCCGCCACCCAGGACCAGTAAGGAGGAAGAGGTTTGATTACTTAGAGTAACACTTTCACACTGAATCCAATGTTCAAAACGATTAGTAAAGAAACAATCCCAATTTCGAACATACTGATTTTTCCCCAATTTGCCTACTGAGGCACATAGTCAAACCCTGTAGAACTTACCATCATCACTATCGGACCCACTCCCGAAGGGGTTGATATTGTCATCTCCGCTCTCAGAGTCAGAATCGGAGAAGCTGCTGAGGCTGAGGTCAAAGTCACTTTGCTCCTTGCCCGAGTCACCTGAGTCACTTGAACTGTCAATATCGCTGTCATTGCGGGGCTTCTTGGCATTGTTGTTGTTGACCTGTATCTGTTGTCATACAACATTTACACATTATCTTGTAAACTTACGATCTACAATTTACATGAAGTATCAAGTTGAATTCTGAACATGAACTAAAAATTCCTGCTTTTTTATTCAAAACAAGTATCTGTTCTATTCTTTAAAAATCCCAATCTGCAGTACTCATCTCATTAAATCAGATGTAAGTGCTTCTTTTCCGAAAGGAAAACAGACTTCACATGTAAAGGGACATCTGAGGATGTCACATGTAAAGGGACATCTGAGGATGTCCCTCTACATGTGAAGTCTGTACAAACTCTGTAAACTTCGACCAACCAATAACAAAGATTAGACACTGGCAAATCAGAAAGAAGTACAAGATTCACAGCACTCGTTTCAAAACAGTAACTTCCATTCCTCACTTTGAAAAATATTTTCAAAGGAAAACTGTGGGATGTCAAACAGATGCCAGAGATTGTATGGCAGCATTTCAAACTGGCAATGAAACTTGAAAGGCTCTTCCGTTTCAAATGTCCATCTCATTAAAGTGATCAAAAGACAATGTTTAACATTTAGACTGACTGAGTATGGTTTAACGCTGCTTTTAGCAATATTCCAGCAATATCATGGCAGGGGACACCAGAAATGGGCTTCACATATTGTACCCATGTGGAGAATTGAACCCAGGCCTTCAGCGTGACGAGCGGACACTTTAACCACTAGGCTACCCCACCGCCCCTTTAACATTTAGAAACAGCATGTAACTGTTGTTCCAAATACCCCAAGTTAACCTGTTTGAACTTATAAGATTAGAGGGCACAGCAGACTTCTGTAATTCTCGTAAGCAATGCTTTATTTGGTCAGATGAAAGTTTTTTCAGACATGACCTGTACTGAAATGTCCTAAGAGTTTTGTGTAGCAGAAGTGAGAACAAAGATCTAATGTCATTGAGACACATATTCACAAATGCAGAACAAAAAACTTTGAGGGTCTTTTATTCTTCCTCTCAAATATTTTAGCAAATTCAGGAATATTAAAAATCCTCTAAAAAAATGTCTACCAGGAATTCTGGAGACCGATGCACATTATTCTTAACTATTCAAATAAAATATCTTACCCTTCTTTCTCTTGTTGCTGTTGAAGAATCCATTGGTTCTGTTGTTGGAATGTCCACCGAGGTTAAACATGTCAAATGTTTTCCTTCGGTCTGAGCAAGGGAAGTGTTTCTCCACCAGAGTCTGTATCACACCTCTAACAACAAAACATGGGGATTTAAAGTCATACAAGTGAAAAGGCAGAGTATTTTTCTTACTGAAATAGCATTGAAAGTTGAAAGTACCTTAAAAAGTGTGTTGACAGAATGAAAAGGGTCATGTCCAAGATTGTGTCCCTCATACAGCCAGATCGAATGCATGCACGAGGGTAAGCTTGTCAGAGTGCTGATTTATGCCCCGCTACATTGTTAGGCCAGAGAAACATGCCACAATTTACCATGGATACCCAGATACCCCGCTCAAACACAGTATTCAACCCCACCAGTCTTTGATTCATTCTGTGAATGCCAAGCAGGCAGCTTCACAACAAGAACAATCTTTTAACATTTTGGAATGACACAGGCAGGAGGTCTAACAATAAGCATCTGTTCTTAGACACTCTAAGCACTACACCATTCATCTGACAGATGAGCGAGTATGGTTTAACGCCGCTTTTAGCAATATTCCAGCAATATCATGGTGGGTGACACCAGAATAGGCTTCACACATTGTACCCATGTGGGGAATCAAACCGGGTCCCCTGGCGTAACGATCTGACAGACGAAGCTTTGGCAACTCCCAGACATTTTCTTCACAATATACAGAAGAATTCATAACAATTGAAATATGGATTTCAACGACATTCCAGCATTTGCCGACCAAACCAACAACAAGTTCCAACTATCAGCAAGCAAAGGATGAGTAAAGGAAAACATGAGATTCTGTGACATGGCACACTTACTTGGCTGTGGAGACAAAGTCATTGAGTTCACCCCCCATCTCCTCCAACTGTTCTAGTGTCCGTGCCTCTCCTGTTGACTGGAGGCCGATCACAACACACTGAAACAAGGACATCATTGCAACGTGAGCACAGTTGCTTCCAGTCATCTTTTCTAAGCTTGACCACATGCCATTCACATTGGCCCCTTCAACCACAGCCCAATATCCTAACCCTGTTATACCACATACTACTTGGCCCCTTCAACCACAGCCCAGTTCCCTACCCCTGCTAGACCAGTTACCACTATGCCCCTCCCGGCCACTCACCTTGCCCCCTTTGACAGCCTCTCGAGCCAGCTGCACACAGTGAGCACACTTGGAGGAGATACACAGGTACTTGAAGAAGCGCTGGTGAGCGGACCAGAACTGCCCCCACATGCTCTTTCTCATCCTCTGTTCTGCATCAATCAAGTCTGCAGCTTGCTGGAACTTCTCACGGGCATCCACCCACTGCAACACAGGAGTCATGACTTTCCTATACACATACTAGCAGTGTAGTTATTGGTTACGTAACTATTCATGTCAATAATTAATCTGTGTGTTATGAGTTGGGGTGAATAGTGATTTGAACAGTATTTCAATAACATTACAGAACGTCATCTTGATGTGTGAGCAAAGCTGACTGACTGAGTTTGGTTTTACGCCGCTTTTAGCAATATTCCAGCAACATCATGGGGACACCAGAAATGGGCTTCACACATTGTACCCATGTGGGGATTTGAACCCGGGTCTTTGGCGTGACGAGCCAACGCTTTAACCATTAGGCTACCCTACCGCCCGTGTGAGCAAAGACCACAGTAATGCAGGTCAATTAAATTATTAATGTAACTCCAACATGCATACTTGTGCTGAATACCAAGGACCTAAGCAGATACAAGACTAAATATTATGGATGTCAACTTCTTGTTTATTCTATACACGTTTCTAGGCTTTTCCTTGCCCTTTCATCAGATGACGAAGCCCAGAAAAGTGGAAAAGCCTAGAAACGTTGTGTATAGAATAAACAAGAAGTTGACATCCATAATATTTTGTCATATACTTGAATACCAACTTCTATATGCCTCTCAAGGACCTAAGCTGAGGCTAGAACAACTTTTAGCAGATCCTGGACTGCCAAGGGACACAACCCATAGTCACATAACAAAGGCCTGACAACACATACATTAGAGACTTACAGATACTGGTAGGTTCCTTTATGGAAGTACATACATCAGAAACATAAGAAATAAGGTGTCCCAGTCCACCCAGCTGTGAATGGGTACCTCGTTAGGATGAGAAAGCCACTATAACTCGGTGCGCCTAGTGGCTGCAAGAGTTGTTTACTCCCCAGGGAGTTGAGATTGATAACGCGATGTGCCGTTGAGATTGACATCCTATGATTGAGGGAAAAAATACCAGAGCCTTGAGCATGCACTAGAGCGTGGATATGTGCACTATATAAATATCCTATAATCCTATAATAATTAAAGGATTTCCCAGACCTGGTACATGTTAATTAGCCAATACTTTGCTAAAAGTGCACAAATGATGAAAACAATCCAATGTTTATTGATTTATAGTTTACCAGCTTGACAGACTTGTTGTAGATTTCCACAAAGTCAGCAGCAAGTGGAATCTCTTCAATCTTGAAGGAAACGCCTTTGAAACTCAGCTGCCTGGCTATATACATTCCACGTAGCTTCATATCCATGGCAACCAGTTCCATGGCACCAACACCTCTGTAACACAACAATGTTTGTGATATCAACACAGTCATGTTGTTCCAAATAATCCATTTCATTGTTGACTGCTTGGCGTTGGTTTCACACCAAGCAATCCATAACTAAAACCTGTGACCGACATTCTTCCAGTCATAGAAGATGGTAATATAAGAATGAGAAAAGACAAGTATCAATAGCTATTTTAAAATCTTTTTTGAACAAGTCATAGAAGTTTAGACTGACTCACTATCAGAACACCAGAAATGGGCTTCACGCATTGTACCCATTTAACCACTAGGTTTCTGCCTATCTATGATGCCGAATTTCAGTAGATTCTAAGTCAGCCAAAGAAATATTTTATTCAGGGGAATTCCAAAACTACCCAAAAGGCGCCAGTACACCTCAGACCCGCTACCCCATAATATAATAAAGAAGTTGTTATCCATAAAGCAGCATACATTTCTAATAACAGTCGATGTTCAGTACATTTTCCAGCACCTACCTTCGTTCAACTGCCTGGATGAAGTCCGGGAACTCCTTGAAAGGTGTGCCTGGTCCCCACAAGCCTAACCTGGTCATATAGGCCATGTTCTTTGGTTCCGAAGCTCCTGTGGCACTGGCGTAGATAACGCGAGCCATGGGCAGTCTGTTCTGTAGCTCCAGCACCGTCTGGCCTGTCTTTGTGGGTTTGCTGGATCCCACGGGGCACAGATTCTTTGCTCGATGACACTCATCAAATACAATCTCCACAGTCAAGGAAAATGCTACTCAGAGAAACAGAACTGTTTGACACTGAAAATGACATATCTAGATGGACTTGTGCAGATCTACGTGGGAAGGGAAGTCAACTTGGGGCCTATCTATAGGGAGATGGGGAGATTTAGAGTTGAACGGCTGATTATTGAGGGGAGGGACATATTTTAAGGGATTAGGGCACAAAAAGAGGGGGTTGGGTACATTTCAAAGGGAAGTGGCAAATCCTGGGGAGGAGGGGGTATCTAGAGGTGGGGAGTTAACAGGACATTTATGGGCGATGTGAAAATATCAAGGTCAATATTTGGTTTAATTTACAGGCAGTACTTTTTGACAATATAGTGATGTATTTGATGAGAATGGATCAATTTGGTATTATTTATTGTTATGATTCCACCAAAACAGTAATGGCAGTGATTCGGCACAAACATAGGAATGTACATGTAAGCACTAAGACAAGGATACAAGTCCATCAAAGTCTTTGCCACACCACTTGAGGAGCTGCTTCAAGCGTGTTCGGTACTTGCTACTGGACTGGCTCTCGCCAATCAGTGATGAGTATGTGGAGAATACCACGCCCTTCTTCACACTTCCATTCTCTTTGGAAGTTATCTTGGCATATTTGAACTGAAATTAGATCAAACATTGATTTTAATATGAGTTAAGTGAGTTAATACTTAACGTCACATTGACAATATTTCAGCCATATCATGAGGATTGTAATATAAACTATTGTGATGTTACCAAAATACCTAGTGTTTCAAATGAACAACAAGAAGACAAAGTCATCAATATCCCCCGCAATGGCAAAATACTCTTCATGATTATGTCTACGAGTTATGATTATGTCAAATATTTAGGTGTGTATATAGAAAAGTGGAAGGAGAGCATTGAAAGGTTTTTAAAGTTCTACTCCAGAAAGGAGCTCTATCACCAATTTCAGACTAAGTCAAACTTGTTGCCATGGAAAAGCCAAAAATATTTTATTCAGAATTCCAAAAGTACCAAAAGGCACCAGAACACCACCAGACCAATCTATGTGCCAAGTTTGGTGAAGAAATAGTGAACGGTTTTAGAGTTCTGCTCCGGAAAAGAGGACTACCACCAATAAGTCGAACTTGTTGCCATGGAAACGCCAAAAAAGTTTTATTCAGAATTCCAAAACTGTCAAAAGGCACCAGTACACCACCAGATCAATGTATGTGCCAAGTTTGGTGAAGAAATATTGAACACTTTAAGAGTTCTGCTCCGGAAGAGACAAATGTGCGCTGACGGACGCACGCACGGACGGAGTCCATTTTAATACCCCCAGAAAAACGCGTTGCAGGGGATAATAATATACTGGTTGCAGTGAGTTGGTGCGTTTAGTTTTACTCTGCTTTTAGCAATATTCCAGCAATGGGACTTCAGAAATGTACCCTGAAGAACACATTGTACCCATGTGAAGAGCAAAACGCAGTAACCACTAGGCTACCCCACCGCCCATAAACAGCTTGCAATAAATATACCTTCATTAGGACAGACAGAACAATGAAAATCAGTGGTGAATAGTTTAAGGAGCAATCCAAAGAGTCAGGGTTTGGTGACATACGACACAATCCTCGTATCAGCGAGTTAGATGTGGCTAGAACGCTAGAAGTGGGAGGAAAGTCTGAAGTGATGCAGGTCTCTGATGGTTACTATTCTGTGAATCCCAGACATGAGTGAGCAGGGTTTTACATGACGCGTGATTCCTGCGTATTTAACGCAACAATTTTGTAAACGACTTTCAAAATATTATCATACGAGTCAAGCTTGACGCAAGTTTTATGGGTGGCCCTCACAATTCAGTTCAATAAAATCGATTTGATAAGCAAAAAATGATATTATTGTTCGATGATAGTTTGACTTTTACAGAGCTGTCAGATTATTCCAGAGAACTCAGAGGAGACAGTAATCCTGGCTGTGTGAATTGAACAATGCTGTAGTTTCATTTGGTGGTGTGAAAGTAATATTACAATTTTCATGACTCCCAAATATTGAAAATGACTTCCCCAAAAAATATTGTGAGTCACCATGACTCCCATTTTTAAAAATCTGTGCAAAACCCGGAGTAAGGTGTACAAAACCGCCAATATTGCCAGCATGAACCCTTCAAATCAACGGTAATAGGTAACAGGGAAGGAGGCACCTCGCAGAAGACAGAATTTCAAGCAGAAAGTACACATGTGAATTCTATGAGAGTTAATCTTCTTAGAAGATTAAACAAGAAGACAAAGTCATCAATATCCCCCGCAACAGCAAAATACTCTTTATGAATATGTCTACTAGTTATGAATATGTTAAAGGTTTTGGAGTGTATACAGCAAAGTGGAAGGAGAGTATTGAAAGGTTTTTAAGATCTGCTCCAGAAAGGAGCACTACCAACAAATTCAGTTGAAGCCTAACTTGTTGCCATGGAAATGCAACAAGATGACATCCTCATAGTCACAACCTAAGTCGTGTTTCCATGGAAACCACAAAAAATAAAATTCATATCTGGGTCTAACCCCCAAAAGGCACATGTAGGGATCATGCTTGATACGTGTACCAAGTTTGATGAAGCTAGCATGGATAGTTTGGAAGATCTGCTCCGGACAAGATGACATTCTCATAGTCACAGCCTAAGTCATCAGGGGTGGAAATAACCCATTGCCCGACGTCCAAGTCCAGTGTCTTTTTCTGTCGGGCAAGCAAATTTGTATATCACACTGTACCGGTGTCCACTTGACTTTCCAATGTTAATTATGTTGTTTATTTTAAAAAAATCAACAAGAAAGCATCCGGTATAGTGGAAAAATTATCAGGGAAAGTGATTTTACATGTGCCACTGTTCCGGAGTACACTAGCGATTTTAAAGTTATTTCCGGCCCTGGTCATGTTTCCATGGAAACCGCAAAAAATAAAATTCATATCTGGGTCTAACCCCCAAAAGGCACATCTAGGGATCATGGTTGACATGTATGTGTACCAAGTTTGCTTAAGCTATCACAAATAGTTTAGGAGATATGCTTCGGACAAAGTGTGACGGACACACGGACGGAACTCGTTTCTATATCCACCGCAACTTATCTGAACTAAAGAAAACCTAGGAACAAACTTTGTTCAAAACCAGGATTTGAACACACTGTTCACAGCATTATGGCATGGGTTCCTGTTCTGGCCAAGAATACAGCAGAGGAAGCTCACTTGTCTCGCATGCTATCTTTCATTCTCCCTCCTATCGAACCTTATGTTTGAGAGTGACAATCAAGCACGTCATCTTCCCTGACTCACCTTATTGAGAGAGTGGACATCAATTTTCCCAGCCCCAATATCCCTCAGATCTCTTTCAGCATCAACTTTCAGATCATTGGAAACACTCAACCTGAAAACACATTGGATTATTTAGTTGTCACGCTGATGCAAGAAATCTTGTAAGTCTTTAATCTTAAACTCTACATGTCATGGTTTACTGTGTGACTGATATTATAGGATGTGAGGTGAAATGGACTTTAACATTGTACTTCAGAATATTTCGCTCATATGACAACGTGCATGCGTGTGTATGTGTGGCTGCTTGTACTAGACCAGACTGCTATCTCACTGAGATACCATGCCGTAGTAAGGCAGGAATACCCCACTCAGACACATTAAACTGCCTCCGAGCCAACCAGTCCTTGCTGTCTCCACTAATGCCGAGCGCCAGGCAGGGACCAACAAATACCATATTTTAATGTCTTTTGGTATGATGCGGCCGGGGATCGAACCCGCGACCTTCCGCTCCCCGGGCAGAAGCCCTAATTACTACACCACGGAGGCGGTCTCTAGCAGGTAGTGAGTAAGTAAGTAAATAAACAACTTCGTGGATAAAAACCTCAAGCAATAAACCAGACGCAGTCCAGCATAAGGTTGTATGTTTTGTTCTCTTGTGGTTTACAATATCAGAACAAGAATGGGTCCATAATTCAAGTTTCTTTGCAGGAAATGGACTTAAATTAGCTTCAAATCAAAGTCTATTTCAAATATTATTCCAGCAAACCGATCTGAAATTAACTGAAAACCACAATATTAACAGTTACCATAATTATGCAGATGCCACAGTGATGAAGCCGTATTAACCTAAGTGATTGAGTGAGTATGGTTTTACGCCGCTTTTAGCAATATTCCAGTAATATCACGGCGGAGGACACCAGAAATGGGCTTTACACATTGTACCCATGTGGGTAATCGAACCCAGGTCTTCGGCGTGACGAGCGAACCCATTTACCACTAGGCTACCCCACCGCCCTGTATTAACCTGAGGAGATGAGAAGCATATTTCATTACCAGAGTGCTCTCTTCCTCCCCTGAAGATAGTTCTCATAGATGATACCAGCAATCGTCCTGCCTTTACCGACACCAGCACCATCACCTGCAACAGTTGAAGCATGTCAGCAACGTGACTTACTGATGAATCATCACTAATTTACAGGTCATGTTCTATACAGATAGTTCACTCAGTCAGTGACTTTAGCCAACATGAAATAGTGCTTTAAAGTTAGCTTCAATAATCTGAATAGGCAAATCTGAGTAAATGACTAATAGGCAAAATAAATTCTCTAACCAATTTTATTCGATGATTGCTTGTTGGTAATGAACCAATTATCAATTGTGAGATTTCAACCAATTCCCAACACTAATTTTGAATCTGGGTGAATACAAATTCTAACATTTTACATCAGCAGTAATAACTCCTGGTTATTAATTTCAAACACACCCAACATATTGAGACTCCTCCAGTCTGCTCTAACCTACCTATGAGAAAGCCAGCACGTTCACCACTTGGCAGGACTGTCTGATGTCTCTGACTGGAGTATACAATGGCCTCCAGCTGCAGAGCGGACAACTGACAATTATCCATCACAGACTCGGGTATACACAGCTTGTAGTGGATATCGGGAGGCTCCACACTTGCCATGGAGCTTGTTTCCACCACAGCGTCAGGATGCTTCTCGCCAAGCTTTACTGTAACATACATTGTGATGGTCGTATGAACACTGAAGTAGACAATTGTCACAATACAGTCAAACCTTATTTGCTCCGACACCACAATTCGATGTTGTCCAAGCATCATCATTACCACTCAGGGTTTTACCCTGCCCTACAAAGCCAGGGGCCCAGAGGATCCCTTATTACCAATTTCAAGGGCCATCGAAAAGCATATGAGCACCCTGAGAGTGAGCAAGTTCAATTTACGCCGCACTCAGCAATATTCCAGCTATATGGCAGCGGTCTGTAAATAATCGAGTCAAAACCAGACACTCCAGGGATCAACAGCATGAACATTGATCTACGCAATTGGGATACGATAACATGTGTCAACCCAGTCAGTAAGCCTGACCACCCGATCCCGTTAGTTGCCTCTTATGACAAGCATGCTTTACTAAGATCAATTCTAACCCGGACCTTCATGGGTCAAGCGCCCTGTGAAGTTATCAGATAGTGTAGTATACTCATTATGTAATGATAAGATGTAACCATTATGTTTATAACAATGTTAGTTGAGAATTTAGTGCAGTTACTATTATTTTGTTTCCTATTGGACACAATGCATATTTTCTCTACATCAGTTCCATATCTGTGCATACTGGATGCACATTTCTGCAACGTGTAAATTTCGGTTAGTTCTGCTTGATAATACTGCATTTTCATTCATTGTTTTTAAGATTTACAGAAGCTAGCAGTTGATCATTAATAACATGCACCTATATGACTGAATTTTGCCAACAATCAGACATAGGTGGAAATAACCCATATGACAGGCAAGCAAAAGTGTATATCACACTGTACAGTTGACTTTCAATGTTAATTATGTTATTTATTTAAAAATCAACAAGATACGGCCGGTGAGTGGAAAATTATCAGGGCAAGTGATTTTTACATGTGCCCTAAGCGAGTACACTAGCAATTTTAAAGTTATTTCCACCCCTGATCAGGCGTTAATAGCCTGAGCAATCATACACAGTCAGATGCAATGATCATCTCCCCAAGCCTTTGACCGGATACATTAAGTCATCTCTTTACCTACTTCAGAGTAGTGCTTATAACAAGTGAAACTGTCTCACCCCAAATGCTGGTTTGTTTCATGAGGAGACTGAAAAACTTGGTGAATAAAACAGTTTCATCTCCTACTCACATTTTTCCGGCATGTACTCGAAGTAGGTCTCTGCATGACCCAACTCTTCTACTTCCTCTTCCACTTCCTCCTCCTCAAGGGCTGTTGGAGTACGCATGATTGTCTGACTGTGTTGTCGATGGACCTGAAACACATCCCACAATTACCGCTGGCCAAGTGATTTCTCATCATCTGATCCATCCTTGCATGGCTGAATCAGAGAACTTGTTGAAATGTCACAAAATGTTACAATGTAGATTTAAGCATGAAAGCCTTTTCATGTTCATGTCCTTCTGTCAATAAAATGGAAATCACCTCTGGAAAGTAATAGTGAGTGAGTGAGATTAGTTTTAAGCTGCTTTTAGCAATATTCTAGCAATATCATGGCGGGGGACACCAGAAATGGGCTTCACACATTGTACCCTTGTGGTGAATCAAACCCGGGTCTTCGTCGTGACAAGCTAACCCTGTAACCACTAGGCTACCCCACTGCCCCTTTAAAGCAATAACATTTGTTCTAAGATGCTTTTATCAGAATGAAGATGCAAAGCCGACAATACTTTATCAGCCATTCGATAATGTGCACTTTTGCATTACGTCACAATGTACTGGTGACTCCGCCACTAGTCTGCCCCTCGTAATCGCCATTCTAGTCTGTGACTGCCCTCTAGTCTGCCCCTCGTAATCGAACACTTTTGCATTACGTCACAATGTACTGGCGTCACTGCGCCATTCTAGTCTGCCCCTCAAATGCCCCTCGAACACTTTTGCATTACGTCACAATGTAACCAACGCCATTCCAGTCGATGCATGTCAGTTGTCATCGCCATTCTAGTCTGCCCCTCCTACAGCAAACTACTCCGTAGCATTCTACCCTAACACTTTTACATTAGTCTTGGATTTGCAGTTGCTTCACATTACGTCGGCTAACATCACTTGGTGGAAACATTACGTTTATGTTAATGTTGTCCTGGTGGAAACATTATGTTTATGTTGTCCTCGTGCTTTAACTATAATAGTTCAGGGCGAAAGTGTGCTTTATTACACTATACATGGTGGTAGAGTGAACTGTATTTCTTAATGATAAGTACAAATACCATAAATATCTGGGGGCAAACAAAACCTAACATCAGCTTTGTGAATCATCAGAATGCAAACATGCAAATGTCAGGTTACTACATATGATCATTCAATACTTCTATTCCAACAAACAAATATATAGTTTAAAACATAGGAGTATGTACGTTTTCTGTCTCTATATCCACAGACTGCCTCCGTGGTGTAGTGGTTAGAGCATCCGCCCGGAGAGTGGAAGGTCGCGGGTTCGATCCCCGACTGCTTCATACCAAAAGACGTTAAAATATGGTACTTGTTGGTCCCTGCCTGGCGCTCGGCATTAATGGGTACAGCAAGGACAGGTGTCTGAGTGTGGTATTCATGCATCACTGCGGCAGGGTATCTCAGTGGGCTAGCACTATAAAACCAGCTTCAGTCTGGGCTAGTACAGGCAGCCGCACATACACATACACACGCATGCACGTCGTCATATGAGCGAAATATTCTCAAGCACGACGTTAAACCCAATTTCACCTCACCTCACCTCTATATCCACAACAGTGTCCTGTACATCGTGAAACACAGTTTTCCACATACCTGCATTCCAGCCATTGTTTTCAGCCGGACATCTTCTTGAGACCACAGCCTTGAGAGATCCTTATTGGAAAGACTAGTTTTGATGGCATTAATGTTATTACCATTAACAAGTGACGTAGCAACGTTGCTTGGAACCGTAGAAGTAACTGAGCGATTTCCTTGTAAACTGTTCAACAAAGATGTCTGAGCGGAAGTCATGGTTGAGCCAGGTAACAGCTTCCCTCCTGACATCCCCACTTTGCTGACCACCTGTATTGGTGAACTAGTCCGCATCACCTGTCCATTCACAGTTGAAATAGAGTTCATATTCTTATTACTACTTGCTACAATGATCTTTGGACTGTTTGCATTGGTAGCTTGTGGAGTGAGGGTGATGGTTTGCCTGCTCCCCACGTTGCCTCCGGACCCCATGCGGGTGATGGTGATGACCCGGGGCTGGTTGGGTGACACCCCTTGCACCAGGGAGCGTGTAATGCTGCTGGGGAGGGAGGAGAGTGGGGAGGAGGAAGAGTTTAATAATGAACTTGGAACACGGATGATCTTTGGTGCATGTACTGTAGGACTTTGCCCATGGACTGTATTGGCTCGTAACAGAGACTGTGGAACACCTGCCAGTACCTGCAACATTGCATCATAATAAATCAATTCCTTATTTCTAAATCAATATGATCTTTCGATTCAGAGCGAAAATCCCTGCTCATAATTTGTACCGTTAACCAAATTTCCTGTTTACTGCATCATGGACACAAACAACACACACTAAAACAGATTGAATAAATGGTATTTTTTAGCATGCTAATCACCATTCTTTCCAAGACACTTAAACCTAACTACCATGATCGGTTTACCATCATTTATTAATCGCAATCGGGCCCATGCTGTGCCTGTTTACCACCAACATACTCAGTTTTGACCTACCATGCACCGAGAGATTAGAGCATTTTCATGACCCTAGCTCCTAAAGCATGAGCATAATTATAGTGACCCATGTCTTATTTTGTAGAGAAATCTATTAGCTTGAAATGCGTGCATAGTTTTAATGGGGGTTTTACAGAGAGAATTGTTGCATTCATCCTGGAATGAAAGTGGTTGTGTAGACACTGCTCCATCCATTTCGTTTTACAGTGCTAAAATCCCGTCAGTGACAATATATATACCGTGATGCCAGCAACTATTTTCCAGAGAGATCCCTACAGTCCAGTTGAGACAAAATGATACCGATGAATTGGAATCTAACACAAAATAAACATAAAAGAATAAAACCAACGCAGACTGCAATAAAAACAACTGACCAACTCCAAAATTTTTCTTTGCATAATTTGTGTCATAAAAATAAAAAAGTTGTTTAAGTAACTGTCATCATTTATTTGTGTGCTTTCCCAGTTTGTTACAAGGGCGCAGTTGCAACTAAAGGAAAAGTGTGAAAAGCGAGACGCACGTGCGTTAACGGGTTCTCAACAAATGTTTGAACTGGCGAGATGACACATACCCCAACTGCATAGGCAGTGCGCTGTATGTACTTAGTAAATGCATAGTCCCCCTGTCGTTTTCATCCTTGAAGAAATCATAGACTTTGTAAATTATAGACTTTACATCTGGAGAAAATTTCATTTTCTCTCACTTTGTCAATCAGCAGTAATCACATGTCTCTGACGTCACTAATACACGTGCATCTCGCTTTTTGCGCTGTTCCTTTAGTTGCCACTGCGCCCTTGTAACAAACTGTGAAAGCGCACAAATAAATGACAGTTTATTAAACAACTTTTTTATTTTTGTGACACAAATTATGCAATTTTTTCTCGAGTTTTTATGTTGTTTTTATTGCAGGCCGAGCTGGTTTATTCTTTTATGTCTACTTGTTTTTGTGTTAGATTGCAATTCATCGGTATCATTTTGTCTCAAACGGACTGTAGTTTCTAAATGAAATTCTGCCTAATTGTACAATATGTTGTCAGTGTTAAAAATTCCTAAAATGAAATGGAAACATCAGATCATGATAACGAGGCCAGTCTTGGGAGGGAATTTAACATGATATAAAATGGGAATTTTTAGTCTTATCATCAAGTTATAGTCTACGTCCTGCAGGGTATATTTCTGCACACTGACAACAGAAAAGTAGCACAAGAGAGGAGACGATCTATGATGGTCCTACACAGTTCTCATACAGATGAAACAGGACCTGGGTGACTTACTGGACTGGGTGTGTTCCTCGGTTTGATATGTGAAGAGGCTGCAGACAGCTGGCCCATGGCCTGGTTGAACAGATCAGCCTGGTTCACGTCACCATGTTTGCTGTTCGGTGTTCCATTTACCAGAGGGGAATCAGGAAATCCCTGCAAAAATGAAAACTACCTTAACAACCCTTTCCGCAATGAATTTTCCACTGATACGATTCATCATCATCATCATCATCATCATCAATATTAATAACATCTCTGTAAAATCCCATTTTAATTCTTTACTTACTAACATAATTTTGAATAGAATTACTCTCAACAGTAATGTAGCTTGTATCATAAATCTTCAAATTCAATGTGAATGCTTAACATGTGTAATTCATGACCAACTCATAAAAATAATGCTGAAGCACTGTAGCTCACCTGGATATGTTGTCAGCAGTATAAAATATCAACAAAAATAGCCATTCCAGAAGGGCTGCTGTAGGTTCGACATTAAAATCTAGTTACAACAAAACATGCCATCATAAAGACAAACATGACAGCCATATTGAATATCTGATCTGAACCCCTCGATAAATCATGGTGTCATCGACTGGAACCAACATTGGTTAAGTGATTGGTATATTGGTCAAGTGATTTCTGTAAGGATCATATTTAAAAACCAAGCTGGACACCAGCGAGGAAGACCACTTTACTGGACTTTTGATCAGGTGGGCTAACAGAAGAATAGATGGATTGACAGGTAAGATCGAGTGTGGGAATTTAGTTTTATGCCGCTTTTAGCCATGTTCCAGCAATATTACGGCAAGGAACACAAGAAATAGGCTTCACATCTTGTACCCATGTGGGAAATCGAACCCTGGTCATTGGCGTGACGAGCAAACGCTTTAACCACTAGGCTACCCCACCGCCCCGACAGTTAAGAGCATCATGCTAGCCAGTGAATCATGGCTGGTGGGGTATATTTAAAATGGAATCAGTTCTGTAGCATGTTTAGCACATACTGTTGAACCATAACCTTGACTATACCACAAGAGTCAATCTCATTGACATTTGAAATCACCCAATTCTGATCAACGATACGTAAAAAACATAAGGATAACAATTCCTAACAATTTACCGCTAATACCCTTACTTGACAGAATACCTTTCTGCATGTAGATGCAATGGCTTAGAGAAAACTGTTCAGCACATTCAGTGACCTTGACACACAACTTGGCCCTGTCAAAGTTTCATTAAGTAACAGTTTAACCTTTAGCCTGCTGAATTAATTTCAGCATAAGGCCTTGCAAAGAGGGTGGGTGATTTCAAACAGTCGGTGTGTAATTAATTAAGGGACAACTGAAAAAATATTTGGCACATTAATACTAGACAGAAAAATGAACATTATTATCTACAAAATATCATAATAATTTCAAACATACAGAGGTTAATGACATGGCAAACATAAATAATGTAAATTTTCCTGAATTTACCTGAATTACTTGTTTGACAGTGGAATGCGTTTCATATAAGGAATCTGAATAAATCGTTAAATTAGTGCAAACCGATTTCATAATCGTATTTCCGATATCTCATAATTATCTGACTTCAAATTCTTATATTTTTATCGGCAATTATCAGCTAGACGACAAATTAAAAAACATTTCTGAAATAGTCGTAAACAAATCGTTATTTCGATGTCATCACATATTTTATTCAAATGGCACTATTACGTTTATTCCACCATGTCATGTCATGAAAACTGCAGGATAAAATACATGATTTATGAATATTCATGAGTCCTAATTTCAAGTGTTATGGTTCATTATTTTCAACACAAACCCACAGAAAAACAGTGTTGCACCGTGTTACACGTACGAAAAACAAACATGGGGCGTTTCGTCCGACCCATTCATAAAATATTGCTATTTTGATAAGAACAAAGCTTACAGGAATTACAGTGCACTCTGTCAAACTCGGACTGTCTTTCTCGGATTGCTGTATAAACAGGACTGAACTCATGGTCCCGACGTACTCCTTCTTTGTTGTCATAATAAAAAAGTTCGGTATCTCGGACTCTCATTTTTTCGGATTTCGGACCAAAGTGTCAGCCCGATAAGGTAGTTACATGTAAAAACATTGCTATATAATTCGGACTGAGCAGGAAGTCCGCTTGGCCAATAAACCTTGAATAAACATTCCGTCGATTGGTTTGTGTATTTTGTCTTATTTACTTAGCAGGAAGTCCGCTTGGCCAAGACCGCGTAGTCTAGCAGTGAACATTTATTTACCTTTGATGCGACTAACACCAATTGTAAACTATAATTGAGCCGATCATGTCAACTCAGTGTCAATGTCACTATGCATTTAAGATGCCATCAGACACAGTGTGATATCAATCAGTTGTAAGAAGCGATTTTATTGGATAAAGATTGGTTTCTAATGACGCTTTTAAGCCACAGTCTGCTATATAAGGGTCGTGATTGGTCAAAATCAGACACATGACCTAAGGCAGCCAATCATATTACTGCAATGGATACCATCCTAAATGAAAATGAAAACTTTTAGATTTAGACAAAAGTTTTGGGTAAAATAATGCTATTCTGAACATATTAAGTAAGAAATTGCTACCTATCGTAAATTATGGAGCGTATTAGGACTTATCGTGCTAGGCTATGACCTGTGACAAAAATGCTTCATGTATATATTTTCGCATTGAACATCGTGTCCGAAGCGTGAAGATTGAGGCGGCGAGAGCCGAGATGTCACTTGTTAGTGACTTGACTTACATTACATGATCGCACAAAAAGATGGAAATAGTAATTTTATATGTACGTTTGACAACTTTTATGAATGTTGTTGATTTCATTCATTAGTTTATTCAATTTATTTCATGAATTCCTCGAAACATCGTTACTTTGCTCTTTGACAATGTTATTGTGGACCCGCTGCCGAAGCAGGTGTCCGAGAATCGTTGTTTTCAATAACATTGCGAAAAATAGTTTATAATTTTAATTCTGCTGATAATAGGGAGATAACTTCATTAAAATCAGTGTACTTCGGACTACTGTATAATTCGGACTTTTTAGTCGGTCCCAAGCTGGTCCGAATTAGACAGAGTGCACTGTACATGTATAAGCCCTGGTGAAAGTTGAAGTATTTCTTATTCTACAAGTGTTTCATTTATCATTTTCAGTTTAATATGACCAGAGAGAAACGAAAATTAAGATCACGAAATCTAACTGCTTTTCTGGTAAGTGCAAAGGTCACCGGATGTGATGTCACAGACAGGGGTTGTCTGGTAAAAATCTTTAGTTATTGAATACTAACAGTAAATTTGTAGATATTTCGTCTGGCAAACCCAAATTTAACACAAATCACTATTTAGAATAATTAATCATAGCTCATAAGAAAAAAACATTGTGTTTTTGACTATATAATTGGCATATCACGAAACCAGTTTGACCTTGTATGCTCCCGTGACCCGGAAACAGTAGTCGATCAACAAGTTTCTCAGTATCTTATATTTGAACATTTGTTGATACAGTCATCCCTCCAATAACGCTCTTCACGATAACGCTGGATTCGGTTAAACCGCAGGGTTACAACTTTAAACATTTTCATATATTTTCATATGTTAATTGTTATTAATATTATTAGTATTTTTCCCTCCCAAATGGTCATGGGTAAAGACACTATGGATCTATCAATGCATTAGCAAAGTGTAAGCAACAAATTTTCAATTACTGTCTTTTAGTGATGTGGAAAAAAAATAATTGGATCTATCAAAGGATGGCACAATTTTTTCGGTATCACGATGCATGTGGAGTTGTTTGTTTACCGCCGTTGCCATGATCGTTCCTATTTCATCCAATCGGTGATGTAACATTGAGATTGTTTTTGTTTATAACTAATTAAACCGAAAGTTACTAATTTTCAGAAAATATGAAACTACAGTGTCTTCTCTTCCTCAAAGAAGAAAAATATTGATCAAATTTTGAAAAAAATATTTCATTATGAAGAAAATATTAGACGTAATGTGCACAAAGTCAACAATTGCCGTTATTTGTGGCTGTGTGAGGAGAAATTTGGCAAACAAATTTTTATTTCGCAGGCATTTCGTTTTAAGGTACATAAACTAATCGAAGATTATATAGTTAGAAAGCTCAGAATTGATGCATTCCATACATAATTCAAATGACACGTAAATCCGACTTGTTGAATAATTATTGCAAGTTTTATTTGGGGATGTCATTATGCTGCTGTCCTGTCGAATGGGTTCGACAGTAGCATTTAGAGGATTAAAGAGACATTAGAGCCTTGTACTAAGATTGCATTGTACTTGATACAAATCATAAAAGCTCCTAGTTGTGCAAGTGAACTCACCGTATTTTGCAAACTGCCATAGTCACTTGTAGATGGCACTGAGGATTCACAGCTCAAATCTGCCAAATCATTTCCAGTAATACCAGACTCATCCAATGCAGCCGACAACAGGTCAAAAGAGTCCTGGAAACAAATAAGTCTTAGAATCAGAGTAAATCCTAATATGCCAAACAGTTTTATTATGACCTTTAACTTCAGGATTTCAAAACTTGTTTAAGATCAGATCCTATTTACCATGTTTGTCCAGTGTTCGCAGTGAGGTGATATTGGGTTTAACGCCGTGCTTGAGAATATTTCGCTCATATGACGACGTGCATGCATGTGTATGTGCGGCTGCTTGTACTAGCCCAGACTGAAGCTGGTTTTATATTGCTAGCCCACTGAGATACCATGCCGCAGTGAAGCATGAATATCCCACTCAGACACATTATACTGACTCCGAGCCGACCAGTCCTTGTTGTACCCATTAATGACGAGCGCCAGGCAAGGACCAACAAGTACCATATTTGGTACAAGGCGGTAGGGGATCAAACCCGCGACCTTCCTCTCTCTGGGCAGACGCTCTAACCACTACACCACGGAGGCGGTTGTTCGCAGTAGGTAAAAAGGCTTTGCGTTCCCAAAACGCATTGCCCCAAGAATTTTGCGTGTTCATGCACCGCAGGTGTATGTCTGAGCCAGAAAGCTGCGAGGTTTCTAGTTGGGTGGGTGGGGCCCGTAAAATTTTGAAATTTACACGTCATTTCCTTGCATGTTGTCATTATTTGCAAGTCAAATTTGCTAAGAGAAACTTTGTATTATTTTTTATGTTTCATTGAGCAAAATACGTTTCTCGGTTACTTGTTCCCAGAACACAAAATGCTTTGCGTGCAGAACATGCTGGTTTTGTTGTTAACGCAAACACTGTTGTCAGATAGTTAATGTTCGAGTGCATCATGAAAATAATCATACTCAAGTCATGTCATCAGCCACTGTGGCTGAGCGGGTTAGGCGGCTGACTGAGGGTGTGGGTTCGAATCACGGATGGTATTCAACCCAACAAAAGTACTATAATCTGTACTTTAACGAGAAAGTGTACTCACAAATGATACTTGTATTACATTTGACCACTTTCTAAATGGCATTGTCTACTCATGTCATCAGGTTAAAAAGACATGCAACTGGGGAAGCCAGCATGATGGGAACTAATTTTAATCTGAAATTAGTTAGTGAATTGTGGTCTGGTTCAAGCTTACTGTGCTTACATTTACACTGCATCATGCATGCATGTGTAATATGTTGCTGCTCGTACTGGTCTAGACCGTTGCATGTTTTACACTGCTAGTGCTAGTCCCCGGAGCATAAATAGAATTGTATACAGACCCTACGATAAGTTTACATGTACATCCAAACAAATGTGGGACCTGCACAAATACTTCAAGCTATCAGTGGAATACATCTTGCTACCTACACATAACAGTGCATCCTAGCATATCTAAGGGAAACAATTCTGTACCAGAATATAACACGGGCTAGTTTGGCAAAGGTGTTACACATACAATAATATTCCACTCAGTCATAGTGGGTGCATCGGTTCATTCGACATTGGCTTTGGACTGGCAGATATTCTGGGTCAAACAAGTCAAAGCAACCCGAATTCCCGCTTTACATAGCGGTAATATTGGCTCTCTTGCTGGTGCTAACCTTAACAATTGCACTATTAACGTTGTTGATGGACCAAAACCGAACACTGACATGGTTTGGCATGTTGCAGGCTATGGTCTTGTCAAAGGCCAGGGTCGAATATCGTCACTTTCTGTTGTGACGTCACTTGAATTGTTCGATGACGTAATTGCATACGGGCAGTCAACCTCGTCAGAAGTTGGTTTTGAGTAAACTCAGTCAAATTCCTTCATTGTTTCCTTTTTCTTTTCAACACAAATTCCATGTATTTTAGCAATAATAACGGTAATGCTATTTTTGAGGGCATTATCATTTGCAGAAGCCCTAGGTTTTTTCCAACTGCCCTCCTTCGTCGGGCAGTTAATGGAAGACCTCAGGCTTCTGCAAATGATAATGCCCTCAAAAATAGCATTACCCTTATATTGTTATACTGCTGTTTTCATTTTTCAGCATATTGCTGGATTTGTTTATTACATAAACGTTAAATTATGAACATTCCAAAGTCATTTCCATGTCTTTGCAATGTTTCTTTTCTGTGAATTTCAGACTGAGACCGACCCGTGAAGATCCAGGGTAGAATAGGTCTTCAGCAACCCATGCTTGCCACAAAAGGCGACTATGCTTGTCGTAAGAGGCGACTTACAGGACCGGGTGGTCAGGCTCGCTGATTTGGTTGACACATGTCATCGGTTCCCAATTGCGCACTGCGATGCTCATGCTGTTGATCACTGGATTGTCTGGTCCAGACTTGATTATTTACAGATAGCTGCCATATAGCTGGAATATTGCTGAGTGCGGCGTAAAACTAAACTCACTCACTCAGACCACAGCATTACAGTGGTCCAAAAAGAGAGGTGAGGTGAAATTGGCTTTAACGTCGTGTTTGAGAATATTTCGCTCATATCACGACGTGCATGCGTGTGTATGTGCGGCTACTTGTAGTAGCCCAGACTGAAGCTGGTTTTATAGTGCTAGCCCACTGAGATACCATGCCGCAGTGAAGCATGAATATCCCACTCAGACACATTATACTGACTCCGAGACGACCAGTCCTTGTTGTACCCATTATTGCCAAGAGCCATCCAAAAAGAGAGACAGGATCAGATAAGACAAAACAGCACATATAATCATATTCAGTAAATAAAGTGTGTGATTGAACAGAACATCTCCACCATGTCTACAATGATAAATATTTTCTATACCTTACGCATCAAACTTTAGAAACTTGTCAAAACCAATCAAAATTCCCTCTGTCTCAGCTAAGTGTCCAAACACATTATAAATCGAAATATGCTGAAATTGATTATGGCACCCTGAATGGCAAGGTTCACACAATGTAGTAATTGTAGAGTGAATGTTGTGTACATATATCATCCAAGCCTGTGACTAAAGAAATAGCTAAAAACATAAACAATGATCCAAGCCCTCAGGGTACAACATCTACAAGCTAAGGCCAGAGGTTACAATCTGTAACCACCTGATCTCCAGTTTAGTTGGCCCATACACTAAGCATGGGCACCTGACCTATTCTGTTCCAGACACCTCACAGAAGTAGCCTCAAGGTTTCAAAGTAAATTGAATGTTATCTGATGGGAGATCAGCAACATTCCAGCTGTATCACCTAGACATGAAAACACATGGACCAAGCTAAACAGTGCCTGAAAACATGAGCAGTGTCTCAAGCTACAAAGGTATAACAACAAGCTATAAGGTATGAACGTATCATGGGACATTCAGTCAAGTCACAGATCCTCTGTTACATTTCAGACAACACTCATGTATTTCAACTAGTTCCGTTCTATATATTTCTTATTATAGGAATATACATTACATTCAGTTTGACTTCCTGGTAACAGACTGTGTTCTAAAAATGAAAGCAGCTCCCTTAATATTTTGCTTAGTCATGTGAGATTTGCACTGATTTAGTTAAATTATGCATTCCAGTAAATTAAGTTGCATAATAAGCAGCCGAAAATTGAAGCTAATGGTTCATCACTTAATAGACATAAATGGATGACAAATCCGATCAAGGTTTAGTCCCTAATGGTTCTTCCTGGATATTAATACCAAAATAAGGTGACACAAAAAACACAATGATATTCTCTTATTGAATCAACCTTCGAAGTTACTATCTGTCATTCAGTAAGAACTGTAGCATCAACAAATAATCAACAATGATGGGAAACACATCATAAAAGATAAGGACAGGCTTTGAAATTCCGAAAGTTAAAAAAAATGTTTCTATTTTGCTTATTGTTCATCTATATGATTTATCCGTTTGAAAAATGCCCCCGTTTAATAAAAATCTTGCTTAGAATGGAAAAACGTTTGTTAAATACTGACACTTCAAAAATAAAGGTGAAACGAAGGATTATCCATGTCAAACAAAACACATTATTTGCCATCAGCAATACAGTGTGTCGTGACTATAGTGTGGTGGTAAACGTGAGTTTACTTCCTCCCTTTAAGATCCAAATTTATGGCACATAAACGAGTTTCGTAGTGTTATTTTCATTAAAATAGTTCAGTTGTAAACTAAATATTTCTATTTAGTCGATGTTGACCGAATACAGGGCTTACATTTGCTTCTGTTGCCATAATATTTTCACAGCAAATTACGACACCTCTTCGGCAACATTACTCGTCCCTTGCTTAATTACCCACAATGCATTTCAAACTACCTTCCAAAAACTGTATACTGTTAATCACAATATTTTTGCTTTTTCAAGTTATAGGAGTTACAAAAGAATTTAATAGTATTGTAAAAGCTGGTTGATAGTACGGTCATCTGCGTGTCATATGATTATTGAATGTTTTACCCAAATTAAATGTGACTAAAAGCGGGTGACTATTTATAGCAGTTCTACGTCAAGAAGCTAGTATAACTAAGTCAACATGGTTTTCTGAAAGGATATTTCTCCAAAAGAAAGTTACAGTTATAATTTTATCGTAATTATTATTCAGATAAATAACAAACTAGACGGACGCGTACAAATTTTAATTACATTTTGATAGAACGAAGTGTTCACTCACCGAAAAGCCAATCAAATCCCTTCAAAGAACGTTCCCCGACCAATGGAATGTTCTCTCGTGCGGCAATACGACCAATCAGCGAAGCGCATTTAACACGAATTTGTGTTCTCTGTTTTGGGGATGAAAGTCACAATCTCGTCTGATTGACATACAATATTTGTGACCGGTGTGTGTATTAATGGTATGGATGAGATATAGTACTATGTTTCATTGCATCTTATGAATGCGTTCACAGCCACTAACGTTTCAGATCATGCCACATCCATACTTTCATGTTTGAATGTGATCGGTTGATACAGAGCTATAAGATTCATGCATGGAGGATGTGTAACGTTCAGGCCCATGTCTCTTCAAGTTAGTGTAATAATTTAGCTATTTATATGAGATCGAACGTTTAGGTACGTAAAATTTACAATACTTTATGTTACCATTGCTAATGTGTGAAATAAAACCAAAATCGCAGTGCGAAAAAGTGTGCTATTTGATGTTGGCTTCAGGTTTGTATCATAAATGTAGAAACTTGCATGATAAGATAAACAGAACGCGTGCGTAATTTTACACTCTAGACAATTCAGATGTCAACTATCCAGAAACCATTTAGATCCAGGCATTGTTAAAACAGACATTGCTGGAAACGTATTGCCAGGCAAAGGTGCATTTGTGTGTACACAAAGACATGACAAAAATGTGCCCACAGCCTCTATTCTGTTGGTTTCTAATGCCACATCCAAACTTTCAATAGTTTTGATCGATTCATACAGAGAACTGAATTTTTCATTGATGTAAAACAGGACTAGGTAAAATTTTGCCCATAACCCCAATTTGAATTATGGTTATAGGAAAAAAATCTTTCGATAAATTTTGCTACTGTCAATCATTATGTTTTCAGATGAGCTGTCAGTATTAGGGTAAAATGGAGAAAACTGCTGATTCACAGACTGTCATTGACTCCAAGACAAAACAAAGCCAGATCCATTTGGAGGATGAAGGTTAGTTAAAAAGGGATAAAATGGGTAGACCGAATCAACAAAACTAAATAGTCCACAGTATACGGGTTCAGCTAATTTTGGACTTCTGCCATTTTGTACATAAACTAGATGGTAGAAATCAAACTGGTCTCTCCAGATTTTCACTAGTGACCATGTCCATCCTTGGATAACTATTCTTGAACTCTGGCATTTATATTGGCATGTTCAAGCTATGTCCCCACAAGACATCCTCTATTTTCCTTTCCATTACAAGCCACATTATTATTTCAAATTTCAGATGAGGACAAGGCCGCTGATGGTGAGGAGTCCCTACATTCATCCTCAGTCTTGTTGACTCCTGAGGCCTCGCCTATCAAAGACAAAGACTCAGTCTCAGAATCTGCTACATGTAGAGATGATAATGGTGTGCAGACATCAAGTGCAGGTGGTCAGTCACCACTGGGGGACGACCAGACATCAGAAGTGCAGGTGGTCGGTCACCACTGGGGGACGACCACACATATGCCCAAATAGAACCCAGACTGTGTTTGTCAGACTCTGAATCTACCTCACATTGTAAACAGCTCAGGGAGGGGACTGAGAGTCCTTCCTCATCAAGTAGTTCACAAAGTTCTGTGCCCAAGAAGAGGAAAGGCAGACGAGGAAAAGTGAAGCCCACGCCAGCAGATGACAAGTCATTCACGCCACCAAGACCTAGGCCTGGGAGGAGGAAGTAGGCATTTTACATTCAGGATTCACCGTGTTTAGTTGTTTGATGTATATGATCCTTACATAGAGATATTTAGTGCACTTGCCACATGGTTTAGGATACCATAGACCCGTGAAGATCCGGGTTAGAATTGATCTTCAGTAACCATGAAGCATGGTAACCCATGCTTGTCTTAAGATGCAAGTAAAACTAGTAAAAGGATCGGGTGGTCAGGGGCGGTGGGGTAGCCTAGTGGTTAAAGCGTTGGCTCGTCACGCCGTAGGCCCGGGTTCGATTCCCCACATGGGCACAATGTGTTAAGCCCATTTCTGTTGTCCCCCGCCGTGATATTGCTGGAATATTGCTAAAAGCTGCGTAAAACTAAACTCAGTCAGTCAGTGGTCAGGCTTGCTGACTTGGTTGACACATGTCATTGTATCCCAATTGTGTAGATCGTTACGCATGCTGTTGATCACTGGATTGTCTGGCCCAGACTCGATTATTTATAGACCGCCGCCATATAGCTGGAATATTGCTGAGTGCAGCGTAAAACTAAACTCACTCACACACACTAAATCTCTCTGAAGAGGGAAACACTTCCACCCATATCCCACCTTAAATTATATTCTAGTCAAATCATATCACCTGAATATATATGCCTCATCTGATATGGATGAGTTTTAGCATGCTTCGTTAATTGTATCTGAACATGCTGAAAGACATATCAACTTATATAAATGTCACTCAAGAAATGTTTCCTCATCGTTATAAGTTAGGGGGGATACAGGTGGAGGTCTTACCCTGAGTGAGTGAGTTTAGTTTTACACAGCACTCAGCAATATTCCAGCTATATGGCGGCGGTCTGTAAATAATCGAGTCTGGACCAGACAATCCAGTGATCAACAGCATGAGCATCGAAGTGCGCAATTGGGAACCGATGACATGTGTCAACCAAGTCAGCGAAACTGACCACCCGATCCCGTTAGTCGCCTCTTACGACAAGATAGTCGCCTTTTTATGGCAAGCACATGGGTTGCTGAAGACCTATTCTACCCTGGATCTTCACGGGTCGTCTTACCCTGAAGAGTTGCCCCAGGGGTATGTTTTTAGTCATAGATTTACCTTGAGTTTGATCTTTTGTCTGGGCCATTCCTGTGTGGAAATGTCTACAACTTGCATTCCTTCAGCTAAAGCTTATACATCTTGTTATGTGACTGAAATACTGTTCAGAGTAGCCTTAGACCAGTGACTATGTCCCCAGATACCCAGCACAGTGATATCTCAACGTAGGTGTGATAAAATGGTTGAAGTTTGTGACAACAGTGGCCATATGTGAGCCTTTGGAATTGATACACAGGTCTTATGTGGAAATTAGCCTTATTTATACTTTCAATATTTTGAATATGATATTTGCATTAATGATGTTACAAACTATTCAGTTCTTCAAAGTTGTATACACCCAAACTGGCACTTTACGCATGTTCAGGATTATCACAAATATCAGACTTATTATCCCCCCGGCATGTCATGCGGGGGGATATAGTCGATGCCTCGTTCGCCGTCCGTCCGTAATGACTTTGTTTCTAGAGCATAACTCAAAAACCGTTAAATATTTTTCAACAAAACTTGGTAGATATATCAAACAGATCCCGAAGTGGTGCATTTTGCTATTTGCAGATTTTTGGCATTTTTATTTTTCCCGGTTTCGTTAGTAACAAAACTTGTTAGTCCCAAAAGGGAGGGGTGGGCTTCGTTTCCAGAGCGGAACTCAAGAACCGTTCAATATTTTTCAACAAAACTTGGTAGATATATCAAACAGAACCTTAAGTGGGGTGCCTTTGCAGATTTTTGGCATTTTTATTTTTCCTGGTTTGCATGGAAACGATTCGGACTTAGTCTCAAAAGGGAGGGGTGGGTTTCGTTTCCTGAGCACAACTGGAAAACTTCTTAATATCTTTCAGCAAAACTTGGCAGATGTGAGGCAGATCCCAAAGTGGTGCCTTTGGTATTTGCAGATTTTTGTGATTTATTATTTTCTCGGTTTCCATGGAAACGATTCGGACTTAGTCTCAAAAGGGAGAGGTGGGTTTCGTTTCCTGAGCACAACTGGAAAACTTCTTAATATCTTTCAGCAAAACTTGGCAGATATTTGAGGCAGATGCCAAAGTGGTGCCTTTTGCTATTTGGCAGAATTTTGGCATTTTATTTTCCCGGTTTTATGGAAACGATTCGGACTTAGTCCCAAAAAGGAGGGGTGGGTTTCGTTTGCGGAGCATACGGTAACTCAAGAACCGTTCAATATTTTTCAACAAAACTTGGTAGATATTGGTTTGATATTATTTTGTTTTCTTTATTTCATATTTGCTCCTGTCTTTACAGAAAAACTGAAGCTCCAACGCAGAACAATACAATCACTGACTATTTCCCTGTGAGAAGAAGTGGTCGAAGATGTTTGTCCTCACTCAAGGTATGGATTGTCATCATTGTGCTGACAACTCGTAGGGGCGGTGGGGTAGCCTAGTGGTTAAGGCGTTCGCTCATCACGCCGAAGACCGGGTTCGATTCCCCACATGGGCATAATGTGTGAAGCCCATTTCTGGTGTCCCCGCTGTGATATTGCTGGAATATTGCTAAGAGCAGCGTAAAACTAAAGTCACTCACTGATAATGCGTAGCTGTTCAATAAAGATTTTCCTGTAGTTTTGTGCAGGGATTCTCCTGAAGGTGTTAACAAGTACCAGGTTGATTCTCCATTTTTGGTTACCTGTGAAGATCCGGGTTACAGTTGGTTTTCAGCAACCCTTGTTTGTCCTAAAAGGCAACCTACAGGATTCGGTGGTTATACTCAGTGTTACTCACTGACTTGGTTGATACATGTCTTCATATCCCAATTGTGTGGATCAATGCTCATGCTGTTGATTACTGCAGTGTCTGGTCCAGACATGATTATATTCAGACCTCTGCCATTAGAGCTGGAATATTGCTGAGTGAGGCAATAAACAACTAACTTCATTTATGGTTGGTTGGTTTGATCATGTTTTCGTATGGCATTTTCTTTGGTTGTATACTGTCCCGCTTTGGATTTCATGTAAGAATTGACCGCCTCCGTGGTGTAGTGGTTAGAGCGTCCGCCCAGAGAGCGGAAGGTCGCGGGTTCGATCCCCGACCGCGTCATACCAAAAGACGTTAACATATGGTACTTGTTGGTCCCTGCCTGGCGTTCGGCATTAATGGGTACAACAAGGACTGGTCGGCTCGGATGTCAGTATAATGTGTCTGAGTGGGGTATTCATGCTTCACTGCGGCGTGGGCTAGCACTATAAAACCAGCTTCAGTCTGGGCTAGTACCAGCAGCCGCCCATACACATACACACGCATGCACATCGTCATATGAGCGAAATATTCTCAAGCACGACGTAAAACCCACTTTCACCTCACCTCACCTCATGAAATTGATCCTTGTTGGTTGTGAGAGGCAGCTTAATGGATTGGGTGGTCAGACATGCTGATTTGGTTAATGTCATGTAATACCCCTTTGGCATTAAACAACAGACAAACATGTCAACATGTTAGATCAATATTACGCGTCTTATAATTTTTCCTTATCCTGACTCATGCTCTTTTGCTTGTCTTCTTCTTCTTGCGAACATAGTGGAACACTTGTATCTCCTTATTTGAAGCTCCCTTCAAAATAAAATCACTAATTGGTACTCACCACGAGTTGCTCCCCTTTGTCTCCCCTGGCGGGAAAGGTGTCGCCACCCTCTGGCCATGTGCTTCACTCTCTCCTTCTTCGCCCAGTGAGCAGGATGTGAGAGCGCCTTGTGTCTCCTTACACACATATCCTTTGATAATCTCTTAGTTTTACCTACCTCCTCATAGGTTACTATAGAGGTATAGCTAGTATCCTTTACTATTTGTATTGATTAATTATCGATTTCTACTGTTTATTCACGTATTCGCGGATTGTTCAGCTAGCTTTACGCTGATGAAAATCTGTACGATTTGTAGATTACGCTTTTCCGCCTCCGATCCACATGTAATATGCCCCAGTTGTTCTAATACTGCGGTATGCTTAATTCACGCTTGCAGTTACTGCATTAATTTATCTCATTCTGCATTTAATAAATATCATCTTTATGCCTTAAGACGCGTTGCAGATAGATCACGCAAAACAAGGGCAAAACATGGCAGAGAGTCCAGATATTCCATCCAGTCAGCTGCTAGCGACGAATCTCTCCCGCCTGGTGTTCTGCTAGAGACCCCGCGCAGAGGAACGCGGGACGCAGTCCGTTACCTCAAGAAACGACCGGGCCTCCCCAGACATCCCGCCATTGCAGACTAAGTCTAAGAGGGCCTCATCGCCGCCTCAACGCAGATTGAGGACACTCTCAGGGCAGCGCAGACTTCCAAAGGGAAATTCTACGAAGACAGCAAGAACTTTCAGCCGAGATCGCTCCAGCAGCAGAGTTGGGCCTCTACGATGATCAGCCGATAATCATCCCCCGACTTACGGCAGAAGAAGCACCGGTGTCAGCTGACCGTGACTTCTGCAGAGATCTCCATGCAGCCTGATGCCTACTACACCCGACGCCAGACGCCATTGATGTGAATCCCATCGCGAGAAAAGATTTTAATTTAATTTCGGGCTACAGATCATTCCCAGAAGACATGATGCGCAGGATTATGAACATCATGGAGGACCACTACAAACAGCTAGAAGGGTCCGAAGTTTTCAGCGAAGGCTCCAACGTGACAGCACCCCAGAGGCACCCCCGGCCAACGAGCAGTTAAGACGATGTCACCTTCGCAAGGAAGTCTCCGCATTCACCTTGACGGCGACCTAGATGTACAGCCTTCGCCAAGGCCTTAAGGCGGGAGATCATCACCATCTTCGATTTCATCTCTCTAGATATGGACTCAGACCATCAGATTATCACGGAAGCCTTCGCGAAGGTCATATCATCGCATCCCTCGACCGGACGCGAATGAAGCAGCTCGGCGGCATTCGAAGCGACATATGATTCCAGATCTTCATCGCCTAGAAGAACATCGAGGGACTGCCGAAGAGCCGCTGGCTATCAACATTCACCTCACAAGTCTCCGGTGAAGATCATCCCATAGACGATCTCCACTCCGCTTCATCACCAGGTCCGATCACCCATCAGATCTCCACATAGAAGCGACAAGTCAACTAGATCGCCACAAACCTCATCAGATATACAGACAGCTACACGCAGTCCCGAAGAGCATCTACAATTTTATTAATGATGATGGTTTTGAGGATGATGGAGGAATCATATTTTCTGATGCAGAGATACGGTATTGATGGTCAATAACCTAGATCTCACATCACCATCTAAAAGTGGCAATACAGCTCAGACGCATTTGATGAAGGAAGATGATCCAGATGCAATCACTCTACCCTCGATCGACCCGGATTATGCAGTGCCACAGAATCTAGATGCAGCTTTCCAGAAAGCTACGAAAAGTTCAGATACCACATCTGCCCAACTTTCAAGCCCAAGAAGTTCTCCACGCGATAACATGGACTCCTTCTACAAGGCTCCAGGACATCGATGAGAACTATAAGATCATCAGCCGCATGTAAAGAACAAGATTTACAAGATGGATGATCGCAGTTGGCTCATATAGAAACCATGACGAGACGATGTTCTTTAAGTTAAATAGATCTAGGACGATCAATGAGACTCTTATTACTAGATTCGATTCCACGCACGGAAGATGATAGAATGATTTATTCTGCCTTACTTATGCAAAAGAAAGATCAGCAGCTTTAACGGATCATCTTACATCTGCTTCAGCAGCACTACTGACCTTAGCTCGTCAGTCAAGGCCTCCTGTAATTAATTGGAGAACTTTACAGCCCCACTTTATACAGCCCCTGGTCGACATAACATCCATCTTTGACGGAGAAATCGACAAAGTCGCCAAGGAAGTCTCTAAGGATTCCAGGGAAGTCCTTTATGATTAGATCGATGGACACACTAGCCAGCGCCATTCGCCAGACTTCACAAAGATACTCAGGCAGATCTAAGTTCACGGGCCTACAAAGAGCAAGAGACAGGAAGATAGCCAGCTCTAGAGGTAAGATTCTTCACGCCCATATGGCAACTATAGAGGAGGATCAGGAAGAGGCAGGACACCCAGAGGTTCCCGCGAATTATAGACGCTGAAACACAGGTTCGAACGACTGGAGTCTTCCACCCCCAGCCGCTCCAGTACAACCAGCCTCAAGTGGGTGGGACTTCCAGCTACACTGGGAAAACTGGGGAATACTGCAAGACCCTTACGCCTCCAACATTCTTCAACACGGATTTCGTGATCCCTCTACAGGCCAAGCTCTCAGCTGACAATCAAACCCCCAAGTTCGATTTACAAGCTTAAATAACTACCAAAGATAAAAGAGGCTGTTTCATCACTCCTATCCAAACAGGCCATAGAAGTAATAGATCAAGCAAACGTCGAACCAGGTTTCTACTCCCCAGTTTTCCTAGTTCCCAAGAAAAACTCCACGGAGAAATACAGACTCATCTACAACATGAGCTTTTTCAACAAGAACTATCTACGCAAACCACCGGTTTTCGCGATGATACATTTACCTCAGTTACGCCAGATGATTCGCCCTATGGACTACATGGGCAGCATAGGATCTACAGGATGCCTACTTGCACATCCCCATTCATCCCGATTCCAGGAAATACCTACGATTTACTCTAGAAGGGCTACATTACCAGTGGAAAGTACTCCCATTCGGAATATCATCAGCCCCCTGGCTATTCACGAGGATAACGAAACCGATTATCAAATTTCTACATCGTCAAGGGCTACGCAGTGCGTTTTTACCTCGACGACGGGATACAAGTAGATCAAGATCCACTGCGCCTCAAACTACAGTTAAATTACATCATAAAGCTACTAACACAACTAGGTTGGTTAGTAAACTTTACGCGAAGTCGGACCTAGTACCATCGCAAGACCTACAGTTCTAGGTATTCGATTCATCACAAATCGCAACCGTATTATGGTACCAGAAGACCGTTATTCAAGATACAACAGACCATTCCACCAGCTCTACTCTCTCCGTTACCACTGCGACAATGGCAGAGCCTACTAGGTCTTCTCACATCAGCCCAAGACATGACTGTCACAGGCAGATTACAGTTACGCCCCTACAGGTCCTTTCGTCAACGCACATCTCAACGATGTACAACCATTCAGTCTACCGGAAACATCTCAGACCACATCTACTATGGTGGACCAAGAAATCGAATGTCTGCGTAAGGATTTGTTTAGCAGAGCAGGAATACAAAACCCATCTGTATGTAGATCGCTGTTACTCCAAGGTTGGGGCTCATCTCACCAACCACACGATATCAGGGTTATGGAATCAGCAAGAATGCAAACTCCATATAAACAGTCTAGAAATGAAAGCTGTAATCAACGCCATTCTACATTGGAGCACATTTCTACAAAATGCTACTTAATGATCCATACAGACAATTCGACAGTGGCGTTCTATATAAACAAGCAAGGCTCAACGAGATCGATGAACCTTTTGAACCTAAGCTTTCAACTGTTCGATTTAATACAAGATCTAAATCTACATGTCAGAGCAGTGCACATTCCCGAGCCAGAAATATACTAGCAGACGCTCTCTCGGCCTCATCTACCATCACCGCACAGAGTGGATGATCAACAGGGGAAATTTTGCACAGATAATCAAGCAATTAGGGAGCTAATAGACCTATTCGCCACGCGATTCAACAATCAGCTACCGACATCTCGTGTCACCAGTCCCAGACCCCCAAGCTTGGGCAACGGACGCCTAAGTCTATCATGGGAAGGCCTCTCAATGCGCACGCATTTCGCCGCCAGCAATAATACCTCAAGTATTACAGAAAATCAGACAAACACAGAGCCTACAACTCACTTTGGTCAGCCCTACTGGCTGCTGCCAGAACGTGGTTTCCCATACTAATTCAAGAAATCGGTCAACCAACACTGGAGCTACCCAAGCGCCAAACCTGTTAATTCATCCTCACACCAAACAAGTGCACGGAAACCCAGCAATGTTCCAACCACACGTATGGACTGTATACAAATGTGTTTAAACAAGAGAGGATATTCTGCCAGGGCGGCAAAAGCAGTCACGCTTGCCTTACGTTACTCAACTCCGTGAACTTGCGACGCACAAGTGGCACAGTTTCAAAAATTATGCAACAAAGAAAGGGTTTACAGCAAGAGAGGCTTCACAACCTCAAGTGGCAGACTATTTGTGTTACCTACAGCCAAAACAAACATTTAAAAGGTTCAACGATATCAACATATCTTGTCAGCGCTTAGCTCTGTAATCACCATGAGAACGGGTGTCAAATTGACAAGATCTCCAGAGTTACTGGCCTTACTACGAGCTTTCCGATTGAGGACCAAAAGCGGAAGTTCCACGCTCCAGCTCTGGATCTGAATGTAGTGTTACAACACCTCACGAAAGTGAGGTCTATGAACCTTTGGAATCGTTGACAAACTTTGAATTTCTCTCACAGAAAACATTGTTTCTGCTATCGCTAGCCACAGCAGCAAGAATGTCTGAAATTCACGCTCTGGATTACTTAGAGGATACAGTTTGATGACAATCATAACACAGCGCACCTCGGATTAAGATGGGATTTCATCGCGAAAAATCAACTGCCAGGTCAACCAGACAGATTATTCCACATCCCGGGCGCTTATCCTCTCTATTCTCGGATCACAAGATACACAGGACCTATCACTGTGTGTCCGTAAGAAGCTCAAAGTTTATTTTCTGACGATCCAAAACAAGGAGAAGATTTCTCAAACGCTTATTCATCCCATTATCGCCCTCACGAATCAAACAGAAGTGTCACGGACCACAATATCTATTTGGATAAGGACTGTCATTCTCCGTGCCTACAAGGCAGCAGGCTTGGACCCACCAACAGCATCAAATCCACATGAGATCAGGGCACTGGCCTCTACCCCGCCTCTACACGGTAACTGTTCCTTGAACTACGATTATGGAAGGATGCTATTGGAAATCTAACATGGTATTTGCTAATCACTACCTAAGAGACATCACTACAGAAGATGTCTCTGGCATTCACCATTTCGACCACTGGTCCTCACTCAGCAACTGACAGTCCCTCAGAGGCGTTAAAATATTATCCTCACAAGATTAATATGTATTTTATACATACTCATCTAGCTTATAACTCCACGAGTTTTAGGGCTATGTATATATGTTCAGCTTAAGTATTCAACCTTAAGCATATACTTGGATATAGTCAATTTCAGTGCCTCTATCAGAGTCACCTATATATATATATATATAATTTTATATGTATTGTTCAATATATTCATAATGTAATTCCCCTTTAATGGCTTTATATAACCTATGGTTTTCTTTATTCAGGAAACATCCTAAATCTAAGCCTTCATGAAGTTCCCCAGGATATTACAGTATATCTATACAAAATCACTAATTATAAATTATTGTAGCATGTTTCATGTAACTAACACCGAGTGATAGTTTTGGTTTTCAGAGAGAAGAACAAACTGAAGAACTGGAGAAAAATTCTTTTGAAGGGAGCTTCCACTGTGAGGAAGGGTTGAAGGATAAGTATAAAATATCAATTTTCTTGTTCCGTTGTCAAATATGTTGCAGAGGCATGGGTGGCTCACGGGTTGAAAGCACCCTTCTTGCAGGACAGCATTGCCTCCCTTCTGTGAATTTTTTTTAAAAGGTTTCTGCTACCTGAATAGCACACTTGGTGGTCTTTTTCTGACAAAAATACCTTTTGACAGTGTTCTTTTATCAACTACCAGGGTTTTACCTTGACTTCAGGGATGGCAATTTTCCGCTGATACACTTTTTTTTTCGCTGATTTTAGTTCAAATTGTTCAATTGTGAATCGTCTAAATCCATTGAGAAACCCTCAACTCGATGACACAATATTAAGTTTTCAGCTGAAATAGATTTTCCTGTTGCCATCCCTGTGACTTACAAAAGTGGGGATCCAGGGCACCTCCATGGATAAATTTTAGTTCTCAGTGGTAATAAGAGTCTCCGATCCTCCTCTGACTCTCTCCTCACCCAACGCATATCTCCAAACCAACTGTCTGACCGAGCCTTCTCCTTTGCTTGCCTTCAACTGTGGAACTCTCTTCCAAAGGAAATCAGGAACACTTCATTGAAAGAAACTTTTAAATCTCTGCTAAAGACCAAATCTATTCACTGCTGTCTTTCTGTAAAAGTTATATGAACTATTTCCTTCCCCAATATTGTCACAGCGCCACGGAGCATCTCTATGGTGGATATAAGGCGCTTTATAAATACATTATTATTATTTATTATATGAAGGTCCTGTAAAGTATTGAAATGGTGTAGTAATAGTGTATACGTTCACAGTGTCTATCCGCATTATTCACAGAAATCACAATCATATTGCATCTACTCACGCCTCGAAATGAAGTGTAGTTGACAGAAAATGGATACACTTATGTATTTTGTTTTGCAAAATGTCATATTTATTATAGTTGGCGATCACAACAAACTGCCATGTGTATTTCACCTCATTTCATGCGCGTACAACATTCGCTTACCATGTTCATGAGGGTATGCTTTTCGCTCTAACCGCGATAGCACCAATTTCAGTTTCAGATTATTCTCAACAATCACGAACTGATTACCGCCTTGTCATCCATGGAGGCCCTAGTTTACAGTAACATCGGTGAAAACGCGTGTGAAATGGCATGCTTATGTCACCTCATTGTTTATCTGAGAATTGCACATTGTAAAAAAATATTTAATTTTTAATCAATGTAACCGATTGTAGAATCAATCATTGATCGGATGGGACAATCCGATTGCAACCAATAATCAATTATAAAAGTTCAACCGATTCCCACCACTACCGTGCATAGACCTGTTTGCCACGAGGTTCAACAAACAACTACAGACATTTGTCTCACCAGTTCCAGATCCTCAAGCCTGGGCAACAAATGCACTGAACATATCATGGGAAGGACTAAACGCTTATGCGTTTCCACCACTGATATTACTACCGAAAGTACTGTTGAAGATCAAACAGACGCAAGCGCTACAACTGACTTTTGTCTCGCCATACTGGCCAGTGAGAGTATGGTTCCTAGACCTAATAGAAGATCTCGGAAGTCCAACAATCAAGTTACCAGATTGGTCGAACCTACTCATACATCCGCACACCAAGCTAGTCCACGGGAACCCAACACTGTTCCAGCTACACATGTGGACCGTATCAAAACATTTTTGAAGAAAAGAGGATACTCCGCCAGGGCAGCCAAGGCAGTAACGCTAGTGTTATGCAGATCTACTCATAACCTGTATGATGACAAGTGGCTGAAGTTTGAGACTTATGCAAGGCGGAAAGGCTTTATTGCTATGAAAGCTACTCATCCTCAAGTGGCGGAATACCTGTGTCATCTTAGACAGACTAGACATCTGAAAGGTTTGACATTATCTACATACCTCACTGCCATCAGTACAGTGATTACCATGAAAACAGGCATCAAGTTGACGAAAGTACCAGAATTACTTGCTCTGCTGAGATCTTTTAAACTGGAGGACCAGCAAAAGAAGTTCAGAGCTCCGGCCTGGGGTCTGAATGTAATTCTACGTCATCTTACAAGTGATGCCTACGAACCTCTAGACCAGACTACCTTCGAGCTGCTGACACAGAAGACTCTGTTCCTGCTTGCGCTAGCCACGGCAACTCAGATATCAGAGATACATACGCTGGACTTTGGTCGAACCAGATTCGACACGGGGCAACATGCTGCAGTTCATCTAGGACTAAGATGGGACTTCATTGCCAAGAACCAACTACCTGGTCAGCCACATACACATTTCCACGTACCAGCACTATCTACAATCCTCAGACCAGAGGATATAGAGGACCTATCCTTGTGTCCGGTCAGAGCCCTGAAGAGATATCTTCAAAAGACTAAGACAAGGAGACGAAAATTCAAGCGCCTGTTCATCCCATTATCCACAGAGACATCAGTAGAAGTCTCAAGAACGACGATATCGTTCTGGATGAGAGCCGTCATATTGAGAGCCTATAAAGCAGCAGGACTAGAACCTCCTAGAGCTTCCAACCCACACGAAGTCAGAGCACTGGCGTCAACATTGGCTCTGCACGGAAATTGCTCTATATCAGCAATTATGGAGGGCTGGTTTTGGCTGTCGGATATGGTGTTTGTCAACCACTACCTCCGAGACATAGCCACTGAAGACGTCTCAGGCATTCACCAATTTGGGCCTCTCTTTGTAGCACAGCAACTAACGGTTCCTCAAAGGCGCTGAGTTGGAAAATGTCACCCTTTATCACGTTGACTTGTTGATAACTTTTACTAAGGAAAAAGTATTAGTTTGAAAGTCCATGCGCACAGTCTAGGACAGACTAGCAGGAGTGATTAAAGATCCTGTACGGGTAAAGATCTTATCTGTATGTGAAGGGGTTGCAACTCATTTATGATAAAGACCTTATCATAATCTATGGGTCGTTATAGATATCTAGTAAAAAGAAGATACTAGTATATCTTAAGCCACATGAATCAAGATGATTCAACTTGTCTGAGATCAGTGAGATGGAAGTAAGACAAGAAAGTGGTCCCCCTGAGTTATAACAGAAGTTGGAAGAATAGGATCTCGAAAATGCCGCTACGCAGTTCCCATGGGGGGATACAGGACGTATCTAAGGACAGCTGATGAATCCAGGAAGTGGCCTGACCCACCACCAATCCGTCGGATTCTATAAGCAAAAGATCATGAGTCAGGATAAGAAAAAATATGTAATTTTTCAAGTAAAATTGATATTTTTATGCTTATCCTAACTCATGAGATCAAGCCCTCCCGACCTCCCCGCTGGAAACACTTCGGATTGCACAGCAGATCCAGCTGCTTGGGCAGAAAAATCAGGAGAGAGTGACAAGTAAAGCTGGTCACATGACTGTTTACGCAGGAAAAGGGAGGTAACTCGTGGGTGAGTGTATTTTTAAGTCCGCTGCGGGAACTTCAAGGGATTCAAGTGTTCCACTACCATTTGCAAGGGAAAGTGAGATAAGCAAAAGATCATGAGTCAGGATAAGTATAAAATATCAATTTTACTTGAAAAATTAGGTTTAGTATTAACAGCATGAGCATCAATCTGCGCAATTGGGAACCGTTGACGTGTCACCCAAGTCAGCAACCTGACCACCCGATCCCGTTAGTCGCCTCTTACGTCAAGCATAGTCGCCTTTTGTTTGCAAGCATGGTTTCTGAAGACTTATTCTACCCCGGATCTTCACGGGACGAATTTTCAAAGGGTCAGACAGACATCTGAAACTTACAGGACCCAATGTCCTGGTACTTTGAAACACCCTTCATGAACACTGCGTTCAGATAATTACTTCAGAGCTTTGAATGATTGAGTGGTCATGTAGACAATGGTCATGACTGATGGGTGAAATAACAAACACAGATGACTACTCTTCATGTAGGTAAACTCTCGGTATTTTTGTGTGTCTCTCTGGATGCAGTATTTGGGTATTACGCCTCTATTCTCTGTATTTGTGTGTCACTTAAATAAAACACCTAGACTGCTGATGGGAAATCAGCAATAAGTGTACTACCACATAAGTGAACTGGACAAACATTTATTATTTTTTTGACAATGAACATGTACTACATCAATTTTAATAGTGACAATCAGATTGTGTATCACTTATATCTACTCTGACTAATGATGGAAAGAGAAAGAATAGCCTTATCTAAAGTTGAATAGCTTGCCAAGTGGACAAGATGATTCACAATGTAATCCTAGAAGTGCAAAAACTGACCATGTTACCAATTTCTGTGCAGACAAGAGCTTATGCCACAATGACAATCTGTGTTCGAAGAAGGATAAAATGTACTATTCCTGTTCATACTGTAACAGAGATGCCAACAACTCCGATTTTCAAATACAAAATACACACTCCGATTTGTCTATAAAAACTGATTTTCTAGAAAATACAAATATGTTTATACATTTAGAATGTTTGAAAGAATTTTTGTAATTATATTTGTTTGAGTTGAATTATCTGCTTAAGTATGCCCAGAGGCATATTTAGGCTAAATCTAATGGTTAAAGCAGGCTAAATCTAAGAGCCTAAGCCCCTCACGCGCTCACCCCCAACTCGCACCTTCAAGAATTGCTTTTAGCAAGGCAGGACTCCCCTTTCATTAGAATCCCCTGTAACATGGGCATTCTGGGAAATGTGTTTGTATGATGAAGCAAAACCATTTCAAGGTTGACCTGTATGCCGATTGATGTTGCTGGAATATTGCTGAAGCCCATTTCTGGTGTCTCCCGCCGTGATGTTGCTGGAATATTGCTAAAAGCGGCGTAAAACCAAACTCAGTCAGTCAGTCAGTCATTCATTCATGGTATCAGTTTGAACTTTGGTGTTTTTGTTTCAGCAAAAATGGTGAATGACACATTGAATATTTACCTTTTTCTTTCAGGTTGTAAATTTTGAAGGGAAAGGTCGTGGTGTGATGGCAACAAAACCTTTCCTGAAGGGAGAGTTCATTGTAGAGTATGCTGGTGACTTGATAGATATCGGAGAGGCCAAGGAGAAAGAGAAGTATTACTCGAGCAATCCGAAGGTTGGCTGCTACATGTACTACTTCATACACAAGAACAAGCACTATTGGTAGGTCATGGCAGTGTGTGATGGTTGACCGCACTTTCACTCATTTTAAACTCTTCGGTACTGTACAGTGTTACTGGTATACTGCAATATGCTTTTGAATTGATACATATTGCAACAATATTTCTAAGAACCAGTATATTCGGTGAACAATTGTAACAGGTTTTGTCATTATCTCTATAGTGTAAGTTAAGATCTATATAGACTTTCATTCACATTTGATACTATACACTTTACATACTATGAATAGTATAAACAAGGAAGAATCCCAACCTATTTTTGAGATTGAAGTTAGATTAATTATTATCCCCCGCAGCGCGTTTTGCAGGGGGGTATTAAAATGGACTCCGTCCATGCGTCCGTCTGTGCACATTTGTCTTTTCTGGAGCAGAACTCTAAAACCGTTCAATATTTCTTCACCAAAGTTGGCACATAGATATATCTGGTGGTGTACTGGTGCCTTTTTGTAGTTTTGGAATTATTAATAAAATATTTTTGGCATTTCCATGGCAACAAGTTCGACATAGACTGAAATTGGTGATGGTGCTCCTTTCGGAGCAGAACTTGAAACCTTTGAATACTCTCCTTCCACTTTTCTATATACACACCTAACTATTTGACATTATCATAACTCATAGACATAATCATGAGTATTTTGCCATTGAGGGGGATATTGATGACTTTGTCTTCTTGTTTTTAGGGTCTTACAACTGTAAATCCATTCCATATGTTGTTATGTTACCTTTCAACTTCCAAATGCCCATCAAGCATCTGATGTTGCAATGCTATTAATTTGCCATTACACAGCCCTAACCCATGTTAATAATTGGCATGCAGTCTTATTAGAGAAGATACTCAAAAACATATCCTAACCATGTCAGCCTCAAGAGGGTCATTCCCTACTTATGACCTTCAGGTGTGATTCGCATGGGTTGTTAGGTGACCTGATTGATCAAGTGTTTGCTTGTAACAATAAGGCCCCAGTCCAGTTCCCCACATGGATACATCTTATGATGTCGTTTTCTGGTGTTCCATGGTATTGGGGGCGGTGGGGTAGTCTAGTGGTTAAAGCGTTGGCTCGTCACGCCGATGACCCGGGTTCGAATCCCCACATGGGTACAATGAGTGAAGCCCATTTCTGGTGTCCAGAGGCCCAGATAAGCTGCGTATCCAGGTAAAATACACATAGAAAATTTCCAATTACGCATTGAACAAATAATTGTTGAGTACCAATTACGCATTTAAAATGTTAGATATGTAAAAGGTTTAAAACAAATGCGTACGGAATATATTTATAAAAGTCGCTTGCGTAATGAAAAAGGCATCGATTGCTATCAAGTTGTACTGTTAGTATAGGACAAGTGTTGTACTGTCAGTATAGGATGAGTGACTTTTTATGAAATCATTTCCATTATGTTTAAGTTGGTTTTGATTAGGTATGACATAAGGCAGAACATACCTGACTTACTCAATGACATATACTTAGGTGAGTAAATTGACTGAAATACGCACATATTTGAAAGCAGTGGGAAACGGAAAATGAAATACCCACTCAACATTCATAATACCCACTCCCCAAAAATACAGTGGGTACAGTACCCACATGAGCTAAATCTTATCTGGAGCTCTGGGTGACCCCGCCGTGATATTGCTGGAATATTGCTAAAAGCGGCGTAAAACCAAACTCACTCAGTCAGTCAGTCAGTCAGTCAGTCAGTCCATGGTATTCATTGAAAATTGCCTAAAGCTGCTTCAAACACTTCTCACTCGCTCTCTCAACCAAGAAAAGCCGCTGAAAATATCTATACCATTATGTACTAGATAGGTTTGTTTGTGGATTCTTTCTGGGTTTGGGGTTTTGTTTTTTTTTCAAGTGTGTAATCATAATTCTAAAATTCAAAAATAGTTCTTGTTGAGACATGATCTCATGCATATGAGGTATATTTTGTCTTTGCCATTTGAACAATGTGTAAAAATATTACTTATTCGAAAATATTAATAGTTTGAAACTGCTCAGTCTCTTTCATGGAGTTTTGAAAAAACTACACATTGGTGCACCGATGAATCGTGAGCTTTCATGCAATGATACAATTAGAAGATAAGTGTAAGTGTGAGGTTTTAAATTAAACATTTAGCGGTCTTAAATCAACGATAAAGGACCGCAAAATTGAAAACAGAGTAGCTTTATCTTCATTCTAGCACGACTGATAAGCATTTTAAAACCGAACTGTTTGGCGCCGAAGAACACAAGGCGTGAAAGGGGCCTTTTTCCTGGAAATCGCTTGGAATCGTCCCGTTGAGGGACAGGTTGTGTAATGAACAAAATAAGACATTTTCAACAACATAAATGCTTTATTTCAGGAACAAGTATGATTGTATTTGTAACAAGTAGCATACATAAATTTTAAAAAATACAGTTTATACTGTGAGCAAGTACAATTATTTGATTTTTTTCTTAAGCGAATTATTGATCTCCCCTACTGTATGACAATCGACTCGCCCCAATTCAAGCCGTGAACTCGCTAAGTTTAGTCGCCGCTTACTTTATTCACGGAAATAATTGTTGATAACCACCCTACTATTACCAATTTGGAAAAGACCTGACATGCCACATTTTATGTGGGATACATGGACAGTGGAAGTGGAAGGACTGGGCATTACGGCCAGGACAGAAGCGGTCAGGTTAGGACGTGTGGGCCAACGTGTGTTGTCGACGTCATGCCCGCTAGATCTGGACCCGGTTTGACTATACTGACGCTTTTGCGCTGCTGACGGATTTTCCAGCTTCGTAGTTTCTTCACTGGGATTAGGGTCAAGAAATTCTTCTTCAAACCATTCGCTTTTTACTTCAAAAACACCAAAGATGCAGCCGAGGTAGAAATTGCCGATGTCCGACATGTTTGTTTACAAACAATAGGGTCAACGAGTTCGTTGTATTCATATGCGGTGAATCGGTCACTTTAATTAGCGGTCTTAAACTGCCATTTAAGTACGGTTTTGATCAGCTCTCAGCCAATCAGAATCGAGTATCACACAATGTCGTGCAAGAATGCATATTTTATTTCTGTATAGATTCGATACGATACACTTACTAAACAACTTACTCCTAGTTTAATGACACCCCAAAAACCCTAGCAGTTTGTCAATCAAATTGCTCAAAATGAACTGTAATTTGTATTTCAAGATTCCTACTAAATCTGGCCTCTATGAAATGCATCTGCAGCTGACTTTTCCTTTGGAAAATGGAATATTTATAACAGAAGTTTACACAAGCTTATATATTGTATCATGATCTTGCTATATTGTTTCACTCCGAGAAAACACCTTTAGTGTTTTGTCATTCATTATGTTTATCCTAATACTTATTAATGGAAGTGTTTTTATTAATACTGTCATTTAAATTACTGTTTTCAAAAATTATTCATATTATTTCAGTGTTGATGCCACAGCAGAAAGTGGAAAATTAGGCCGACTCATCAACCACAGTCGAAATGGAAACTGCCAACCCAAAATATTTGAGATCAAGAAACTGCCATACCTAACTCTTGTGGCATCACGCAAAATCTCAGAAGGGGAAGAGCTTCTATATGACTACGGAGACCGCAGCAAATCCTCTGTCGAGTCCCACCCATGGCTGAAGTTATGAAGCTTCCGTTGTGTATAGCTTAAAGTTCTTGTTCATGTGATCTCAGCATTATCTAGTAGGGTTGTGATCCCCACATGGGTGCAATGTGTGAAGCCCCTGATGCCGCATGTTTTCGCTGGAACATTGAACATTGTAAATCCAGCTCATTGATTCTTAGAGTCCAAACTCGTTCATTCATGGAGTCCAAGCGGACTCATTCATTTGGTCTGTGCCTGTAACAGATTATGTTATGTATATAATGTAAATATATTCCAACATTATCTGACGGATAATGAAGGTTTGAATGAGAGCATGTTGTGAGAAAGTTGACACCCATGTCATTGTCTCCATTACAATGTGGGTTTTTGTGTTGGATGGGGTGTCAGATCAAAGGGAGATTACCACTGCATAATCTGGAATCAGGAATCACTGATTTGTTTAACATAGTTTCATTTTCTTTGTTTCTCAGAAGGGGAAAATGAATTGTGGTGAAAATAAATAGCCTCAATGTTTGAGAGTGAAAGTTTTGTATTGAGTGAGTTGATGTAATGTTATTGGGGGGATTTTATGATAGCTTCTGTTAATGATGAAAATAGTCTCCCCTTAATCAATACTTGAGAAACACTGTGGAATTTATCTAGGATTCCCAACTAGATGCCCATCACTGCAGACTGGGAATAAACATGTTTTATGAGATTGGGATTTTTATTAATCTTATTTTCTCAAATATAGAGGTGTTTTCATTTGATTAAATATAATAGTGTATAAAAGAACAAAATCCCTTTTAGAATCTTTTTATTGGTTATAAGGGACTGATGATGGGCCTCTGCTTGGGCCTAGATATATCCTTGTTTTGTCCTGTGACATGGTTCATTTTGTGTGACTAATGACACGAAATGAGCTTGACTAAAGATTGAAGTGTTTCCATTCAGTCTGCGAGCTTAACTTTGAATTGTCCGTAATTGTGATTTGGATTTAGTGTCAGCTTTTCTGCAGATTGTCTGTCGAGGCTACATGTGTGACTGTACAATTTCAGGGAAACTACCGTGGTCTTCCCTGCTGTGTATATAACGTGATAAAATACAACCCAATGGCAGGTGATTTTACACATCTATATTCCCACTTGCTCACTTCATTGTCAGGGGAGTAGCCATGTAGTTCAAGTGTTGTCCGGTGAGCCAAAGTCCAATTCATCAGTGGGTAAAGCGATTATCACCTCTTGTGTACCCTTATCGTCATATCTGTTTGACTGGCATTTTAGAAGTTGATGAATAATAAGAAAGGTAAGAAACTTTATGGTAACAACTTCTTTATCATATTATGAAGCAAATTTTTGGTATGGCTTCTTATACCATTGTCTTGCTTGAATCCCTACCGAAACATCTCATCATAATACACATGTATAATAAAGAAGTTGTTATCCATAATGTGTTGTACCTCTCATGCTGGAATATTGGTAAAAGCAGCACAAGACAATTCCCTTCTTGTCTGCCTGGTTGTAGTTACCGTAGTATGGACAAATTTAGAGGAATTCATTAGTAATGCTAGTTGATGAGGTTGTGAATGATTTAGCTGTTCTTATTGTGTACTTTAGGGCGTGATCTTTGTGGATTCATTTCCTAGTCAAACTGTTTGATTTTTACATATTTGCAGTGTATGTTTAATGACAGCACTGACTGTAGACTAGGCTCCGCGTGTATAGTGAGTCAGTCTTTCCATTTTAAGACCAGCATCACCTCAGGTTTCCCCTACATCAAGCTTACATGTAAGCCATGACATGAGACAAATGTTTTCAATGATGTTAGCAAAGTAACTGTCACAATGTTTTGTTTGATTATGGTTGATGTTTTACTTGACCATGGACAGCAATGACAACAAAGAATCTTGCAGACTGTCTGACATTCTGTGGCAGTAAAGGAATTTCACAAGACTTTCATAAGATCTTTTTCATGCAATACTATGATGCTGACTTTTATCATGGTTATGTACTGTTGTGGAGATAGATGTATGGTAGATTTGAATGTTTAGTGCTATGAGCTAGAATGCCCTGAGGACCTGGATGCTGTGATCCAGGGACTTGTTCTACAAAACAAGCTAAGTGGAACAATTATTGTAAGCCTGTGTTATCATATGGGAGTTAGTCATGACACAGACTGCTTTAGGGAACTGGGCCCTGGACAGTGTGATATCATGCGTAAATCATAATACTGAAAAATGGAATCTTTCGTTTCGGGCATTAACATCTGTCATCATTGTATATTTTCTGTATAGAACACAACACATCCTCATTGTATATAGCGTAATGTCAGCAGTATTTGTATGACAGATTGTATGGGGGGAAATATTGTCAGTCCCACTTAAAGTAGGATAGTACCTGATAGAGCTATGGTAACATTTATGTTGTAAAGTCTCATTGCTCTGATTCATGAGTTTTCCCTGACCTGAAGAGCATACATCGTACTATGTTTAGTTTTAGTTGGTGTTTTTTTGTTTTGTTTTTTTCCAAGTAACTTTGGTACTCAGGTGCATGGTCTGAGTATGAAGTAACCCGTGTAAATGGACATGCCATAAGATTTGGCCTGAATTTCACTGCCACCATTGCTTCTGCACTTAATTTCAATTGGATGTCTGTGAAATCATGGATATCTCCTTGGTGATCCAAGAAATGTTTTGACACAGTCCTTTGTTTTTTGAGATCATCTTCATGAACTTTGGCTTAAAAGTAGCTTATTGCTGAATTTAGAAAATGTCCTTTAATTCAGTGAAACTAGGTTCAAGTCTTCCTCACAAGGGGACTGAGATCAGTCGCTAGTAGCTATATAAGGTCAAGGAGAGATTTGTTTATTCTATTGCATGCAGTCAGTATATTTAAATATATATGTATGAAAGGTAAATCCAGGTTATACTGACCATATTTTGCTAATTTGCTGAATTCTACTAAGGAAGATCATGTTTGAAATATTTTGTGACTGATCTTCAAGGTCAAATTCACTTAAAGTCGCACAACAATACAATATGTTCTTAGAAAATCAAGAAGCTTTTAGTGGTTGCCAGTGACCTATTCTCTGTTAATGTTACATGTTTGTAAGAAATAAGCACCAATGTTTTCAGCTAGAAATACAACCAATATGTAAATGGCTTAATTTGAGGGTCAAGGTTATTAAAACAGATGTACATATGATTTGTCAGTGACATGGTAGCTAAATACATTAGACTTACTGTTGTTGTCTCATGTTTGGGATGTAATGTCCCAAACTGAAAGTGATGTCAGCTGGATGTGTTTATTTTAGGGCAGCTAGATGTACAGGACTAAGTTCTGCTTGAACAGCACTCAGGATCAAAGATCAGTGTTGGCATATATTGGTAAGCTGAGCTGTCACCTGATTAGGTGAAGTCTTGTTGATTAATGATACATATTTTGGGTGGAAAACATTTGGGCATTGAGGAAGAAGTAGGAATGTATCTTCTTCTGTTTTTGCCTTCATCATTTTCATGTTGTGCTTTCAGTATCACCTATGTTGGCTATGTTAATATTGGAACAGTTAATAACTGTACATTATCATCTTTATGTTCCGTTAGTCAATATCACCTGTATAGCCTACCTGATATTAGAACAGGCAATAACTGTACATGTCATCTACATGATAGTCATCCTTGTTATTAGATCTCATGTGTCATCATCATCATCATTTGTTTCATCACCCATTTTCCCAGCAGCCTTATTATCAGTCATCACCATTGTCAACATCATCAACTGCATCACCTCCAACCTCATCCAAATCATCATGAACACATCTTTCATCATTGTCATCACAACGCCAGCATCAAGATAACATTCTTCTGTGGTACGTTCCTGCCTTCCAGTTCTACATCCTACCTATCACTCTGAAACCTCTATGTCCTGCTGTACTTGTTGGTCCCTGCCCTCGCTCGGCATTAATGGGTACAACAAGGACTGGTCAGCTCAGAGTCAGTATAATGTGTCTGAGTGGGGTATTCATGCTTCACTGCGGCATGGTATCTCAGTGGGCTAGCACTATAAAACCAGCTTCAGTCTGGGCTAGTACAAGCAGCCACACATACACATACACACGCATGCACATCGTCATATGAGCGAAATATTCTCAAGTACGACGTTAAACCCAATTTCACCTCACCTCACCTCTCTATGTCCTGCTCCTTCCATCGTGTAATGTAATCCTGTTCTTTTCCAAGTTAGTTGTCTGTATAACAAGTATCAACTATTGTCAGTATCTTTAGGAGACATGAATTTACAGTCAATGTATGAGAATGTGCAAATCCGTGTGTATGTGTAAACACTTGATTCAGAAAGACCTTTAATGTCAGTGCATGGTGTTGCAATCATTTAGCAATGTTTTGGTTGCCAAAATAAGTATGCAAGTAGGATGGCCCTATGTTTCACAAGAATATCTTTAGATATGCCTGCCTGTCCATTTGACAAGAATTGTAAAACATGATGCAAATCCTTTCTGTAGTATTTTAACTATGTCATAAAACTCCATTACACCAATTGGATCCCTGTTTGACAGAAGAATCTCTTACAAATGTCTATCTCACATTGTCATCAGAGCTGTTATTAATATTTGTCACCATGACAACTATGACTGCAGGTCCTGAGTGTCTATCATTATCATTGTGCAGAGTTGCATTCCTTAGCCATGCCAGGATCCAATGACCTTAAGTTGGAATCCCAGATTTGCTCTGATGTTTTTTCAAGTGAACCATATCCGGGCTGTTGGCTTATCTCAGAAAATATCACTGTCAGTTGTTGGTTTCCCTTATTGTTAGAATTTAATTAATGTAAATAGTTTGGCAGCCAACATGGCACATAGATTGTCAAGGCATGACTGTATGTAAAGTACTTTAAACAAATTATTAGAACAATGAATTATGTTTACATTAAGATTAAGGTTTGTTAGAATTGGACCATAGTTCATTAACAGTTTCTCAGGGCTGATTTACGGGTGTCAAATATCAGTAACCCTATAATTCTCAAAACTCAGATATGTGTACTACTAAAATAAAAGGTTCAAGAAAACACGATTCTTTGGTAAAACTATTAGTCTGTCCATAACATATAACTATAGTAATTTGAACAATTTGATCTTTGTTCCCTTTTTTAGTAGAATATATCAATCTTACAGTTAAGGTTTACTATGTAAAGAATGTCGCGGTCTCACACAGGCCCTTATTACCTCTGCTGGAAATACACTGAAAATGGGTGTCAGGCCCAACACATAAGTCGTTAAATACTGGAATGACTAGTTGTACAAGCAATACATCTTGGTTTACAGATATTCCACTGCTTAGGGGGATGTCCTGTCATTTCAGGTGCATAGACTTATTGTGTATCCCTGCAGGATACCTCCCATGTAAGTTCCATATCACCTCAAGCCCTTTAATTTCACTGGGAATTTTTGTTGAAAATAAAATGAATTTTAACTTATTTGTTGAATGTTTTGTTTCAATGGATTTGCAGTCGGTGCCAAAAAGTCAACTAGACCAAATTTGGCTCTTGGTATTTTAGTAGATGTTTGTGTTATTAGTAAATATTATTTGTGAGCTTACTACTCAGAAGTGAATTTCACTGGACTTGGGCTTTTAACAAGTGGCTAAAAGCACAGACTTAATTTGTCTAATTTTTGTCAGCTTGATAAAGAAAATTGTTCTGTAAAGACAGTTGTGCTAATGTCTTAACAAAAAGACAGGGAACCTGGAAAGAATTTATATATTGAGGGGCGGTCGGGTAGCCGAGTGGTTAAAGCGTTGGCTCGTCACTCCGAAGACCGGGTTCGATTCCCCCTCATGGGCACAATGTGTTAAGCCCATTTCTGGTGTCCCCCACCGTGATATTGCTGGAATATTGCTAAAACTAAACTCAGTCAGTCAGTGATATATTGAGATGGTATAGAGACGTCTGTTGAACCATGATGTTATGTCATCAAGCAGGATGATTAGCTTTGTCTCTGATCCATCATGGCAGACTTGTGATATTTCACTGGTTGTTGTTATTTAGCCAAGAGACCAAAGGATCCTCAACTCCCCTTGTATAGTTGTATCCCGCGGACCTCTGTTGGAGTCCCAGATTCATCATGAATATGGTCCCTACCCAACGCCCAACCGAGTGTTCAAGATGTAGTGTCCTCGTGTCAAGCTAAGGGTTATTACAAGAACAGGCGTTGATGCTTAATTTCCAACACACAATCATATAGCAGGAATGCGGTGTTAAGCAACAAATAATTTCTTACACTGGTTTTCACCGAAGTTGTACATGGCTGCAGTCATCTTCACTTGGGATTTGGTTCCATCTTTAGCTGATAGTGATAGAAAAATACTTATACTCTATAAAGCAGCCTTAAATCCAAATTCTTAACACTGCATTCAGCCATTTCAATACATTATACGCTGGACCACCTCCGCGGTACAGTTGATAGAGTGACTGCCTGGAGAGCAGAATACTGGTGGTTCGATCCCAGCTACGCCAAAAGATGCTGAATGGAGTTATCCAGCGGTAGCCCCAGAACGCGCACGCACGCACGCACGGTACATACAGTCACGTCGCTATACAAATACTATAATCTTGAACGCAACAAACTTCAAGGCACTTTTCAATCATGAGAAAATATGAATCCTGGTTCGAACGGCAGCATTCAGTGGTCGGCATGTTAAAACTCCCATTAGGTCGACAAACGTACAGCAAAATGTTGACTGATTTCTCACCGCATGTGTCATCGCACACGATTCTCAAACTTGCATTCGTTTCTTCAGATGACATTTTCGTTCAGTCGTATAAAATCAGTTTGTAGAACTTTAAAAATAAAACGTTTCTGCACTACACCAGCTAACAACCATGCGACACACATCGTTCAATATACAAAATAATGTATGTGTTTATTTTGAAATAATGCATGATAATAGATTTTCGTGCTCGGCCTTGAGACGAGATCTTAATTGTTCAATATTTGCTCCCGCGGTTTTCATTGGTTGAGACGACGACATCTTTGAAGCAACTGCATATTCACAGCAGGTCTCTTGATCTAGTCCACTGGCACGAGGACCCACTTGCCCAAAGCAATCTTAGCGCTAAGACAACCCCCATTCTCTAACATAGACTTATGACGGGCGTTGAGCTAAGATCGCTTTGTGCCACGGCCCAGCTCCACAAAAACCGTATGTGTTACGGTTGAATTTATTTCCTATGTTTAGTTTTACTAATCTCGTTAAGTGCTGTTGTTTCGTGTACTTTAATACAGTACTTTAATTACCAGTGATTGTCACTAACCGTTTGGTGTACAGCCATACGTACAACGCTACGTAACATACAGCAGACGTCTCTCTCAGTTGTCGCCAGGTATCACAGGTATCGTTCTACTGACATTACGGTGGGACGTGTTTGGTCCAGAGCTGCTTCGAAACGAGTTTTTTCAGTAGGAGCCAAACATAATTCTTTTGTAACCAAATTTGTTTGACACAAATCATATTTCCAATAAACCCGGTGTGTCCAGCAAACAATTCGTTCTGGTGTGTGAAAATATACTGACACACATTGAAAACGCAAAACCCATTTTAGCAATTTCTAACAAGTTTTTTTGAAGCAATTTCATTCGTCACACGAAAATATAATCATGTCAGGTTGCCGAATAAAGTCATATGCACATCTGGGTTCGAACCCTTTTCATGTTTCTGGCATGGGTACTGTTCATGAAAACACAACTCTGGCAGATTCCTTGGACCTGATGGGGTGCACGATTATCATGACATGCATAAAAGGACGCATAAAAGGCAAAGGACGCATGAACAAAAGGCACTGGGGATGGTTCAACCCGTTTTATCCCATCCACAGACAGTCATCAGCAAAAATACCGACGGCTCAGTGAACATCGCCTAAACAGCAGCAAACACAACCACCACGAATCTTCAACCATTGGGCGTTTTCGATGAGTGCACAGGTTCTGCCATTGGGTGTTTTCCGATGAGTCTCATTTGCAGATGGAAGACAATGCTTGTACAGGCGGCAACATGAACGTTACCATGATGACTGTGTTCTTGAGAGGAATCGCTTTGATGTAGAAAGCGTGATGGTTTGGGCTGCACTTAATGCCAGATTTCGGAGTGATCTCCTTGTGATAAATGGAACACTGACAGCACAGTGTTATGTCAATCAGATTTTAAGACCCGTTCTTCAGCCACCCCTGAACAACCAGGGACATGTGCAAGTGCCGTTCACTATCCAGCACGACAATGCCCGACCACACACGGCACGCCTTACCAGAGACTTCCTCCACCAAGCAGGTATTCCCTGTGCTTCCCTGGCCAGCCGTCTCGCCAGATCTTAACCCCATTGAACACCCTGTGGGATCAGCTTGGTCGCCGGATTCATCAACGTCAACGTCAGCCAAACAACGTCGTTCGGTTGACCCACAGGAGTGGCAGAACATCCCCCAAGCACCTGTTCGACGTTTGTGCGAACCCATGCCACGTCGACACCGTGCATGTGTACAGGCTCAGAGTGGTCGCACTCGCTACTGACGGACGTAAGGGGGGTCTGTGTGTGAAGCTTGACCTGTCAGCCATATTGGCGGAACTCTTGTCATCATCTTTTATGAAATTGAGGCACAATGAAATTCTCAACAATTTTTTTACAATTTTCATCCAAATGTTGTTGTTTGTGAATTTTTCCTCATTTGAATTTGGTTTTGCTTTTTCATTGTGTGTCAGTATATTTTTGTCGAAACACGAAGCTTTAATCAGTAAAGAAGCCTAACAACTTCATTTTTTAAGTGTTTTTTGTTTTGTTTTTGTTACAGAAATCATATATTGAGGACACCTGGCAATTCGTTCTCGTGTGAAAAAAGCATTTTTCAAGTGACCGAAGAACTTAGTAAGATTATGCAGAAAGAACTTCGAACGATAATGTTCTGTGGGGTATCCTAGTGGTTAAAGCGTTCGCTCGTCACGCCGAAGACCCAGGTTCGATTCCCCACAAGGGTACAATGTGTGAAACCAATTTATGGTGTCCAGCGTCGTGATATTGCTGGAATATTGCAAAAGCGGCGTCAAACCTAACTCACTCTCACTCGAAAGATTAATATGGGTAAACATCTTGAGAAGTATCAGTTCGGAAAAATGGAACTCAATTTAATGACAGTGACAAACCGACAAGTAATTATCTTTATTATCTTTAAAAACAAGCACTGCAATACAAGCAGAATTTGTGTATCAGCTGTCTTCAGAAATTCAACTTTTCTAGCAAAACACTTGTACCGTGTTTAGTACTAATTCAAACTTGTAGGCACTTATATGTATCATTCCAGAAGGTGCTTGAACTTCCAATAAACAAAACGCATGCAAGTTGACGTTTTCAAACAGGGGAGATAAGTTCATATCACATTATGCTTCCAGAGTGGTACACCCGATTGGTGCGTTTTGTCGTTGCACGTTTTAAGTCAGTAGGTTTCTGTCCCTGTTTAAGACATCTGACTACACAGGAGAGGTCGGTTAGGCTTTGTTGGACGTGATGGAAGCAGTGACATCGCCTAATGTGAAGGTCTGAGGAGAAAACAAACATAAAGTAATTTGTTTGTTTATTGAACCATATAGCTGAAATATTGCTGAGCGCGTATTAAACAAAAAACAAACAAACTTTTTACTGAAATTGATTTTCAAATTTTCCCCGTGTCCTAACTATGAAAACAAATATAAAAAACGGATTTTCACCCGTGGGTATTACTGCGTGACAACAAGTAAGTAAAAGTTAGTCAATGACCTCAGCTGGCACAGTACACATGGTAACATAATCAGAGAATATGTTGAAGAAAAAATAATAATTTAAACTTGTATATTCTATTTTGTTTTCGGTTTGCCCTATCGTCGAAGCACGATGTTTTCAGGTGTAGAAACATCGGGACTATATGCTTTTGTTATCTTATTAAAGAATAGTGGAAGGGTAAACGTTTGTAAGTAATTGAGTATACATACCGACACCAGTTGTCCCCCTTTCACCTCTCGTCTTGTGATGACCTCCTTCCCCTGAGCCTTGCTGACTTCCACAAGTGCGTCTCCTTCAAGGGTCGTTGTAAACTGGAATAATGAACATCCACTGTATGCTTTAAAAACACGAGAATGAATATTTTATTCCCGAGGGGATCGCGAACAAATAGTGGTCCTTGCTGGTATAATATTTGTAACAAAAATAGAATAGTATTGCTTGAACGTGAGTCATATTTCGCATAGGAGTATTATTTATGGAATACTATCAATTTCTCCTGTAACATGTGTCTGTCTTGTAAACAGACTTGACACGTTACTGACCCGTGCTGTATATTTCCACACATCCACTACCCCCTGAACCATACGTTCATTTGTTCTATAACTGTACATGTTCTATGTCGCCTGACCCCCATGTCCTATTCCATTTCCGATATCAATCAACCCACATGCCCTATATCCCAACAACCCACATGTCCTATATTCCCACCAACCCACGTGTCCTATATCCCAACAACACGCGTGTCCTATATCTAACCAACAGACGTGTCCTATATCCCCCACCCACATGTCCTATATCTCCCACCCACATGTCCTATATCTCCCACCCACATGTCCTATATCTCCCACCCACATGTCCTACATCCCCCCACCCACATGTCCTATATCCCCATCCCACATGTCCTACATACCCCCACCCACATGACCTATATCCCCCACCCACATGTCCTATACCCCCACCCACATGTCTTATATCTCCCACCCACATGTCCTACATCCCCCACCTACATGTCCTATATCTCCCACCCACATACCCTCTACCCATAACAAGCATATATCCGCCACCTGTAGCCCCGCCCTGTGTTACCTTGACTTGCATCCCGACGATGGAGACCCCGTCTCTCTCCTCCCCCAGCTTGAACGTGTCCTCACGTGTCTTTCCCATCACAGTGGACTTGATACACCACGTGTCTCCATCGTTCCCGATCTCCACTTCCGCCTTGTTGGCCAGGAACAGTTCCTTGGTCTCAGCGGGCACACCTGCAGAAAACAAAGTCGAGGTAGGAAAATGGTCACACTGACATTAAGTCTCAGAAATAAAGTTACCTTATTATAAAATACATGTCTACATAAAACTATATTAGAACCTCAGAACAATTCTCCTAATAAATACACAATGCCACAATGAAAGTGGCCAAATGTACATATGCTATATTTGGGATTACACTTTCTTAGTAAAGTACAGATTCTAGTACTTTTGTTGGGTTGAGTCCCATCCGGGATTCGAACCCACATCCTCGGCGATTAAGTGCCTGACTCTGAGGGGTGTGGGTTCGAATCCCGGATGGGTCTCAACCCAACAAAATACCAGAATCTGTACTTTACTAAGAAAGTGTAATCCCAAATATAGCATATGTTAAATTCTCCTAATGCTAAGGCAATTTAAACTTACCCAGTCACACTAAACTTGAGTTTGACTCTTTTTTAAAAACTTTTCTATTGATTAGACAGACTAGAAAAGGGCCCCCGGAAATCGCCAGTTTTAAAGTTTCGGAAAATTGTTTTAAGAAACCCATAGGACATTCCTGGTTTGTATTGTTTCGACACGTTCCTGCTTTGACCGCCTCCGTGGTGTAGTGCCATGTTATTGCGTCCGCCCGGAGCGCGGAAGGCGGGTTCGATCCCCGACTGCGTCATACCAAAGACGTTAAAATATTTAACCTCACCTCACCGTTCCTGCTTTATATGTTATGCCATGATAAAGTACAGAAGAATGGCCCCAACAAGAGCTGAAATCTAACAATGAGCAGGTAAGCTAGGTAAGTTTGACGTGTAACCGTATGTTATATTGCCTTCAGTGTTAACCTACACCAGCCTTGATCAAATATTTACAAGTTCAGACATTATAGAAACGTTTCTTAATATTCATTCCAAACTCCCTATATACATTTGGAAGTTTTAAAGCCCATCATATTCTAACTGAAAACGTTTTACATCTCTGTTCATTTGTGTTATGTCTTCGATAGAAGCACAACTACTTAACATATAAATGCAGTTTGTGCCGCTGCCTGTATGGTCTAGTCATTAATACTCCTAAAAACAAGGTAATGCCAGCGATGGGGTACAGTCAGTCATATTCGCTGGGCATTGGACGTGGTGGCGTAGTCACTAACATTCCTTGATACAACGTCTGACATACTGACACCAAATATTGAGCTAGCGGTAATAATAAAATGAGGTATGTATTTTGAGATCAGTAGTTAGAATACAAAAGATGAGTATATGCAAACAATTCTGGGAGTATGAGAGTTGTTACACCTTCCGTTAAAATGTATTTACGATTAGTGAAACACATTGCTTATTTAAGGTAAGATTCAAATAGTAATTAGTATGTAGAATTAAAAAGGGGAGATGGACACCACTTCAGTCTCACGCCACCTTCCACCTCTCCCCCCAAGCCTCTCCACCCCACCCCCACCCCCCGGCTATCTCTCCAAGCTGTGGCCGGAAGTGGCCTATGCACCATGGTGGGGGATTGCCAATCCACCAGTAGTGTGCCTGGAATGTTTTGGGGTGAGGAGAAGTAGTTTGCACAGAACCTCGGAAGCGCAAGGATCAACAGGTCACAGGGTCATCCGGTCACATAAGGCCCTATCTACCCGGTTTCAAGAGGTCGTTTTGTCTGGACAGGTGGCACATTAAGATACGGAAGTCATGGAAGTCAACATTCACTTACACCATCTATTGCTTACGGCGGTTGTGCTTGACAAACTAGTTGATAATTTGAGTTGACTGTCTCTTTGTTTTTTTAACTTTCGAAGAATGAATGGATAGAAACTGCCAAGCAAAACTGTTATTTTTTATGTTCTGGCACCTTTCTTTGGTTTTGACCACTTGAGAAACACACTATATGCACATTACAAAACGTTAAAGGCACAGCGTTGAAAATTATGTAAACGCTGAAAATAAGTGTTGATGCTTTTGACGCCACGTGTTCGCGGAAAGGGAGGGCCTGGCCTATCCTACCGGTTCATGTACGATGTACATGTTTGGAATATTGTTCGAAAGAGACGTTACATTTCCTATTATCATGGTATTATATCGATGTGCAGTATCTTTTACAAATCGTTCAGGAACGTTATTAACCTGCTTTGTCGCTAGAGGAGTCACGAGGCAGATGGGCGTGATCACACTGATAACTAAAAGGGGGCACACACGTCGGATGTTAAGTCCATAATGAGTAATGAATAAAGATAACATAACGTAATGACGCAATAACTGTCAGGACGGAGGAGTGGGAACTAGAACAGACGTGTCCTAGCAGATAACAGCCAACTAGACTGATAAATGAGCTGGTCCAAGTTCAAGGTTATCTATACGAGAAAGCTGAGCAGCAGACGACATTTGTGGACGTAGTCGCGTCTGTCGCCATATATGAGTCAACTCCGACCATGAGTGAATTCATCTAGGTAGACGTGGCTCGTGACGGCGTCGTCAATTGTCCTACATATCAGCTTGTCAATCCCCACCCAGGAAAGAGATTGATAGACGTATTCAACAAGACGTGACTTCCGGTTACATCACATGCAAACGTTTTTGTGTTGTATAACCAGTTTTAGAAGTTGGGGAGTCTGATGTCATCGTGTCCGGAGATAATCTTACAAACTGACGTCAACAGCCAAATTAAGAAGATAGCGTTAAACAATGATAGCAGAACGTCGCAGTGATAACATTATGTACAGTCTCGGCCTTACAGATAGTTCTCTGTGTTGAACAGGCAGCGTTCCTGTCTATTATAGCACGGTTATCATCAACCCACTGATCTGCATCGTTATATACAAAATGAATACCCGAGTATTTCATGATTCTGTAATTTATCTGTCAAGACATTTTCTGCGGTAATATGAAAGAATCGGTATTTAACGTCTTTTGAGTCGTATATATCAGTTGGGACACCGTCAGAATAAACTGCCTGGGACTGCCTATTTCTTCAAGCCGATAGCCCCTTTAAATATATGGCTTGCATTAACCTTGCACGCACCGTGTATTGTGCATGTAGGCTGTAACTGACGTCGAGATAGCTCCGACGGTGGTGTCATGCTGATCACGCAGGAACCCTAGTTCAATTTCTCAAAAGGTTCACTGATCATTGGTTCGAACTGCTCACTCGCCTTGTATATGTCTATCGTGTGTGTACCACATCTTACTCAGGGGCGGGTTTGGGGGGTGTGTGCACATAAATCATGAAGTTAGGGGGAAATGCTCCTCAGGGAAAATCTTATGTAAGCGCCTATGTTCAATGTAAAATTTGGTTGTTTCTTAAAAAAGATTCTGAATTACATTTGTTCATTATTAAACATATCCATGATGGTATGATTTGCAGTGCAGGACATATGCGTTGATGCCAGAAACGTATGATTCTGGATTTAATTTCCGCATTCAAAGTTCAAAGTTTATTTTGCTGTAGGTTTATCAGGACCGGCATCAGTATGTGGTCACGAGTTACACATATAACGCCTGCATCGCTTCCGGTTTACCTCCGAGTGCAAGCTGGCAGGCTGTGGCATATCTGAACTATTGTTGAAAGCGGGGTAATTAACTCGAAACTATATTCTTAATAATTTGGGGTTAATTCAAATCGCTCACTGAAAATGATTTGGTAATATTAAAGAAGTAGACTTATCTGTTCCTGTGTAGAAACAACAAGCCTCAATATTAACGCCGGGTCATTCAAATGCCGTGGCTACTGGTGTCAATACGGTACTCAAAATTAACACCCATTGCTGAAGCTCCAGACTAGAGGTGTGACGATACGGAAATGTCACGATACGATACGTATCGCGGTATCTTGGAACGATAAGATTCGATTCGATGCATATCACGATATGCTATCTTTAGTTATTTTCTATAAAAAAGTATATTTTGATAGCAAGTAACAGTGTAAATTTTACATAACCGTCAACTTCTAGTGAACATTAACAATTTTAATTTCAACGATTCATATCATGATACGAACAAAAATATCGATATATTTATCTCAGATACAGTATCACGATTATCGATACTACGATATAGCGTCACAGCTCTACTTCAGACCTACTTCCTTCACAACACTACCAGGTATTTATGGTTAACTTCAGTGTGTCTGTATATAGAGATTGAAAAAGTTATTCACATATATTCAGCCACACAACCATACATTCATAAATCGGACGAATTCGCATTGCACTAGTTACGAGTTCCGTCAGCGCGTATACAAACAGCAACTCACAGACGCAATGCAAAGGACACGATATGAACCGGCCAAAGAAATTGAGATACATGTATATATTAAAAGTTAATTTGCTCAGTCGACGTTTCCAAGAATTAAGACCCGGGTAAGTTTGAATTTGAATTGCATGCAAATGTATACCCATTATATCTACTATAGTTACAGATCTACCTTTATCTCACAGACCCAGATTGCACACAAACGTTTTTTTGTTCAGTTAAAGCTCGCATTCGAACAGGTAGTTTCAATAAAACTATTACAAGTTTTGAAATAGCTCTTAAGTTCTTTTGGTGTCTTATATATTGACAGTAAGACGTTGGCTCCCTTCTTACAAACTGCAGGGTCCACACCCATGTTTGATCATGGTGAGAAATGAAACAAGATCTGATTGTTCTATAGTGATGTATTGGGTACGGTGTATTGATTGAGTTTTAGCCTTTACGGTTGTAGTGTCCTGGTGACTGTTTCCCGGCAAGTTTGATAATACTTTCAAGTGTTTACCAGAGCTACAGATAACTGTTTGGGTCATTCAGTTATGTACTCGCTTGTGTTTATCTCAATTGGGTATCCTAGTTTTCCTTTAAGTAACCAAATAAATTGTACCCACCTCAGTCAAACTCTAGTGGGTATTTTCCCATTTTCCATAACTGTAAAGCTATAATAAAGTTTAAATGTTGGTTTACGCGTTTGTTGTTTGTAATATGAGAAACAGTAAGAAAAACTGCCAGTTGTCAAGTTCATGTGCTGAAATAGAACCTCTCAGTATACCTCAGTTATTTTATCTATCCAGCGGTAAGCACCCGTGAAGATGCGGGATAGAATAGGTCTTCAGCAACCCATGTGCTTGCCATAAAAGGCGACTATGCGTGTCGGAAGAGGCGACTAACGGGATCGGGTGGTCAGTTTCGCTGACTTGGTTGACACATGTCATCGGTTCCCAATTGCGCAGATCGATGCTCATGCTGTTGATCACTGGATTGTCTTGTCCAGACTCGATTATTTACAGACCGCCGCCATATAGTTGGGATATTGCTGAGTGCGGCGTAAAACTAAACTCACTCACTCACTCACTCCAGCGGTAAGCAGGCTAAGATTTGACATGTTTGTGTGTACGCATGTAAGATCACATTTATTTACAAAAATACAAGCGTACTTGTACGCAATAGACGTAATAGGAATTGAGTTTTCACATCAATATTTGCGTAATTTACTCAGATGCGCAGCGTATCTGTACCTCTGCAGTTTACGTCTTTTGTCCGGCAGTTCGCGTTCATATTATGTACATTAAACTGTTTCACCTGAGCATGTTCTCACATCTGCACTACGCCACCTGATTGCAAACAAACAGACACCACCTAGTGGTTCCTTCAGTGTATGCCGCACAAAAAGTGAGCCAGCTCGCATCTTATTAATGAACAGTTTGGACTTTGAGCAGTTTGGGCCACGAATGACCTGGTTAGCTGCACCGACATGTTTACAATATATCAATCTGTAGAGACCCTATGTCAATGTAGTCTGTTGCATAAGTCCACACTGATTTGTACTGGGATAGCGGTGGCGAAAGTGATAAGAGTGAGTGAGTGAGTGAGTTTGGTTTTACGCCGCTTTTAGGAATATTCCAGCAATATGACGGCGGGGGACACTAGAAATGGGCTTAACACATTGTACCCATGTGGGGAATCGAACCCGGGTCTTCGGCGTGACGAGCGAATGCCTTAACCACTAGGCTACCCCACTACCCCGAAAGTGATAAGAAGACGTGATTGAAGAACTTACGGGCGTTTGTACATAGGCTACTTTCAGAGATTGCTTGATTAAGAACACATGCACTTATTGAAATCAGAGACAGACACGTGCTGTAAAGCCGTATCAAAGAGTGTTACCATAATGTAGTATTAGTTAATATCAGTTGATATTTTTATCAGTATAATTATTGATATTAATTACACTGTTGGCATGCATCATTAATCTGTTTCACAATCCCTGAACAACCGTTTCTGCCCAACCCTTTCTGTCCTTCTGCCCAACCTTTTCTGTCATGCAAAAGCCCTGAGAGAAGCAAGCGATTTTACTTTCGTAGAACTTTCTTCTTACTGGGGAACGTTTTCAATTTAAATGGAGTTATTTCTTTCTATCAAATTATATTTTCTGAGACTAAGCTTTAGTTTATAACTAAACTTTCTGATTCTGAACTTTCTGATTCCTCATTATATGTCGTTGATTAATATGTCTCTCTCACAGACCCAACAAAAGTTTTCCTTTCCCCCAACCATTTTACAATGCGAAAGTCATAAATGAAGCAAGTATATATTTACCTCAGGGCTCATTTTCAGTTTAAATGCAATTATTTGTTTCTATCAAAACTATACATACTCAGAGTGACAGTGAGTGAGAATGATTTTACGCCGCTTTTAACAATATTCCAGCAATATCACGGCGGGGGACACGAGAAATGGGCTTCACACATTGTACCCATGTTGGGAATCGAACCCGGGTCTTCAGCGTGACGAGCGGACGCTTTAACCACTAGGCTACCCCAATGCCCCTATATACTCAGAGACCAAGCGCTAGTCTAATTATATCCTGCACTGTTCAAATGCAAACAAACACTAACGAGAGGCGACTAACGGGATCGGGTGGTCAGGCTCCCTGACTTGGTTGACACATGTCATCGGTTCCTAATTGCACAGATTTTACTTTCGTAGAACTTTCTTCTTACTGGGGAACGTTTTCAATTTAAATGGAGTTATTTCTTTCTATCAAATTATATTTTCTGAGACTAAGCTATGCTTGTTGATCACTGGATTGTCTGAGTCCAGACTCGATTATTTACAGACCGCCGCCATATAGCTGGAATATTGCTGAGTGCAGAAACCTTAACTCACTCACTCACTCACTCTCTCATAGTATGATTTACCATACGTGCTCACTAACTCACAAGGGCGGTGGGGCAGCCTAGTGGTTAAAGCGTTCGCTCGTCACGCCGACGGTCCAGGTTCGATTCCCCACATGGGTACAGTGAGTGAAGCCAATTTCTGGTGTTTCTGGCGATATTGCTGGAATATTGCTAAACGCGTCGTAAAACCATACTCACTCACTAACTCACTAGCATGCTACTGGTGTCACAACATGATGTCAATGTACACCCAGAGAAAAGCTACATCACAGATGAATGCCACTTATTCAGTCTGATCAAATCCCTTCGCATAATAATGTGCAGAGTACCATGCATATGGTTGCAGAATCTACCCAAAGAGCGAAAATTTGGTCTCACTCTCTCTCTCTCCGACATACACGCCCGCGGGCACGCACTTTCACCTTGCTATATGAGTGCGATAATATTGCAAAGTTTTAATCCTAATTTACCTCACCTCAGTTATCAAGGAAAGATACATTTAGTACCAGAAAGCAGACGCTGAGTTGGGAGTTGAACTCAAGTATAGTCCGTCTCACAGTCCCTGAGCCACATTATTTTCCCTACTACCTTGCCCTCCCTGCAATGCTAAAGCCCCAAATGAAGCAAGTCTAGAATCTCCCATCTCACTGGGGCTCTTTTCAATTAAAATTGATTTATTTGTTACTATCAAAATTATATATATTCAGAGATTAAGCGTTTGTCTAAAGCTAAGCACTGTTTCTAACTTTACCCCGACCCGACGGTAACCGGTCTGTGGAAATTCTATCACAACTGCCCAATGAAATTATACACAACACGAATATTAGTTACGAAAAAAAAATTCATTCAAATCAAACGAATTCTCACCTAAAGCATCAAATAATGCGCCGTAGTTGTCTGACTCAACTTGCTTCCACTTTCCAACAAGGGCGGACATGATTGCGTGTTGTCGGTCGTTCAGTCGGACTCCGAATGCTGTTTGTGGAGACCCGCCAACTGTCGTCTGCTCGAGGTGGTCACGTGGTGACGCGAGCGTGAGTGCGATAACACTTATGAATGAGTAACGGGCGATATGGGACAGCATCACTAGAAGGGATCTGGGAACTTTCCACAAGGACAAGCTCAATATTTGTACGTTAGAGGCTAAAGCTCAAGGAAAAGGTTTATAACGCTCTCGCTCGGGCAATTCAAAATTTAACACTCGTTTCGTATAAGTCATATGACACACTTGCTCGTGTAATAATGTGAACAGGTTACACAACACAAAATGTTTTCCCGTAGACTTCTATAGTAACGTTATATTTTTTTAAAAATCATCCAGGCTGTCAACAGAAATTCCATGTACCCATGGATAGCCTACAATCTGGCCTTTAAACTACAATAAAACACAAATTCAGCCAGGTGTGCTATTGATTCATTTTCCGCTGTTCCTCTCTCCGCACTCCTCCCTCGTAACAAATAGCGAACTGTGTCAATATTTTAATGATGCTTTGTTAAACAACTTTTTAATTATTAAATCATAATTCATGAAATTATAAATTCACAATAGTAGATCAAGCATAATGCATCATGCCAAATTAGAAAACGATTGTACTTGTAGTGTAAAGTGACCAAACACCGTCACGAAAGGTTTTGCTCGGAGTGGCGTGATAGGGATATGATATGGTTGAGGGATTGTCAGGCTCGCTACGTAATGTGCCATCCACGAAAGTGTGTACATCTGGTGGACCAGAGTCGCAACGCTAAGTGCAACATCCATTAGCAGAGGATAGCCCAGCTTGGATTACGTCACCGTAGTGAAGCGGCTAAGATCAAATTCCATTGACATGTGCATTTACTAATAAAAGCACAAAAGTTGGTCATCATTTTCAAGAACATTTTAAATAATTTCAGATTTGGAGGCACACAATATTTTTTGGGCCGTGTGCGCATGTGCACTACTTAGACATAAAATGCCGTACTATTTTCAATGTAGTCTCTTACATAATCAGCATGACCAATCAATACAAACCAGTAATTTCACAATTAACGATTTACAGGAAAGAGAAGAAATAGTTTACATTAATTAAAAACATCCCCAAAATATAAATGCTCCAAAGTGGCAGGTAGCAGACAGTTTTTCGAACATGGCGCTCCATCACAAAGATAAGTATGTCATGGTTTCATCTAATCAATACTGAGTGTAAATGCACGTACTGTTTGGCAAAAGAACTCCAGGACAATAATTCATGTTAACGTTTTGGATATTTTAAACAATAAAATCTGTAAGTTATTAGACTCAAAGGCAATTGCAAGTGTGGCAGATAATCCAGATTTGTCTTTCGCAAGGGTGCAGGCATTATTTTATTCAAGTAAACGTCATAAACCGCACTTTTATTATTTGATATTTATCCGGATTTAGCTGCACTGAACGGAGGAGAAACAGCAAAACCCGCGACGAAAGAGGCCATTCTAACAGGAGATTGGTTAAATGCTCATGCATTTGCAATTCCTCAAAGGTAATTTTAAATTTGAATGGACGCACGTTTATGTTAACAGATGATAAAAAATAACAGAAATAATGCCATAAGGCATTATCTGCATTGTCATCTCCAATGAAAACAAGAAAAATTTAAAGACAGTTTACTAAGCGTTACTTCTGATCTACTCGTCTCAAGTGAAAAGGCCTCAGACCCTGCTATATGTCTATGAGCTATGCTTGTGTGCGTACATATTATCTCTAATTTTAGTAAATCTATAAGTATTTCACCATTAGTATAAAAAACATTTTTTCATGCGCTTATTTATACACGACCTTGACTTTATTTGCATATCAGCTGATCGGTTTGGAGATAAAACATCGTCATTCACAGTCATTTTTATCCATTTAGAGTAAAAGCAATGTCGACTTCGCATTTCTGTGTCTCCTTGATTTCACAGTTGACACTGGATGAATATAACAGATTAATTATTGAAATTCGACATGCATAGGTGTTGTAATTGGAAGGAATTCTTTTAAGCAAAATATGTCAATATAAAGGTACAATCCTGCCAGTTATTAGGAATAAATATGCATATAATGAAAAAGGAACACTGAGAAAGTATATACACAATCATACTTTCTTTATTATCTATCTAATTCTTACTCAATCTTATTCTACCTTTGTTGTAGAACATTCGGGAAATTAAAACGACGAGGTACATTCAAGATTTTTGAACAGTATAAATGGTTGCGGTATTCACTATCAGCCGATGCACTGTATTGCGCACCATGTTACATTTTTGGATCGAAGTACAATAAACAGACATCTTTTTCTTCATCACCCGTAACTTATTGGAAAACTATTATTGCCCGCCATTTGAAAGACGGCAGCGAACACTACGGGTGCGCAATCCAAGCTGACAATTTTGTATCTGCATTCAAGGGAGAGCAGTTTCCGATTGAACAACAACTTAGCTCTCAATTACAAAGTGCACTTGAGAAAAACCGAGTGATTGTGCTGGCAGTTGTTGAGACCATTATTCTATGAGGTCGTCAAAATATCCCAATACGTGGTCATACAGAGGAGAACAGCAACTTCATTTGCTGTATTGGAAAACAGAGCAAAATCTGACCCTGTACTTGCAGACCATCTCAAATGTGGAGATCCCAGGGTAAGATATTTGCTCTCCCACCCCAATGAAATCATTGACCTTGTAGCAGGTCAGATCCGTGAAGATATTGTCAAGAAGTGCAACAAATAACCTTGTTTCGCATTCATTGCATGATGGGACCGCCTTCGTGGTGTAGTGGTTAGAGCGTCCGCCCGGAGAGCGGAAGGTCGCGGGTTCGATGCCCGACCGCGTCATACCAAAACGACGTTAAAATATGGTACTTGTTGGTCCCTGCCTGGCGCTCGGCATTAATGGGTACAACAAGGACTGGTCGGCTCGGAGTCAGTATAATGTGTCTGAGTGGGGTATTCATGCTTCACTGCGGCATGGTATCTCAGTGAGCTAGCACTATAAAACCAGCTTAAGTCTGGGCTAGTGCAAGCAGCCGCACATACACATACACACGCATGCACGTCGTCATATGAGCGAAATATTCTCAAGCACGACGTTAAACCCAATTTCACCTCACCTCACCTCATTACATGATGAAGCAACAGATGCATCAACAAAAGAACAGGTTGCTATTTGTGGGAGGTTCATACGTTTTCAACCTGAAGGTAAACTTGAGGTCAGGGAAGATTTGCTTGGCTTTACCGTAGCTAAAAGCTTAACTGGAGAGGCTTTGGCGCAGAACTTTATTACAACTTTGGCATTGACATAACAAAAATGACAGGCCAGGGTTACGACGGTGCGTCCAACATGCGGGGAGTCCATCGTGGTGTTCAAGCAAGGATACAAAGCCAGTTGCCTGGAGCTATATATGTGCATTGCCGATTGTCTCAATCTGGCAATTGTTCAAGCTTCATCAGAATAGTTAATGCGCAATATGATGAGTACTGTGGAAGAAATTAACTTTGCCTTTTCGTATTCTGCCAAGCGCATGGACCAGTTCAAAAGAGCCTCAGTTCAACCTCAAATGACATGAAGCAGAGGGAGAAGTTGCGAACCCTCTGTGAGACAAAATGGTCTGCACGAGATGATGCCTTATTCACGTTCTTGAGCTGCTTTGACGTTGTTGTGGATGCTTTGGATAACCTCAAAGACATGGGTGATGACAAAGCATCAAGCCACCTCAACAACATCCTCAGGTTTGACTTGATCATAAGTTTAGTGACAGCTGAACATGTACTACAGCCCACCGTTGTTCTTTCCAAATTTCTGCAAAAGAAGTGTGTTGATCTTGTGGATGCTGTGGAAGAAGCCAAAGTTGTCAAAACTGTGCTCAGAGGTGAACGTGATGACGATGAAGTATGGACAGAGCTTTTCCAAAAACCTGTTGAAGTCGGCCAAAAGCATGACGTCGAAGCAAAGATCCCTCGTTTAGCTGGACGACAGCGGCATAGAGTCAACGTTCCGGCTGAGCCACCCCAAGTCTACTTCAACAGAGCGCTGTACCTGCCTTTTGTGGAAATTGAAGATCGACTGGTCGCTCCAGAGGGGCGCTTCCTTGCACAGAGTCTTATCCCTTCTAAACTACATGCCCTGACTACAGATGTAAAGCACGAGATCCTGGCTCATTATGCTGCTGAACTGCCATATCATTAAGGAGCAGAATATGAAATACATAGATGGGTGACTATGTGGAGTTACGCCGCTGCACGAATGCTATCAACAAGCAATATCACGGCGGGCTGCCACAAATGGTCTTCATAAACTGTACACATGTGGTTAATAGAACCCAGGCATTCGGCCTGACGGACAAACTCTGAGTTACCCCACAACCCCTAAATTAACAAAGTTTGTTTAGATGTACCTATACACATATTCCATTCGGCCTGAACGAACAGACTGCATTAAACGAACGATCAGGGTCCAGGAACGATATCTAACAGAAACTAGTATATTTTCCACATTTTCTGATCCCTCTTGGTCTCTCGCTAGTTGCCTCATGACTTGACGCGATGGCGTCTCGTACCCCTCTCGTGGCCATGTTTACAACTGGGCCCTGTCTAAGCGCAAACCGGCATGGAGATGAAAATAGTCTAGTACTATTACCAAGGAAAGATAACTCTGAATTTCCAAGCATGGCTCCTAGAATATCCTATATTTCGTGGGCAAAACAGCAATACAGTCATTCCCTTTGTAACTATGTTGATTGTGGCTGATCCTCTAGCTCAAAGTTTATGTTTAAATAGTGCTTTGCATAGTTTAGCGAAGTTTCCAAGTTCAACGGTGCCGCCATTTTCATGCTTCGAAATGCGTTTTACTACGCGCGATTTGATTGGTTTGCCACGATTCTTGGCTATAATGGCGTACGATATATAGGGGTACGAGTTCTCTTGTAGGTCACGGGAAAAGGCGAGTAGTTACGAATGGACTTGACGCCATTCCTGAGCAACTCGGTTCTTTCCGGAACAAAACAAATGTCCCGTTGCGGAAATATCAGAGTTGTACGTTTTCCTAGGGCCTGTGGTACTCGTGTTAATCAGGGACAATCTAAAATGTCTTGTACGTTACGGACATATC